ACGCTAACTGCATTGTCTTATATTCTAAAATTATCTGATATATCTTGCGTAGAGCACAAGTACGAGATTGTAAAGAGACTCCAAGACAGGAAACACATCGTTGGCATGACTGGGGATGGTGTGAACGACGCTCCTGCACTGAAAAAGGCGGACATTGGTATAGCAGTGGATGATGCAACTGATGCAGCAAGAAGCGCCTCGGATATAGTCTTGACCGAGCCAGGTCTTAGTGTCATAGTCAGTGCGGTGCTCACTAGTCGAGCTATCTTCCAAAGAATGAAGAACTACACAATCTATGCGGTTTCTATCACCATACGTATTGTCCTAGGGTTCATGCTCGTGGCTCTCATTTGGGAGTTTGACTTTTCTCCCTTCATGGTCCTCATTATTGCCATCCTAAACGACGGAACCATCATGACCATCTCTAAAGACAGAGTCAAGCCGTCCCCAATCCCTGATTCATGGAAGCTCAAGGAAATCTTTGCCACTGGAGTTGTTCTTGGAACCTACATGGCTCTCATTTCCGTTGTCTTCTTTTGGCTCGCTCATGATACCGACTTCTTTTCGGTAATCTATTCAAAATTCAAATAGATATACAAAAACAAATATTTATCAACTAATCAATCATCTTGGTCTTGGTTTGTGTAGGATAAATTTGGAGTGAGATCATTACGAGGCAAAAACGAGGAGTTAATAGCAGTTTTGTATTTGCAAGTCAGCATAATTAGTCAAGCTCTCATCTTTGTAACTCGATCAAGGAGCTGGTCCTTTGTGGAACGCCCTGGAATTCTTCTTCTTGTTGCGTTCTTCGTTGCCCAATTGGTACGTAATTTGGATCCCTACACTACGTACACATTTATGATATATATATCTTTCTCTCCATCTAATGTTCTCCTTTGTGGAAATAACAGATTGCAACCTTATTAGCTTGTTACGCACACTGGGAATTTGCAAGAATCAAAGGTTGCGGATGGGGATGGTGTGGAGTCATCTGGATCTATAGTATCATCACATACATTCCTCTTGATATCCTCAAGTTCATCACCCGCTACACCCTTAGTGGCAAAGCCTGGAACAGTATGATTGAAAATAGGGTATGTTTGAGTTGAATCTTGATTCTTGAAAATCACATAAGCTACACATATATTGACATACTTGACCTTTTTTTCTTTCTAATGTCAGACCGCATTTACAACCAAGAAAGACTACGGCAGGGGAGAAAGAGAGGCTCAATGGGCTCTAGCTCAACGTACACTTCATGGGCTTAAACCACCGGAGTCAATGTTCGAAGACAAGGCAACCTACACCGAGCTCTCTGAGATTGCTGAGCAAGCAAAGAAGCGTGCAGAAGTTGCCAGGTACGTAAATGATCACTTCCAAAGGTCCATAACTAATGTTTTTGTTGACAAGATTGGTGAGAGTTTTGTTGTGTTGTGGTGAATGCAGGCTAAGAGAAGTGCACACTCTCAAAGGCCACGTTGAGTCAGTCGTGAAGCTCAAGGGTCTTGACATTGACAACCTTAACCAACATTACACCGTCTAAGCCAAACTAGAAATGCATTATAAGCGAAGACGCATGATGACGATTTTGAGCAATAAAGTTGGAGAAAATGAGTTCAAAAAGATTAAAAGAAGGAGAAGGAAGTTCCGATTTGGAATATCTTTCGGTTTTAATTTTGTTTTTCTTGCTTAAGAGATGATATAATCAATGGTTTCACAGCTTGAAGAAAAGCCAAAAAAAAGAAGAAGAAGAAGAAGATGATGATAGGATGGATAAGTGAGATGGAATAAAGAAAAGAGAAGAGATACGCATCGTCATGTGATAATCTCGTATTCATGTTCTTTTTTTTATAATAAGAAATTGAGGTTGATAATGAAGAAATTAGAAGTTTGTTTTCTTAACAGTAATAAAGATTAATGAGAAGTTTGTTTCCTTAACAGTATTTTTTTTTTTTTTTATATATATAGATGAGAAGTTTCATAAATATTATAGTGGAATTTTCAGAAATACCACTTTGGAAATTTTGTTTTTTTGTAAACCAATTTATGGAAGCTAATGAAAGATACTTCCTCTTTTTTAACATGAATTTTTGTAGACATTATTTGTTGTTTCACAAAGATAAAATTTCTAGCTTTTTGATGCACCTTTTTCGGTTTTCAAGAAATATTAATTGTATTTGTTCGAGGTTTATTGGTTGAAAATTATAAAAAGTTGTTTTATTGCAAAAATATATACACTAATGATTGAAAATCAGTTTTTCCTTAATATGTGTGAAATCTCTAGAAAATTTATCTTAAAAAAACGGAGGGAGTATATATTATTAGGTACAGGATATAAGGTCAATGAAAGACCTTCAAAAATATTTTCGAAATGTGGTATTTTTTTTAAATGATAAAATATGGTATTTTCCTACATATTATAAGCAATTTAATTGATATATAGCATTACAAGTTGAGTTTCGGTACTATAACTAATGCTTTAGCTTTTATCATTAAAATAAAATAAATGAAAATCCAAAATGTTGGTGATCTAGTGGCCATGATCATGAAAGGGCCGAGTTTTTTGTGTCTCGGGGGTCAATCCATTTTTGGTACGGAATGTTATTCTCTAAATCGGAATTAATTCCAATGATTGACTTCGGGTCTAGAAGAAAATATTATATAAGTATTAAGCCAAAATTTTCACTATATTTAAAAGAAATAAAACACAAATAAACGAACATTGTAAAATCATTTGAAATGATCAAAGTCTACCTTTTTGGCATGAGTTATAAATTAGTTACGTTGCTATTTCCTTAAATATAACAAACTAGTTTTTCAAGGGACCATGGAAATGAAATCGTCGGGTTTAGGGCTGGGACTTTTAACCTATACCCGAAAACCCTAACCGTACCGACCCGAAATATCCGGACCCGTTTGATTTTGGGTATACTGCAAATCACCTATTGGGTAAAAGATTTAATACCCGTGGATATTGGGTAATACCCGAACCGAACCGATATCCGAACGGGTACCCGAATTACCCGAAATATGGGTATTATGGATTATTTTAATATTATAAATATAATTATTCTATGTTTTTCTTATTTTTTTTCAGATATATTTCCAGTATTTTAATATATTTTTTCAAAACAAATCAGATTTACAAATATTTTTTTCAGATTTTCGGGTATTTTTTGGGTTTTTGGGTATATTTTGGATTTTTGGGTGATAAATAACCGAAATACCCGAACCCGAACTATAACCGAAATATTTCGGGTATTTTTCGGTATTTTAAGGCTATACCCGAACCTACCTGAACACGAACGGACCCGAACCTTTACCGAACCGAAATCCTTAAGATACCTATATGGATACAAAGATCACCTACCCGAAAGACCCGAACCCGAATATAACCTACCCAAACCCGAACCGATAACCTTAAGTCCCAGGCCTAGTCGAGTCCATGCATTAAAGCAAGGAAAAAACGCGTTGGCCAACTTTTTGTATTTCCAAATTCTGAACACTAGCTGAACACATCTCTTTTTACTTTCTTTTTCTTCCAGGTCAACTCTTTGTTATTTAGCCAACATTTAAAATACAAAAACAATTGTAAAGTAATATTTCATCAGTATTAAAAAAAAAGAGCTCTTTGGAAAAAAGTATAGTTTCAAAACGATGAATTATTGTTGTTTTAAAAAAATCAATGTTTTAGTTGCTTTGAAAAAAATTATTGGAGTGGAGGTTGTTGACAAAAAAAAATATTAATGAATCACCATTACTTAAAATTATAAGAAATTGTTCATCACAAAATATATATTTATAGTTAAGTTTTAATTTGTCTTTTTAATAATATGTGTGAAAATTCAAATAAAAACATTTTTAAAACAGCGGTAAATATTTTCAGTAGACCTAATATTATTTATTTTTAAAAATGAAGAGGTGATCGAGACTTAAAATATCCGACTAATCTCTCCGGAATGAGTGTAATCGTTGATTAGCCTATTCACCGAATTTTCTGATAGGCTTAAAATATAATAACATTTAGACTAGTCAAATATAATTTATTTGTTATTTTCCGTGTGAAGGGATTAGATCCCCGACCTAAATCAACATGACAATTTATTTTCAAATGAGAACCACTAATTCACTACGACACTACCACTTAGTTTTTAATGTAATTTGTTTTGATATGGTATTTTTTTTTCTAAACCACAAAAGAATGTTTTACTTATTTTACACTCAAACCTGTATTGTCTCCCTCCCATTCATTCGATATATTTTTTAATGAAAAAAAAACCAAAATTATTAGGAGTAATAAACAAATTTGCTTTGTTTGCAAATATTTTAGTCAAACCAACGTCAATAATTAATGGATACCATCTGTTCAAACACTTTGAAAACGTTGACGTTTGACTAAAATATTTGCTTGTACATAGATTTGGACTCTACTTTATTATATTAAAGTTTTAATGAGATTTGGTAAGAAGTTGGTGTAGATTTAATGGAGTCTTATCAATTTCAATATGGTCTCATTTACATAAACGTACGGATATTGTGAATTGTTAAGATAGTGATAATAAAAATAATTAAGATATGTGTAGACGTATTAACCGTTGAAGAAGGAAAGTCAGTCGCTTGGCTTTGCGTTTTTGGCGGCTAGTCTCAAATCCATCGATTCCAACGGATCATTCATTCTCTCTTTTCTCTCTCTCTCTCTCTCTCTACAATTATCTTCTTCCCTTTTTCTTCTTTTGCCCTCTCTCTCTCTCTTTCCCTCACTCCGACCTCCGAGAAACCATAGATTCTCCATTTTTCGTTTCTCCCCCACGAGAGTTAGTATCCAGTTTCTCGGAGCCCCGTCGGAGATCGAATTGTTTTTTATTTTATTTTATTTTTCTCTCTTCTGGATCTGTCTCTGATTTTCTTCGTTTAATGGACAATGTGAGGTCAATCGAATAGCACACAACGCCTTCCTCGAGAGTGTTTCCAAAACCGGTTTTACGAGTTTATTGAATTTCATGGGGATTTGCTTTAGCGCTGAAGAGCAGCAGTACCAATATTCTCAACAACAAGAGTATCGGAAGAAATCCATAGGTTTCAATCCCATTTCGATCTCTTTCTCTTTTTCCATTTTTCCTTAGCTGTTGATTTTCCCCTTTTTGTTGATCCTAGGTTTTCGATTTCGATTTTTTTTCTGGGTAAATTGAATTTTCTCGGATTCTAGTGATGTTGGGCTTAGAAATTTTCTTAATTTGCTGTGTAATTCCTCTGATGATTATGTTTTTTTGTTTTGGGTTCTCAGGAAAATCAGGCAAAAATTCTGCAGTGTATCTAATGAATTCTGATTGTCAAGAATCAATTGGTAATTCGAGTGCAAAAGGCTTGCCCTTGGCTCCTAAGAACATCAAAGATCTTCAATCGAATCCAGGATACGAAAATGTGGATATTTTCACTTACGAAGAGATGAAGGTAGCCACTAAGCAGTTCAGGCCAGATTACATCCTCGGTGAAGGAGGTTTTGGAGTTGTCTATAAAGGAGTTATAGATGAGAATGTGAGGGCTGGTTACAAGTCTACAAAAGTTGCCATCAAAGAACTTAATCCTGAAGGGTTTCAGGGAGATAGAGAGTGGCTGGTAAAAAATTGTGTTTTTCGATTTGTTGAATGTATCTAATGCCAAACTAGAGATATGAACTTGGAAATGTGTGGTCTCAATTTTTTGCAGGCTGAAGTTAACTATTTAGGACAGCTTAGTCACCCGAATTTGGTTAAGCTCATTGGCTATTGCTGTGAAGATGAACACAGGTTATTAGTCTATGAGTATATGGCAATGGGGAGCCTGGAGAAACATCTTTTCCGAAGTAAGTTTGACGGCATAATCGGTAACATGTAGATTGATGAAACGAATTCTGCATCTATTGCCTTCTCTGTGTACTTGGTTTACATAACAGTATTGGATATATAGGTTCTTACTCACACCATGAAGAGGGTTTGATGAAGCATATGCATACAATTCGGATTATGTTCCCGTATATCCATAGTATAAAATATAAATGGTGTTGTGAGGTTGACCAAATGTTTCTGTTTTTTGGCATCCGGTGTCAGGAGTTGGATGCACTTTGACGTGGTCGAAAAGAATGAAGATTGCACTTGACGCAGCAAAGGGTCTTGCATTTCTTCATGGTGCTGAACGTTCCATCATTTATCGGGATCTGAAGACAGCAAATATATTGCTGGATGAGGTTAGCTATATAAGAATGTCCTTCGTTTTGAAATTACGTAGATTTCTAGTTCTTGTTAGTGAAACTCAAAGTCTACAACTTTTTCAATGTGTCCATCTGTGCAGTGTTACACTGCTAAACTCTCAGACTTTGGACTGGCAAAAGATGGTCCAAGGGGAGACCAAACACATGTTTCAACACGCGTTATGGGTACTTACGGATACGCTGCTCCTGAGTATGTAATGACAGGTCCGTCTTTTACTATTTCCCATAAGTTCAATTCTTCTAATAGTGTTAAAGAAGACCCTTTTCAAGTATATATATTGATCTGATTTGTAAATGGGCCATGTATGTGATTGTTCTGCTAGGACATTTGACATCGAGAAGTGATGTTTATGGATTCGGGGTACTTCTCCTAGAGATGCTCCTTGGGAAGAGGGCGATGGACAAAAGCAGACCTTGCCGGGAGCATAACCTAGTGGAGTGGGCACGACCGCTGTTGAATCACAACAAAAAGCTTTTGAGGATCATAGACCCTCGAATGGACGGACAGTACTCCACTAAGGAGTTGATGAAAGTAGCCGGTTTGGCGTACAATTGCCTCAGCCAAAACCCGAAAGGAAGGCCCCTCATGAATCACGTGGTAGAAGTCCTTGAGTCTCTTAAAGAAGATGGCGATGCACAGGAGGAAGTCATGGCCAATCTCCATAGCAGGGGCAAGTCTGTAACCTTATACGAAGCTCCTAGTGACTCTCAAGGCACAAGAGATGGGGATGAGCAGAGGAGGAGAAGACCGGAAAGTGGTAGAAGCAAGAGCGAAGCCTCGGTCGACACTGACCAATATGTTACTGCTCTTGTTTCGGAATCAGGTCCGGATTCTGCCAAAATTTAAGAGTCAAGACGTAAAGATTCATCATTGATTTAAGAATGTAAGATAAGAAAGTAGCGAGAGAGTTGGCTTAAAATGTATAAATAAGTTGAGTCTTCGTTTTGCCATCTTGTTTTTTCTGTTTTGGGATTACAAATATTAGTGCAATATGCAATTTGATCAAATCTTTGAAATTCAACTGAATGTTTGATCAATCTTTTAAATTCAATGAAATTTTGGAGACGCTTCGTTGTTGTTAGCTGTGTCAGTGTGTAACTTGAGTATCCAAAGTGAAATTAAACTGCTTGAAACTTTCAGAAACATATTTGTTCATCCGAAATTTTTTAGAACAATTTACGTATTTCACTGCTGCAAATGTTGCATAGGAATCTGCCTTTTGACATTGAAATGTTACTCATATGTTTCACTTGTGATGTGTTTGTGGCTTCTGAAAACGTCTCGGTGATGCAACTGCCCTTTGATTCTACATTTTAAAGATTAACCTTGGAGACTGATTATAACGGAGGACGACGTGTTATGCCGTGTTAGACAATGTAACAAAAAGAACGAAGAGTATCAAGTTATCGAATTGGATATGAAATAAAGGGATGAAAGTCAAATACAAGAAAATGTCTCCGAAATGAACATGTTTCAGAGAAGCCAACAAAAAACTGCAACAAATTACACAAAGATTGGTTCACTGAACCATGAGAGCAAATCCATAACTTTGGCGCTGAAGGAAGCATTTAACTTGCACAGTTCCTGCCCTAGACAAGTAACGAATCATTCTCCTTATTGCAATAAAACCTTCGTACGGTACTCCCCCAATGCCCATATCGGGAATATGTTTCGATACGCAGCGTAAGTTATCATGCAGTTCCTATTGAACACTCCCATTATTTCCTGACAAAGAGACCCAAAAAATATATTTAATTAGTTACCCGTTAACGAAGAGAAAACTCTATACACCAAATGTGGTTGATGCACTTGTTACCTGTTGTGGGAAATCACCATTCTCCATTTGAGCATTAATCAAGTATCTTGCAGCACGGTGTAGTGGTTTCTTATCTACCTCAGCCTAATAACACAAACAAGAAAGGATATAAGTATAAACAGAAAGAGAGAGAGAGAGAAAGAAGGAGGCAAGAAGAGAAAACCACTCACTTGACCAGCAGAAATGAGTGCCAGCAAAGCCCATGCTGTATTGACGATATGAGGCTTTTTGCCTTCAATGTTTGAATATACCTTTTCATAAATAAAAAACACAATTCATCAAGTAAAGTAGAATCAAATAGAGTTTTAGTGAACATAATAAGTAAATTAACTAACCTTGTCTTGACATGAAAGATAGCTCTCTCCCCATCCGCCTGAGGGAAGTTGTTTCGACAGTAGAAATTCACAAGCTTTGGCAACATGTGGAGAGTTTTTCAATGTTTTTCCAACAGCTACAAGCCCTATCACTCCAAACCACGTCCCATACGTGAAGCAAACACCCCATGATCCATACCTAGGAATATATATCAAAGGTTACATGTAAGAAAAACAAAAAAATGTAATTATGCAAAATATAGTTTCTTTTTATCATAACTAGAGACAAACCATGAGCCATCTTCTGCTTGAATAGATTCAACGAACTTAACCCCCTTCTCAATGCACTCATCTACGTCCTTCTTCCGATGACCGGGATAAAGCTTTCGAAACGATATCAATGCTTGGATAGCAGCTGACGTACATTCCACGTAACTACAAAAACCATGATAGCTCATCAAGGAAAATTTCCAAAACACTAAGTTATGATTATTATCAGATGATCAAATGGAAGATGCTAGCGCCTTACGGATAATCGATAACAATATCGCCAAAGGTTTCTGCTGGGTTGATTACCTGCCAAAACAAACAAGCAAAACTTTTCACTTAAACACCAAGCAAGGATGATTAAGGTACACGTGTTTTAACCACTTCCATTATACACAAATCTTTGTGAGAGCTTGGACACAGATACAAAATGCATATGTTATCACATTACTGATCTAAATTGAGATTACCTCCAACCAAGGGTATGACCTTGTGAGCTCATATGTTGCGAGGCCTCCATCTGCATTCTGAAATCAGAAATTAGCTGCTGCTATTCAGACGAGCAAAATGACCAGTGGCTGATCAAATACACACCTAATACAAGTATTGGAAACAAAATCTAACCTGTAGCGAAATGATCACATTAACTGCATCATACAACCGGTTTGTATCTACTGGTTCACCAACAATCTCCTTGGAAACTTTAGATAGCAAAAGAGCAGCCTGAAGAGGACATAACAAACTCATTACCACCGGAAAGGAAATCGTGAAAGGTAACTCTGTCACATAATTATTACCTTAAGTCCTTCTGCTGTGCAATCGGAGATAGGCCAACCGTGATCTGCAGTTGAGAAAGGCCAAGCCCCTTTAGAAATATGGCGATACCAGTAACTCAGATCTCCAGGGCAATCCTCTAATACCTATTCCATGAGAAGAAACAATCATCAGAGGTTTATAAACATCCAGAGCAACACGCTGATCTTCATTAACTGCCTATTGCAAACCTGGGAATTCTTGACATATGAATGTGCTTTTTTCAACACGGTTCCATATTCTTCGACAAGGTTGGTTGCCAGAATAGCTTGGACAGCAAAACCCGTATCCCAAAGCTGGCTTCCGTTATAACCCTGTCAATAGCTGCTGCATTAGAGTATGGACGACCGGCTCAATGTATATAAACTAGTAACTTGATAAGAAGAAAAATAGCAGTGTTGGTTGGCATGAAAAAAAAAGCAAAATAGAGGACACTCTCACGAAACAAAACAAGACGGCTTATCAAGGGTGTTTGTTTCATTCTTATGATTCAAAAATGATTATGTCAACCACATACTACAGTAAAATTCACCACTTCAGCTAATAAAGTAATGTGATTCTGAGAACTACTTGAAGAGTATATTTGTATACTGTTGAGCTAATGATTCAAGAGGCATTACATTGATACTGGTTCGGCAGTAACTTAGGTCCATGTAATCAACCTAAAATAATCATACATACAAATTTGCGGTACCTGCATCTTCATTCCATCTTCAGCTAACCAGAGATAGTCATTGATTCTTGGTAGATGCAACTTAAAAGCCTCTGAGTTTGGGTCCTCTACCCAACAGCAAAGCATATTTAATACCTGTTAAAACACACCAAAACAAAGATGATTTAAAGTAGAGGATTTTAAAACAGATGAAACACGAGGTCTAAAATATCACCAAACCAAGCTTTTGAAAGAGGATAATAACAAAGGACAAGGATAAATACAGAAGTTGTTGGGGAAGTTTGATTTGCATACCTTATTCACGGGTCCTATGCAGATGTACCGTGTATTCTCATCTTCGTAATGAATATGTTCTAATGTGGTTTTCAGAGCCTTTTCTCTCAAATTTGCACCAGGCCATCGCGTTAGAACAGGCTCAACAATCTTGTGAAGTGATGCCCAAAGAATATCTTGCACAAGTGGGTGTGGGTAGTATAAATCCTCCTTCAGTATAAAAGCAACTGTCAGTATAAAAAGTTGCCCTGAGCATCTGGGGAAACATCGACATGTATATGGGCCTACATTGTGAGCATTGCATATTCTATCAAGAATCATTATAAACTACAGATCCACAGGTCTTAGCAGAAACCAAATAATTTCTTTTGAAAGATTAGCTTATTGTAGTTACAAAATTCACTATCCATTCCACGAACCTTTGCACAAAGGTTGCGTGCTTCATTCCAGTCGACTTCATGATATGGTACAGTGAAAATCTCCTTCCTCAGTGATAAAACAGTGGACGTTATGGGACCCACAAACCTTTTTCCGTACAAATACGACATTGGCAAGTACACCATCCGACAATGACACCACATCCTTCCTGGAGCATGAAAATAAATTATTATGCTGTTGCTCTACTATGCAATAAATCTATATGCATAAGAACTATAAAACAAGCTGTAGCGAAAGAAAACAATATATATGTTGAGCAAAGAACTGATTATGCAAGCATTAGTTGACCAACAAATCATATCTTGAAGACTAGGAAGATAAAAACTTAAACAGTATCCAAGTTGTGAGAGTTGAGAGCATATGTTCAACTAATATTTATGAGCACCTGGATGGATTGGCAAAAAATACGGAAGAAGCCATATCTCAGGTGGCAGTGGGTTATTTCCAGACCATTCAAAAGCTCCAAGTACCTTTATTCACAGATCCAAGCAAAACGATGAGTCAAGTAACAGAAACACTCATATGATTAACTTAGAAGGGACAGATAGAGAGGTAAAGATTTCAGTACAGATAGCCACATTTTCCCCCAAGATGTGATATTGGTAGCGCCACCATGATTTAGAATCCAATCTCGCCCTTTCTCCATAGCTCCCTCTCCTTCGTTAGGTCCTTCTCCAAGCAACCTCAGAGTAACATAGTTCAAGACAGACCCAAACATGGTGCTGGGGCCCTCAATATGTAGACCCCAACCTCCGTCCTCATTCTGAAACCATATCCACCAATAGTAAAACTTGATTTAATGATCGGAAAGTAGAAGAAGTGGCGATAACGGCGCATTTCAATAGTAAAAAGAAGTATAATAAATTTCTTGCCTGGTGATTATAGAGATAACGGCGCATTTCATGTTTATGTTGTTCTGACAATACTGTATTCAGTGCTCCAGTAATGGAAAGCGTGATTATCTGGAACCATGTAACCCAGAATTAGCTTTTGACGAGTCTTCAGCAAAACTTGCAAAAGAAATCACAGAGACATAAAGTTTATGAACTAACCAGTCCTGGTAGAAGAAACATAGGACCGCCATAATCTCCTGGCCAGTGCCCGTCATGCGCCTGTATCGTTGAGTAGAAATCTACACCCCTCTTTAACGTGTTTTCCACCGTCTTGTCTGTAACATCATCACTATCTTTGACTTTGACTTGAGGTAAAACTGAGCCGATCAAGTTTTCTCTGGAAAACTACAGCAAATAAAAGCTTGAATTATCAGAGAATTGCGTGTCATATATCAAACCCTTATGGAAGAGTAAAGGACAGACATCAGAAAATTGAGGAGAAAGCCATGGACTCAAAAGGCTACAAACTACATAGACAATTAAAGAGAATCATTCACGGACACTCAGATGTTCGTATAATAGATATTGAGCAAATCCGCAATTGGTATCACAAGAATCATTTGGTCCTGTTAGTTTCTCAAGATAGTAGTCTTTAGACTGGAATCGTTTTTCACTTTTCACTGGAAAATTGCAGAAGATAAATGTAAATGAGACTCATAAAGCTAATCAGAAACAGTAAGATACAAATCAATCTCGTTAAGTTCACATGTTTCTAAAAAGTTGAGTTGATTTGAAGGGAAATCAGTATTGCACGCCAGTGATGATTAGGTAGAGTGAAGTAACGACTCTACTTCGTCCACATAAACTTGGAATTGTTGTTCTCATTCTACTCTAAGCTTTACAGATCAAAAATTTAGAAAATCATTACTCTTCATTTTTCTTTCTGATTCCATGAAGAACACAGTACTAAGCATCACCAGCTAAAAACGATGGTCTACACTACACAAACCTCGACAGAAAGTCAACGGAAAACAAATAAGAAAGGAAAAGCGAAGGGAAAAATACCTGAAGGCGCATAAGCAGATCGGAGCTATGTTTCTTCACGAATCGGTTCTCAGCAAACGATTTCCTCGCTTCCTCGATGTCGGCGAGTTCCTCAGGCGTCCCGAGCTTCGGATCGAACTCCCAAAACTGCCTTCCGACGTGATTATTGGTGGTTCTGAGCCACGGGCTACCTCCCTCGGCGATCTTCAGTTTCCACATTCTCGCTCACTGAGAAAATGGAGATACCGCTTGATCGCAAAACGAGTCGAATCAAAATGAGTGGAAGAAATTCCGAATTTTCGCGGAGAATTTTAACAGAAAAATGTAAATAGTTACCGGATTCGGAGGGATCAGAGATCACCGAAGAAGAGTGGATGAGAAACCGAGGATTGAAGAAGAGATGCAAATAGCCAGATGTGAATCATGTGAGCAATAGCCAATAGTGAAGGCTGTGGTCCTGTGGACCCCACTTTAGTTAGCTGAGTCCATTTATTTCTTTTTGTTTTTAATAAATTTGTCTGACACTCGACAAAACTGGTTTGGGTGATATTCGTTTATTTCAAATAGTTGCATTTTTAGACTCACAAACTTGTCCTCAAGATTTGTACTCGAAAACATTTTTAAAAGGTTATATAAAATCATAGACAACGTTAGAGATACCTAGGGAACCGAATCGAGATCTACATTTTTAGGTCCTATTCGATTTTCTTCATATGGAAGTCACTGTTAGAACAGTTTTCTGAATTAAAACAAATTTGGTGTTTTAAGTCATTTGTCAAAATTTGGATATAGTGTGCACAAGAAATAGGCATAAAATGTTGGCCAAACATGAACAAGTTACAGGTGTATAATTTGTCCTGAAATTTTGGACGATTTTCCTCTAATATATATATATAGATGATTGTTTTGTATCATTATCTCGCAGAAGTCTTCTATATGATGTCCACGTATCAATGTGGATATGAAGTTGATGTTTATCTTCCAAGAGTGTCCATGAGTAAGTCTATTTGTGGTGTCTATATCTCGATATCTTTAAAGACAATAATATCATTTAGAGTGTTTTACAGCTATAGGCATTTTTGAGTTTTTAATTATAGTTATAAGCACCTTCTACTCCTAAGGGACTTTCAGATGTTTTATTATCTAAAAAGCCCTTACTCTTATTTTAACAAGAAAACGCCGTTTCACTTCCCTAATTTTACTCTTTCACTCTCTTCAGTTTTACAACGACGAGTCCGACGGACTAGACACGACGAGAAGGTTAAAACCCTAAAGTCATTGCCGTTCGCCACCGCTACTCAATCCGTCGTTTCGCTACTCAATTTCGACTCGCCCTTCCACCGAATCCTTTATAGTCGGTTGGAGATCCCGTTTTTTTTTCATTAGTTGTACATAGACGCCGATCTTCATTGGTAAGACATGCCTCTAGATACCATAGCCGGTTGTCTTCATTGGAAAGAATAAGATATTTGACTTTGTTAGAAATGGATGTGGATGGTAAATTTAATTTGTCGGAGTGAAACACATTGTTTGTACGATGTACTTTGGATAGTAAACTCAAATTATTAGAATGATTCGAAGTTTCTGTCGAGGCATGGATGTCCACATCGGTGGTGTGTGGTTGGTAAGTTTGTGAAAAATAAATTATAAACTATTTTTGTCCTGACCATACCTATGTGTCCATAGTGACCATGGCTTAGCCTGTTAGGTGTTATCTGTCCATAGAGGGCTGTCCATCTTGGTGTGGTATGTAAGCTTGTGAAAATGCATTAGCAACTATTTGGTCCTGACCATGGACGGATGTCCATAGTTAAATGCTTGTAAACTGGTTGCGTGGGAGTTGTAGGGGTTTGATATGACATGTGGCTGTACACATGGATGTGTCCATAATTGCAAGGAGCGACAACATTGTAAATGTGGCTATACACATGCCTCTAGGTGCCATAGCCGCTTGAATTTGTACAAATGGTGTTGGACCGGGTTACGTGGAGTCAACTTAACTGACGTGAAGGTAGTGCCTGTCCATGCACGGCTGTCCACGGGTTGTTCTGACTATGTGTACGGTTATGCTAAATATATATCCACCATTTATTTTAGTCTTGGACGACGGTCTGTTGCTTGTACATATGTTATCCGTTTTGCAGGAATTTGTCTTAGTAGTTAGTAGGATAATGTCTTCGTATGAATATGTTATCAGAAATTGTTTAAAGGGGGGTAAACCGCCCAATACACCCTGTAGTCCTGTACATATGTTATCAATAACGTTTTGAAGAAAATTCATTTTCGTATCCACCGATACCTATACAAAAGCGATTACATCGAATATTCCAAGTGTGGGCCATTAGTTCATAAATTGGTCAAAGGGATGTAAACCACCCATTACACCCTGAATAAAGCATCCACTATATAGTAATCATGAGAAAAGTTTAAACTGTACGACCACACAAGTAGAAAGTTGGTAATACGTCAACTATCCTATCCACACCTGCCGATCCATAACACGATCCAGGCAATATGCAGCTATATCGGGTACTGGGAAGCATCCATGGAACGTTATCATTCGATGTTATGTGTAGCGTAGGCAATTATTAGCAAAGTCTTGTCCAATCGTGGCTGTACATCATGCACTGTACATCTGGATAGGATAGTGAAGAGAGGATTACCCGATGTGTTGGGTCATCCAAGGGGGCATGTACATACGCGAATGCACATGTGATCAAAACTATGTAAAAGTACGGCCGCATTATATTTGTAGGGGGGACTATCATCGTGCCTTACTCTGACTATCATGTACAGTTATACCAATCCAAATTAGCTATTGAGTTCGGCTATTCATACGCTCGGCGGGTTTTTTTTTATCAAAGTCTAATAACAGCCAAAGGCCTAGTAGTCCTTCGTTAACATTTAATTCGACCCATGAATGCATCCATCGTATTGTAACCAGGTACACAATATAATATGTACTATGTGAAATATGAAATAGGGGGTCTAGAACCACGAAACTTCAGTGAGTCGTAGGAAAAAAAAATCAGTGCAAACCAGATAACCATACCATAGAATCCACAGAAGCTGATCCAACTGTACATGTACACATATTTACCATCTGTGAAAACCACAGGATAAAACGCCGCACAACATGACAGAAACTAGTGTAACACGTATTGGAATTGCTATCCACGGTGATGAATCCATGATCTTTACTTCATGTGTCCATTAATTGAAACAGTGTATCATTAGTCATGTGTGTCTACTCGCATCTGTACAATTGTTATTGGTTAGTATTCTGTATGGTCTTCAACATAACGCTACAAACCTTGCCCGGCGACAGAAATTTGTGGGGTAAGAATAGTGTCATATTTGGAGATGCAGAGTATTATATTAAATTTGTGGGGTAAGACCGTAAGAATAGTTCAGCAGCCAAATTGTCCATAATCGACGTCATTATCCGTGCCGCAGGAATGGAAGCGTCTCCGTATTTTGGTTCTCTGGCTATTTCAGCTGTCAAATCTCCGGTATAAAAAAGACATTTGCTTTCCTGATAAAATCACATGGTAAAAATTGGAAGGGAAAGTCTCGAAATTAAATAAGGGGTATAGCTGGAATTTTGTTTCACACAAAAACAAGCAAAGTCACTAAGGAGCAACAAGTACCTTTAGCTGTTATTATACTTTGATAAAGTGCCTTTGGCTGTAATTTTCTCTATCATTTATCATCTTTCACCAACTAACTAGAATTTTACACCCAAGTCATGAATGAACTCTAGCTTTTTACTCCACCGACAACTTCATATGTACATCTATTTACCCTAGTGTCTCTCTTGTAACCTCAGTATATAAATCATGTAAATACTTCTCTAATGAATCATTCAGTTATCACTATTACAATGGTAAAGGTTCAGATTCGGTTATATACGTGCGTGACATTAAAAGAAAAACACTCGAAAAATTAAGTAATATTGTTAGGAAAAAATCTTGTTATATACGTTAAACTATATTGTAGCATCCATCTCTTCCTGTCATGGACATACAACTATTGTGTATCATCCATCCATCTTGATGATGATGTTTCACAGAAAGCCTATAGAAACTACGTCCCTATGTAGTACAAAATATGGAGTACAACAATAAACGTACATGTTTTTTTTTCCCCGTGGGGGGGTTTTCTATAATTCTTTTGAAGGAAAAAGCGAATATCCTCTACATTTTTCTTGCAGATAGATTTTCAAAACAGCATCACACACCAACACATAACCAACCTTTTGCGACTCTAAGGTGGGGTTGAGGTGTGTCGTCCAAGCAAACTGCAGTTTACTTTTCACTTGCTGGCTTGTCTCATTTCATGCTAAGTTAATTCCCTCACTTGACACTCCCCTTGATGACCTCCCATCAGCTTCACTCGCAGCATATGTTGAGTAAAAGTCATCGTCTCCTTGTTCTCTCTCCTTCATCAAATCTTCTATCTTCGCAACAGCCTCTCTTATATCTAACCTTTTCTCCACTTCTTCTTCGCAACAACTCAGTCCAATCCTCAAGAGTTTCAGAATCTCTTCCTCACAATTGTTGGTTTTCCCCATTTCTTGATCAAACAATTCTTGTGTCCATTCTCCTTTGAAAATCGACTTTACCCAGCTCACCATGGTTTCCTCCTTTTCTTGATTGGCTTGTGGGAAACTATCAGGGAACTTTCCTGTTAGAATCTCCAAGATGAGTACACCGAGACCCCACACATCAGTTTTCTTGGTCACACGGCTTTGTGTCAAGAACTCTGGAGATTTGTAAGCCACCATAAGCTCTTGTGCGCTTTCTTCGTTGATCATTGGGATCAAGCCATAGTCTGTAAGAAGAGGCTCAAAATTCTCACTCAGAAGAACATTGGATGATTTTAGATGACCATGTGGCGCCATTAGGCTAGGCAGGTTTTTGTGTAGGTATAAAAGTCCCCTTCCTACACCCTTCACAATATTCAATCTTGTTGGCCAGTCCAAGCTTGGTTGCCCTAAAGATTTATGACCTTTACACAAACAAAAACACAACTTGTAAGAAAAAAAAAATTATTTAGTAGTGTTTGATGAAAGTAGACAGAAAATAAATAATACCATGCAGATGACCAGCCAAGCTTCCTTTCTGAACAAAGTCAAAAACAAAAAGTTTCTCCTCCTTTTTATAGTAGTAAGCCACAATTGGGAGCAAATTATCATTCTTTAACCTCCCTAATCTCTTCATGTGATCTTGGAACTCATCGCTTCCTGCATTATTCATATGTTTAAACCTCTTCACTACCATGTTCGATCCGTTCGAAAGCACTGTCTTGTACGATCCTCCGAAACACCCACTTCCTAGAATCTCCGCAGATGCTTTCAGTAAATCTTGCAGCTCAAATTTTTCCTTGTCATCTCTCAAGAATGTCAACTTTGTGGTATGAATCATCCTCTTTGCGGTACGGTTTTGTGAATGGCAGCTACTTTGTCCCTTGTCACTATCTTGGATTCCAGCTCTCTTCTGTAGACTTGATGGTTCACCATCTGCTGACAATGGGGGCTGCTTGTTCCTTCGCCTCCGACAAATCGCAATGATTACTCCAATAATTATGAGTATGGCAAGTAAAGCTGCTACCACCGCAGCTGCAATGTACAAAAACTTTGATGTTTTCTTCTTGGATCTTTTCTTAGGCTCTGAAGAAACGTTGTAAGGAGAAGTACATTCCATGTCCAAAGGTTCTCCACATAACTCTTTGTTGCCTGAAAAAGGTGACATTCGATAAAATATATAAACAAAAACATAATCTCAAATCATAGAGGAAATAAAAAATAAAAAAATGGTGCACCTTCAAACATTTTTCGATCCATTTTACTGAGAACCTTTGGGATTGGACCTGATAATCCATTGTTTGAAAGATTTAACATGTGTAGCTCATGTGTGAATTCAGGTATTTGACCAGTGAACCTGTTCCCATCAAGTCTAACTTCTAAAACCTTGGGATATTTGGCAATGGACGAGGGAATTTCACCAACAAACTTGTTGTTTTCGAGATGGAGCTTCTTCAACCACCCCATCCCATCAAATGCATCCCTTGGTATCTCTACATCGTATTGATTGTTTGACAAGTAAATGGATTTTAGGGCACCAAGTTTCTTGAACTCCGGAAACGGACCGTTAAGTTTGTTATTCATGAAGCTTAGAGACCTTAGAGACCTCAAACTCGTCAACGCTTCGATGTTTAGAGAGCCAGAGAGCTCAATATTCTCTAGTCGTAGCCCCCAAATTTTGCCTTGATGACATAAGACACCAGTCCATGTGCATGTAGGATTCTTTCTGTCCCAGCTCTCCAAAGCGCCTGCTCTCCCAATAACAAGAGATTTCTTGAATTTCAAGAGAGATTCCGTCTCCCAGAAGCCATTAGCAGCCACGAGGAAGAGAGATACGATGGAAAAGAGGAGGAGAGAAGTAGAATTCATGGCCGTTGTAAGGAACGCGCACGGGAGGCGCGCCCTCTCAGGGAAGACAAAGATAGAGTTTTGGAGATGAACAAAGACGAAGATAATCTGAAATGGATGAGAAATGGCAGAGAAAGAAAGAAGAGTGAGGAAGAAGAGAGGTCTGAATCAAAGCATACCAAGAATAGACAACACTAGAAATATTTGTGGTCTATCCAAAGAAAGCATTGACGTAGTCCTTGTTCTAAAGAAATTCACTTGGAGAATTTGTGGTGGAGCTTTATACAAATTCCGGTTTTTGGTGTTTCTTTTCTTATTTTTTACTTCACTCACACTTCTTCTAACCTACAACATAAATGATAAAAATAATTTGTTTCAATGTTTAGAATGAATTCTTTTTTCCGGAAAATATTTCAAGAACTTCTAAAAATGTGATTCTCATTTTTCATTTAGAAATATCATTACTTCCACCATGAATATCAAGGATGCTTCGATGGTTTCTCCCTGGGATTTACAAGACTTAAAGCGATTTTAGTTACGAGATACGTGTATTCCAAGGTTTTCACAAGCAGATTGGACTTGTGTTAGAATGGGCCTAGTTTAGGCCCATTGGACTCTTGTCTCATTTATTTAGGTTTTATGCTATTTCCATTTCCTATTTGGTGAGAACATTCCAGAAAATCTATTTCGTCTATTTATCGTTCTTCTTCTTCCCCAAATTCTTCTCTCTTCTTTCATCATCTCTGTGCCTGTTCTCACCATGGATCCGATTCCGGGCTTATCGAAACTAACGGTGTCCTCGAAAAAGGTCGTACTGATTTGTTCCGACGGCAAAAGCTTCGAGATCGACGAAGCGGTGGCTCGCAAATCCAAGCTCATATCGAACATGGTCGAAGTCGGCTGCGACGGACCGATCCCGCTCCAGGACGTCACCGGGAAGATCCTCGAGAAAGTAATCGAGTACTGCGAGAAACACGTCGTCGAATTCGGTCCGGCTGAATTAGACGACGAAGAGGCGGAGAAGAAACGCCGGATCTGGGACCGAGAGTACATCTACGGAGTCGACGAGGAAACGCTCTACTATCTCATCCTCGCCGCTAACTACCTCAGCATCGGAGGCCTTCTCTCTCTCGCGTGCAGGAGGGTCGCGGATTACATCAAGGACAAGACCCCGGAGGAGGTTCGCCAGATCTTCGGCATCGAGAACGATTTCACACCCGAGGAAGAAGAAGCTGCTCGCAAGCAGGCGGTTTGGGCCTTTGGTCCATAACCATTAAGTTTCTGGTTTGCTAAATTTTCTCAGTCTTGTTAGTTCTTTTGTTGATGATGACGTGATTTGTCTCTCGTTTGGTGGATGAGATAGTGTGTGATTGATTGACTTCGTCTCTTTAAATTTTCGAGTTGTTATTAACGTTCCTTGTAATTTCATGGTTATCGATGTTAACAAACTCCGGCGATTAAGAATTGTTCCTCAGGCGCCGCCGTGGTTTTTAATAACAGAGTCACTTATTCTAGAGCTTCTCTATAGCTAAATTTATTACAAATTAAAAAAAAAAAATTTGTTATCTCTATTATCCACGTAGGCACATGATCGACTTCTTTACTCACGGCCTACCGCGTTTCTGAACAAATGTTTTACAAAGAAAATTTTGTTATTTCTTTTATCCACGTAGGCACATGACATGAGTATATTTCATCCATTTCTCTATTTTTGACTATATTTTAAAGTAGGGAAATTATAGTAAATGACAATAAAAAATGTCAAAATTAGACAAATAGCCATATTGAGTCATGACTAGAATATTTTCTGTATATTCTGTATTAATGACGAAACTGTCCTTTCTTTTTCACCTTCATTATCTCTATGTTCTTCGAACCTCGTCTCTGTTCTTCATAGCTGTGACTCCATAAGCTTTGCTCAGTGACTTCTCTGCTGTGGATCTCGCTGGCGTCCAAGGCTAGTAAATCTCGCTCGGAATTGTATCAAGCTTATCTTCATCAAATGATCAAGATTGAATGGACGTTGCAGAGACAGCTGATCATTGCGTTCATTACTGATCTTAATTCTTGCCTTTGTAACAATTTTTTTTCTAGATTTCATAGTCACGGTCTTGTTTTCTTTCTTTTCTTCTTAACCAAATCATGTAATTTGACTAATTCTGTATTAATTCTATATACTTTCAATTTGTACTATATTATTTCAACTATTTTGTTCTTGAATGATTTCAGTCTTCTTTTATTAAATGATTCCACCTCTTATTATACTTTGGGTTTATGGTTCCATTGCTATCATCAATTGACAAATGATCATTAAGAAAATTAGTAACAGAACAAAACAACCGACTGATATGACTCTAAAACCGCAAAACGACAGTGTAGCAGCTGAGGTAAATATGACGCAGGTCCATCAGGAGTGGAGGCCCAAAGTGATAACGAAGGAGCCCAGTAATGATCCACCAAAGCTCCAACGGTCACCTGCAACAACAGGACAAAAGAAAGAGGAAAATAAGGAGAAGAAGAGAAAAGTGAAACCGTACATCACAGAGAAATCAGTGAATCCGATGACGATACAGAATAGATATGCCTTGTTGTCTAATGACGTAATAGTTGATGTCTAGGTTAAATGAGTCTCCTTGTAATCTCTATATAAAGAGAAAACTGAAGCGTGTAAATATTAAGTTGAAATAAGATAATAAAACATATTCCGTTCAACCCAAATACTCTGTTTTTCAAATCTCTTCATGGTATCAGAGCTCCAGGGAGTAGATCCATGGATTCTCTAGCTCTAACGTCTTACACACCTGCTCCACAGAGTGTCTCTAGTGTAGTCACGGTCAAGCTTTCAGAAGAGACCTATCTCCTCTGGAAATTCCAGTTCGAGATCTACCTCACCGGTCAAGGGCTTCTAAGCCTTGTCGATGGCTCTAATCCACCGCCGCTAGCTGTCATTCAGGTACCAGGAATCAACGGTCAGACAACAGAGATTCCAAACCCAGATTATCACTCTTGGCTCAAAATAGATCATGTAGTAAAGTCATGGCTCATTGGATCCTTCTCTCACGATGTATTGGCTCTTGTCATCTCTTGTGCTATGACTCGCGACATGTGGCTTACGGTGGCGAATCACTACAATAAAGTTTCAGCTGCTCGTCTCTATGATCTTCAATGTCGACTCCAAGTGGTGTCAAAGAACGGCAGACCTATGGCTGAGTTTCTGAATGAGATCTCCACCATCTGTTCTCTTCTCCAGTCCGTAGGTCATATTGTACCTGAGCAAATCAAGATATTTACAGCTCTGAAGGGTCTCGGCCAAGAGTATGAGTCGGTAAAGGCTAGTATAGAAGGCGATATGGATAAGATTCCACCTCCTACCTTTCTTGGTGTTGTACCTCGCTTGATGAGTGCAGAGTCGCGAGTTCAGTTTTACAATGCTGGAGCTACTGTCACTCCTCATCTTGCCTTCAATACTATGCAGGCCAACTACAGCAGCAGAGGTCGTGGACAGTCTTATGGCCGAGGTAGCAGAGGTCGTGGAGCTTTCACTACCAAAGGTCGAGGCTTTCCTCAACAGCTGGGATCTATTAGAGGTCAGACGACTCAAACTGACTCTGAACCTAAGCTGCCGTGTCAGATTTGCGGAAAGAAAGGGCATCGAGCTTTGTCATGTTGGCACAGGTTTGACAATGCTTATCAAGAAGAAGATATTCCCCAAGCCATGGCTGCTATGAGGATTACAGACATTACAGATCAGACGGGTCATGAGTGGTATCCAGACACTGGTGCAAGTGCACATGTAACGAGCTCTGTGTCACACCTACAGCAGTCACAACCGTATATGGGTAATGATTCGGTAATGATAGCTGATGGTAACTTCTTGCCGATTACTCATACTGGATCCACAGTCATTGGCTCTTCTATAGGTAAACTTCCACTTAAAGATGTTCTAGTTTGCCCTGATATAGCTAAATCTCTACTCTCTGTGTCAAAAGTTACTAGAGATTATCCGTGTACCTTTAAGTTTGATTGTGATGCGGTGATTGTTAAGGACAAGGAAACCAAGAGGTTGCTTATGCTGGGAAGAAATAATGAAGAGGGTTTGTACAAGCTGAAAGATACCAAACCTGAGGTCTTCTTCTCGTCTCGACAACAAGCAGCTTCAGATTTGGTATGGCATCGGAGGCTAGGTCATCCTCAAGCTCAAGTTCTACAACACCTCTCCTCTATTGAAGCTATTTCAATAAATAAACACACTAATCTCGTCTGTGAGTCGTGCAGTCTTGGGAAAAGTGCTAGATTACCGTTTAGTTCATCTGATTTTGTTGCCTCTAAGCCATTACAGAGAATTCATTGTGATCTCTGGGGACCTGCTCCTGTAGTTTCAGTTCAAGGGTTCCGTTATTATGTAATTTTAATTGACAATTGGTCAAGATATTGCTGGTTCTATCCTTTGAAATGCAAATCAGACTTTGTTTCTGTCTTTATCTCGTTCCAAAATCTGGTCGAGAACCAGTTTAAAGAGAAAATTGGTACATTTCAAAGTGATGGAGGAGGTGAGTTCATTAACACAAAGTTGCTGCAACATCTACAATCGTGTGGCATCCAACACTTGGTGTCTTGTCCTCACACTCCACAGCAGAACGGTTTGGTGGAAAGAAAGCATAGATATCTTACTGAATTGGGATTGTCAATGTTGTTTCAGAGAAAGATGCCTTCTAAATATTGGGTTGAGGCATTCTTTACAGCGAATTACTTGACTAATCTACTTCCTACAACAGCTCTGCAAAACAAAGAGTCTCCATATCAGAGGATGTTTGGGATTTCTCCTATGTACACAGCATTGCGTACCTTTGGCTGTGCTTGCTTTCCCACACTAAGAGATTATGCTGATCATAAATTTGATCCGAAATCTTTGAAGTGTGTTTTCCTTGGTTATTCGGCTAAGCACAAGGGTTATCGCTGTTTGTATCCACCTACAGGCCGAGTATACATCAGTCGTCATGTGCTATTTGATGAGGCTGTGTTTCCGTTCAGTGAAGAGTATCGTTCTCTCCATCCACCTGCAGCTTCAACTCTTACAAAGGCATGGTTGCAGAGTTTTGTACCGACACCGACACCTACAAGATCAGATCCAATTCCAGTTCAGATAGTCAGCTCTAATGAATCTCAGCCGACTGCTTCAGAAGCACCAGGTTCTGACACAGAGAATACTCAGTTGCCACCATCAACATGTAATGATTACATGCCTGACGTACAGACCACGTCTACCACATTGGAGGATTCATGTTCTGGGCGTACGCCAAGCTTAGATCTTGCTGCTATAGGTGACAGCGTGAACTCCTCTAATGGTGGGACAGATGAATCTGTGTCTCAGGCTAATACTACTGCAGCAGAAAGAGAGCCTGCATCTACACCAGTCCCGCCGAAGACTCATCAAATGGTGACTCGGTCTCAAGTTGGGATTAGAAAACCGAATCCTAGATACGTGATATTAACTCACAAAGTTAAATATCCGAGACCACGTACAGTGGCTGAAGCTTTGAAGCATCCAGGGTGGAATGGAGCTATGACTGAGGAAATAGACACTTGTGGTATCACTAGAACATGGTCATTAGTTCCTTATACGCCTGATATGAATGTATTAGGGAGCAAATGGATCTTCACTCCTAAAATCAAATCCGATGGAGATCTAGAGAGACGTAAAGCTAGAATCGTGGCTCAAGGGTTTGATCAGGAGGAAGGCATAGACTATCTCGAAACTTATAGCCCAGTGGTGAGATCTGCAACAGTAAGAGAAGTTCTCCATTTAGCTACGGTGATGGATTGGTCAATAAAGCAAATGGATGTTAAAAATGCTTTCTTACATGGTGAACTTTCAAAGGTAGTTTATATGAAACAACCTGCAGGATTTGTTGATAAAGACAAGCCGGACCATTGTTTGCTACATAAAGCCATATATGGTCTTAAACAAGCTCCTAGAGCTTGGTTTGATAAGTTCAGTCATTATCTACTAGAGTTTTGGGTCCACTTGCAGTGTTAAGGATCCATCTATGTTCATATACATAAAGAACAAAGACATCATCATCTTGTTACTTTATGTAGATGACATGGTGATCACGGGAAATGATTCAGCAGTGAAGGAGAAGTTTCTTAATGAACTTAAAACTCAGTTTATGATGAAGGATCTAGGACGGATGGAATACTTCTTGGGTATACAGGCGCAATTTCATCCAGAGGGGCTGTTCTTATCTCAACAGAGGTATGCTGAAGATCTCTTGGTAACTGCGGCTATGAGTGATTGTGCTCCAATGCCAACACCTTTGCCATTGCAACCTCATCGTGTACCGGCACAGAATGTGAAGTTTGAGGATCCTAAATACTTTAGGAGTCTTGCAGGCAAGTTACAATACCTCACACTCACAAGACCTGATATAAAATTTGCGGTTAACTTCATCTGTCAGAAAATGCATTCACCTGCAGTTTCTGATTATAACTTGCTGAAGAGGATACTGCGTTATGTCAAAGGCACAATTACAATGGGAATCAACTTCAATAAAGCTTCTGATTTTACATTACAAGCTTACTGTGATAGCAATTATAATGGATGTCCTATCACTAGAAGGTCTACAGGAGGTTACTGTACTTATTTGGGTTCTAATCTCATCTCGTGGTCATGTAAGAAACAAGAAGTTGTGGCCAAGAGTTCTACAGAGGCAGAGTATAGAGCTATGTCTGATGCAGCTTCAGAGATAACTTGGATCGGAGCTGTTCTGAAAGAGTTAGGGGTACCACTGATGAAGACTCCACTTCTGTATTGCGACAATCTCTCCGCCGTCTACCTGACTGCAAACCCTGCATTCCACGTCAAGTCCAAGCACTTTGAAACTCACCATCACTATGTGAGAGAACGAGTGGCTTTAGGGCTCCTAGAGGTTAAGCACATTGCATCTCATCTACAGATAGCTGACATCTTCACTAAGTCATTGCCAGTTGCTGTATTCACCTCACTAAGATACAAACTTGGTGTGGATGTGCCTCCTACACCGAGTTTGAGAGGGGCTGATATGACTCTAAAACCGCAAAACGATAGTGTAGCAGCTGAGGTAAATATGACGCAGGTCCATCAGGAGTGGAGGCCCAAAGTGATAACGAAGGAGCCCAGTAATGATCTACCAAAGCTCCAACGGTCACCTGCAACAACAGGACAAAAGAAAGAGGAAAATAAGGAGAAGAAGAGAAAAGTGAAACCGTACATCACAGAGAAATCAGTGAATCCGATGACGATGCAGAATCGATATGCCTTGTTGTCTAATGACGTAATAGGTGATGTCTAGGTTAAATGAGTCTCCTTGTAATCTCTATATAAAAAGAAAACTGAAGCGTGTAAACATTAAGTTGAAATGAGATAATAAAACATATTCCGTTCAACCCAAATACTCTGTTTTTCAAATCTCTTCACCGACGAATTGACGATAGCAATCGTACACAATCTTTCAATCAAGGGTATTTTCGTTCAGAAACACATATCATGGCTATTTACTTCATTTAGAAAAAATGATGGCTATATTTTTAATTATATCTCCAATATGGTTACTGAGCCAATTAACCCTTTAAAGTATCTCTAAAGTAGAAGATATATGTGTATTTTCTACATATTTCTCAAACTTTTTAAGTTTCCTGTTTCACAAATTGATATATTAAATTTTATTTTTGTGTATTATGATATCTTTCGAATTAAACTTTATTATATAAAGAAAATTACATTACATCAACATCATATAAAACATGATAGATTTTGGTTTATAAAACAGGGTCACTTTTTGTATTTAAATTTTCGTTCTCTCTTCAATTTATCTCTTTTCCCAATTAAAACTTAAAGAAGTTGTCCAATTTGCGAATTTACCCTTAAAACTTCTATCATGTATTGTATTTTAAAGAAAAATCATATTACATCATTAACTTGCTAGTCTTTATTGTTTGTAATAATTTTCATGTATTTTCAAAAACTTTTACCAATTTATCATTTCTATGACTTTCAAGAATTTTCTGTGATTAACTATGTAATGATTTCATTACATTTTAATAGATTTAAAATAGTTAATATGGAAGTTCACTAGAGATAAAGGGGAAAATTGGCTAATATTGTAGAAAACCCAAGATACATTCATCACTGTCATAGTCAAAATACTTTTTTGGGTTATTTTCTTAATTTTGAGATAAGATAGCTATCACACCTAATCTCAGTTTTTAAACTATCATTGGTATAAAGTTAATTTTTCAGTCAACCACTGGATAGTAAACAAACAAACTCTAAATGGTAACTGCTTTACGTTACAGCTCTATATACTTTGTTCTTTTACATCTGTCACACAATTTGTTCTTTGGTCTTTACATAAACAAACAGAAAAGCAAGACCATCGATAATTTCAAGGTGCACCTACACAACCACTTATAAACACAAGAAATAAATAAATAATTCATTCATCATTAGAGATGCAGAATGAGATGGAAGAGAAGTTTGAAGATTGGAGTGGTAAAGAGGCAATCGTCGGGAAACATGGTGGGATTAGAGCTGCTTCCATTGCTTGTGGTAAATTTCCAAAACCACGCCAACAAAAAAAATACCTTAAAAATTAATACTTTTCAATTATCTATAATAGATTTGGTATATATGGGCTAATGTAGTTGTGGAGATGATGGAGAATATGGTGTTCTTGACATATTCAACCAACTTCATTACATACTTTACGAAATCATTGCACTACTCATCAGTCAAAGCATCAAACATGGTGACCAATTTCACAGGAGCATCGTTTTTGCTCACTATCTTTGGTGGTTTTGTCGCCGACTCTTTTCTCACTCGCTTCACCGCTTTCGTCCTCTTCTGTTCCATTGAACTTCTGGTAATTAAAAAAAAAAAGGTAAAATCATTTTCATTAGTAAACAAAAATAACATTAAAAGTTTACTCATTTCTTTGATAGGGTTTGATCTTGTTGACCATCCAAGCGCATAACCCTAAACTTCAACCTGAGGGTGATAAAGATCACTGGTCTCTTCAGTCAGCGATTCTGTTCACCGGTCTTTATGCGGTAGCTACTGGTGTTGGAGGAGTCAAAGCCTCGTTGCCTGCTCACGGAGGCGACCAGCTCGATACTCGGAAGGAGAGGCTTATCTCAGGATTCTTCAATTGGTATTTCTTCTCTATCTGTCTTGGAGGTTTCTTGGCCGTCACGATTATGGTTTGGATAGAAGAGAACAAAGGATGGAGCTCAAGCTTCGATATCTCTACAGCGGTTTTAGCCTCTGCCCTCTTTATCTTCGCCGTGGGGTTCCCGATGTATCGGTTCAAGACTCCAACAGGAAGCCCTCTGACCAGAATGGTGAATGTGTTTGTTTCTGCCGCAAGAAACCGAAATAGGCTTGTAACGGATGATGAAGAGATGACGCAGAGTCTTGTCTCTACCGACAAAAGCATTCATCACAACAAATTCAAGTAAATTCCAAACACATATTGTTCTTGTCTTTTTTTATTTTGGCACTAATTTACAAAATGAACACACTTAAGTCCTAACTCCTCACACTAAACTTATTATATATGGAATCGTTTCTCTGTTTTTTTCTCCACTCATTGTGGAACTAGAGTTAATTCTTCATTTATGTGATATTAAAAGTCGATATAACATAATAACTCATAATAATGGAGTGTGTATTTAATTTTCAGGTTTTTGAACAAAGCGAAGCTCAACAACAAGATCACAGCAACAGAAGTTGAAGAGACAAGAACGTTTCTAGCTCTCCAACCAATCTTTTTGAGCACTATTGTAATGAACTGTTGCTTAGCACAACTATCGACCTTCTCCGTACAACAAGGCATGATGATGAACAGAAGACTCATGCACTCCTTCGAGGTTCCCGTCGCTTCCCTCCACGCCATTGCTCTCATATCGATGCTCTCTTCTATAGCTTTCTACGAACTCTTTGGCAAAAGGATCCCATCAAGCAACAACAGCGAGCGATCATCGAGCTTTGTTTTGAAACGCATAGGAGCTGGTCTAGCTCTTACCTCTGTTTCAATGGTAATCGCAGCGATCGTAGAGGTCAAGAGAAAACATGAAGCGGTTCACAACAACGTCAAAATCTCTGTGTTCTGGTTAGAGATTCAGTATGTTTTGTTGAGTTTCTCGGATATGTTGACTCTTGGAGGAATGTTAGAGTTCTTCTATAAAGAATCAACGTCGAGTATGAAGAGCATCAGCACGGCGTTGGGGTGGTGCTCCACCGCATTAGGTTTCTTCCTCAGCACGGTTCTTGTGGATGTTATTAACGCGGTCACCGGATGGCTCAACGGAAAAGATGTCAACGAGTCTAGGCTCGAATTGTTTTATATGGTCTTATGCGTTCTCAACACTCTTAATCTTTTTAATTATATCTTCTGGGCGAAAAGATATTAAAGCAAAAGAACAAAGTATGTTGCTTGTATCTCAAGTTATAATTTATATTAAGAGAAAGCTTTCATAACTTTTTTTATTGAAGATGCTATGCATACTATGAAATCCTAACTTTGCAAAAACGAAACCCTAATTTTTCTAACACCATGGAGACTGGCGACTGGTCGAACCTTCCTCCTGATATGCTTGGATCTATATTCCAACGATTAAGCTTGGCGGATTTTCATCGAGCTAAGACTGTGTGTTGGAACTGGAACTCGAGTTCGAGGCTAACTCTTTCCCGGAAAAGAGAATCTCCATGGCTGATTCTGTTTCCTCATGACAGTTATGATGTCTGCATGCTGTACAACCCAGACGAGGACAGAGTTTACAGGACAAATAAAGACTTGTCAGGGACTCGATTCCTTGCGAACTACGGTAACTGGCTCCTAATCCTAGATTCTACCTCTAATTTGTACATGATAGATTTGTTTAGCGAGAATAGGATCGATCTTCCTCCATTAGAGTCGCTCATATCAAGTACATCTTCTCTCAAACGTGTGGGAGATAAAGAATTTATATGGGAATTTTCTGGAGGCTCTTATTACAATCTGACCACCAATGACCTTAGAGGACGTTTGTGGGTAAACGAGAAGACGGAAGAGTTCGTTGTAGCGTGGTACTTTTACTGCCCTTCAAGTCATTTATGCTTTTGCAAGAAAGGGGAACTTAGTTACACTGTCATTCCTCTGCGTGAAGAAGTCCCCGAATCGTGATATGGCTTATTCGATCTGGTTCTTCGTGGTGACCGTTTTTACATCGTAACAACCCGTCGTTGCATTCGAGTCATGGATTTTTCTGGACAGCAAGGTTTCAAAGATGTCACCGTGAGTCCCCCATTACCAATGATTTTTCCTATCGGAGTGGAATGTTTTTGTAATATTGCGGTTACAATAGGTGGAGAGGTTTTGTTGGTGGCGACCACAACCCGGAATGTTGAAAATGGAAGAAGTTTCCGCCTCTACAAGATGGATCCTGAGGCAGACCCAGATGACTGCAACGCCGATCTTCTTGAGGTAGATTCTCTTGGTGATGAGGCCTTGCTGACTTGGGAACCACCGTCCCTGCTAATGATCATACCCTTGGTTTCGAACCAAACTCTATCTACTTCACCCAGCATTACCGTTCCCGTCTCCGTGTCCCTTATAAGCTAGACATATGTGTCTTCAATCTTGCAACCGAAACCCTCAAACGTTTCCCTGATCTTGCTTACTTGAATCCCAAGGATGCGCGGTGGTTTCTCCCTGTGACTTAATTGAAGGACTTGATTCTGCATTTTGGGTCATCGTTTTGTTTTCCTTTTATTTATCTGTCTTGAATAAACATGGTGGACTTGAAGGATATATGAAGGAAATTTTGAAAAGATTTCATATAGTGTACATGCATGCCTTTTTGATAAAAGAACGCTACGATACTATGTAAATTGTAAGGAAATGTTATTTTATGGCTAATGAACTAGTTAAAAATAGAAACTAAAATAGCTAATGGTTGTGAATAATTTTTTACTTCAGTTACAGGTTATGAGCAAAAAACAGTTAAGAGATATGCAATATATTAACTTCAGTTATAAATTTACAGCTTTCACTGGATGAAACCTTTAAAGGACACCATCGAAAAGAAACAGAACAGTAACAGAAAAGAAAGTCAAAGAACTTTTATATATAAATGTTGTCTTGGCCATTTATCTAATATTAGCTTTTATTCCAGCGTCTTTGAAACCCAGAATGTTTGAAAAGAATTTGTGATTATCTTGTTCTTTGCAAGAACAAAAAATGGTGAAGAAGTTGAAGATGGTAGGAAGCGACAGAAGAGACGACAACGTTGCGGTTGCGATCGATAGTGACAAGGGAAGTCAGGCTGCATTGAAATGGGCTGTTGATAGTCTTCTAACCTCAGGAGAGACTCTTACTCTTATTCATGTCAGACTCAAACAAACCCTTCTTTCAAATGGTAACAAAATGCTCATTCCCTTCAATCAACAACCACTTCTTGTTTTATTACCTTCAAATGATTTAATGTTCTTGATGCAGCAGACAACCCAAATAAGTCTAGAGATGACGTTAAGGAATTGTTTCTTCCATTCCGCTGCTTCTGCACCAGAAAAGATGTGAGTTTTTTATTAAAGAAAAACAAAATGAACCATTCATAGAGAAACATGTGTCCTATATTAGAGTTTCTTAAAGTTTATTATCAAATAAAAATCGATTCTCACTTTTTATCATAAAAAGAGATATTTTTGTTAAAATGTTAATCTCGATTGTCACATCAGAACATTCAATATCAATATCATTAGCTTGTTAAAATATTGTTAGCATTATGGATGGTTTTAATAATTGAAATTTGCAAGGACAGAGTTATTTTCGTCAGAAAATGTTAAAGATGGAGAGTCTTGTTAACAGATAAAATGTGAAGATGTGGTATTGGAGAATGTTGATGCTGCTAAAGGAATCATAGACTATGTGCAAGAGAATGCAATTGATATTCTAGTACTCGGTGCTTCCAAGATGACTCTTTTAAAGTAAGAACATATTTTCTTGCTTATCAAAATCATTCTTCTTGCTAACACACAAAGAAAGTATCTTATATGTATATATTTTGATGTTGTGTTTTCAATAGGAGGTTCAAAGCTACAGATGTTACGAGCTCAGTGATGAAAGGAGCAGCAAGTTTCTGTACAGTTTACGCAATCTCCAGAGGTAAAATCTCGTCGGTTAGATCAGCCACGTCTTCACCTCCACCATTATGCATGTTACCTCGGCAGTTACCAGCTCGGCCTAGCAACGCCAGCAGCGACAGCAACAGCAACTCCATTCCAAGACCAAAAACCCTTCAACGTATAGCTGAAAGGAAACATGACGAGATCGAGATCAAGTACAAGTACGTTTCCTAGTAACCAATCAAACATGCTATTGTGATGATATTCATATACACCTCTTGAGTTAATGATGATTTCAAATAGGTCACCTTCATTCATGAGAAGAGGATATGACAAAGCCTCGGTCACAGACTCAGACATATCGTTCGTGAGTAGTGATAGGCCAAGTATGGACTGGATGTTCCCAACGCCACGTCATTCAGTTAGCTCTGAGTTTGAAGAGAACCGATGCAGCTTCGCTACATCCTCATGCTCATCAGAAAAGCAGTCTGTAGACTTTGGTTCTTCATATTCTGCCTTCTCCACAAGCTCTCAGGAAAGTGGTAGACTCTCTTCATGGTCACAACACAGCCAGGTAAATATATACTATATATTAATCATTTTCAAGCTTTCCAATTATTGGTAATGAATGGTAAACATATACTCCACTATATATTAATCTCCTCAAGGCATAATCTTAATTTAATCTATAAAATCATACAGGATGAAGTAGAAGCTGAGATGAGAAGGTTGAAAACGGAGCTCAAGTATACAATGGAAATGTATAGCATGGCCTGCAAAGAAGCAATCGCAGCTAAAAGAACGGTAAGTATATATATTATGTACTTGAAATGGTCATTTAGTTATAGAAAAAATTGAGAACTGAAACCGTGTATTTCTCAGACTAGTAAGTTACACAAAATGAAACTAGAGAGGGAACATAAGCTAGAAGAAGCAAGACTCGCAAAGGAAGCAGCAATGGAAATGGCAGAAAACGAGAAGGCAAAAAGCAGAGTAGCCATGGAAGCAGTAGCAACCGCTCAAAGAAGAGCAGAAATGGAAACTCAGAAGAGAAAACAAATAGAATCAGCAGCTCAGAGAGAGACAGAGGAAACGAACAGAGGAATGTGTTCTTCAGACAAAAGATATAGGCAATACACAATCGAGGAGATTGAAGAAGCAACACAAAACTTCTCACCTAGTCACAAGATTGGAGAAGGAGGTTACGGACCTGTCTTTAAAGCTACTCTAGACTACACACAAGTGGCGATAAAGATCGTGAGACCAGACGCCACACAAGGAAGATCACAGTTCCAGCAAGAAGTTGAAGTTCTAACATGCATAAGACATCCGAACATGGTTCTGTTGCTAGGAGCTTGCGCTGAGTACGGATGTTTAGTCTATGAATACATGGCAAACGGTAGCTTAGAAGACCGTCTTCTCAGACGAGGAAACTCTCAAGTCCTCTCATGGCAGGTAAGATTCCGCATTGCAGCTGAGATCGCCACTGGTCTCAACTTCCTCCACCAGATGACACCAGAGCCATTAGTGCACCGTGACCTTAAACCAGCTAACATATTACTTGACCAGCACATGGTCAGCAAGATTGGTGACGTCGGTTTAGCTAGGCTCGTCCCTCCTTCGGTTGCTGGCACAGAGACGAAGTACAGAATGACTTCAGCTGCTGGGACGTTGTGTTACATTGATCCTGAGTACCAGAAGAGTGGTATGCTTGGAACAAACTCGGACATATACTCGTTCGGGATCATCCTCTTGCAGATACTCACGGGGAAGCCGCCGTTGAGTTTGACTCACCAGGTCAAGAAAGCGATTGAGGAAGGAACGTTTTCTGAGATGTTGGACCCTCTTGTTCTTGACTGGCCACTTGAAGAGGCTTTAGTGTTGGCAAAACTCGGTTTGCGATGCGCAGAGTTGAAGCGGAAAGATAGACCAGATTTGGGGAAGGATGTGTTGCCTGTGCTTATAAGACTCATGGATTTAGCAGAAGAAAGCTTGCCTGTCGCTTGGTGTTCGCCTAACAGCAGCCGGAGTAGCATCCAAAGCGACAGTCTAGTATCCACGGCTTCAGAACAGGAGATAATATGCGATCGATCTCACAACAAATATGGATATGATGAGAGTTGCAATAACAGCACAGCGTCTTGAGGAGGGGAAAAACTAGGTACAAGTAAGACTCAATAGCTTGTTTTATTCTTGGAAGATGAAGAATCATTGTCAAAGAGGAAGGTTTGTTTCTTGTATTAAGTATTTAAGTGTAAATGAATCTTCTAACTCTTGACCAATATATATATACATATTTTTACTCTTTTGTTCTTAGATTGCCTGAAGCAAAGATTTTGATTTTGTAACTCTGAGTGAAGCTTATAACAGATACTGTATATGTTAACGAAAACCTATATTTTGAGATTTGTTTTGGCCTTTTTCCTTTCATGGAATGGATGCAATTGCATTCCACTCAGTTTTGACATATTCTTCACAAAAAACTCGAGGGAAAGACCAAATCCAGAAGAAACTAAAGGAAATAACAGATTACTAACCCGAAATTTTCAAGTCATGAATCGGCAATACACTTATCAAGTCTCACAATTCAAAGCCTACCGAACAATTGTAATAGTCTGAAATTGCAATGCTGAGAGTTCTGTCTTCGACAATTCATCATAATTTCCCACAAAATCTCTTAGAACATGCTATAAATAGTTAAATACCATACTCTTAAAAAAACAACACAATTATTGCCGAAACTCGTGCGAAGTGCAGTTCAAAATTTCACAAGAAAACGAAGACACCAAGTAAGAGGACTTTTGTGGGCATTGTCATCATTGATTTCCCCTGTGTTCTGAAGATCACTGTTTCATCTCAAGAGATGATGAATTCTAAGCAGCTATATTTGTCAAATCTTTCACCTGGACAATTTCCATAGGCTGCACACATTGCAATTACCACAAAGTTAGATCCCACAAATTTAAAGTCGCTCGTATCCTCTTTCAAAAGGAGACACGTTTAACAATGCCCCATTTTTAAAGCCACTTAAGCATTCACAACATGATTTGAAGACTGTTTTAAATCTAACTCAAAAGAATTCAGCAACGCGCATCAATGAAAGCAAATGGTTCAAATTTTTGCCAGAAATAAAGAAAATTGTGTTTACCTCTGCTAATTCCTCTTCATGCTTCACGATGAAAGCTGTATCAACTTTTCCGTTCTTGAAATCCTGTTACCATCATGTAATTTTACATTAAAATCCAATAATATCATATGACAAAAGGTTCCCTAAGAGGACAGCTAAGTAGATCTTTCACACACCTCAACATCAAGGATAAGTTTGTGGTACTCAATGGTTGTGGGAACCCCTGATGAAAGAAAGAAAAGGAAAAAAAGTTGAAAACATTTCATTAAAAGTGCTTACGAAAGAAAATGTCACATTTTATGGATAGCAGAATCAGAAGAAAGAGTAACAATGGCAAAACATAAACAACGCAGAATCAGCAGAATGTTATCCACGGCATACCTGTAATAATAGTGTCATTAAGTGCACGTTTCATCCGATCGATTGCCTTTTCCCTCGTTGGAGCCCATACAATAAGCTATAAAATAAAAACAAAATACACGACGAATGTCAAAAGAAACCAATAGATAAATCCCTGATAGCTCCACTTCAGAACTAAGAACATCAATTACAAGTTCTGGAACACAAACACAAAACAGTTCTGTTGAAATGGGGATGCATATGTCAAAGATTGCAATGCTTTTATGATGTCAAAAAAAAAAAAAAAAAAAAAAAAGAAAAAAGATTGCAAAGCTTTTATGGTGTCAGTCTAATGTGATGCCACAATTTTTTCTTAAGAACCCAACCAGATACATTCAGGAAAAGAGAAAACAACACTGTCCTTTACCTTTCCAAGAAGAGAATCATAGCTTGGAGGAACGACATAGTCGGGATATACATGGCTGTCCATTCTAACAAAAGGACCTCCAGAAGGCAGATATGATGTTATTCTTCCTGTTATTGTGACAGTAAATAGTTTTTTAATCAAAGCTCATTTGCTAACAGTTGGTAAATGTAGCATGTAAACAGTTGAACGCACCAGGCCCAGGTCTAAATCCTTTAAATGGGTCTTCTGCATTGATACGACATTCAATCGAGTGTCCTCTAAGCACAATTTCCTCCTGTAAAGAAAATTATTCCGGATTGAAGAGCTTTTCTGGCAAAACCTTTCCTCTATTTGGAATTTCACAAAACAATGACAGTATTACCTGCTTATAACGCAGTTTCTCTCCCATTGCAACACGAATCTGTTCTTCAATCAAATCAACGGAGTAAATCATCTCCGTCACAGGATGCTCCACCTATGTTAATCCCCAAACAACGATAGCCACTCATTATGCTTTAGATACTTCTTGAATATGTAAAGATTAAAATACGCTGAAGCCAGGATAACTTATACTAACCTGGATTCTAGTATTCATTTCCATGAAATAGAAGGAACCTCTCTCATCCAAAAGAAATTCAACAGTGCCAACACCAATGTACCCAATCGACGCTGCTGCTGCAACTGCTGCATCACCCATGGCTTTCCTCAGCTCAGGGGTCAGTGCAGGAGAAGGTGCTTCTTCTAGCAACTTTTGGTTACGTCTCTGTTGTCAAGAGAATATATAGTTTACGAGCCCAAAATTACCAACAATTAGTGGAAAGAGAAAAAAACAAAAAAAAAAAACAATCATATTTCTAATATTCTGAGAACGCAAGTTCAACAACTTGTATCTTAGCAAGAGAACTATAGTGTAGCAGATCCAGCAGTTGGAAATGGCATGTAGGCCTGCTATTTTCGAAGATGAATAGTGAAAAACAGACTAAATATTAAGCATCCATTTCTTCTTTTGTTCTTAGATCACGAAGAAACAAATAAATAAACTAAGACTGGAAATGATACCTGGATGCTGCAGTCACGCTCGCCAAAGTGGACAACATTACCAAATTTATCTGCAAGAATCTGAAATCCAACAGCTGTAGATGAGAACAGTTGATAGCACACTAAAGATACAAAATTTATTTTTCCTTGGTTGAAGCTTAGAAAAAAAGGAATAGGTTCATAAGTAGTCTCTTTCTATTTGTATCTCACTCTGAGAAGGATCATCTTTTTCTAACTCTCGAATAATTTTGAAACAGCAGACAACTGTATACCTGGAACTCAATATGCCGGGGATTTTGCACATACTTCTCCAGATAACATCCATCATTCCCAAAAGCAGCAGCAGCCTCACTCTTTGCTTGCTGCAGAACAACAAATTATGCCGAACTCAAGGTTGTTAGAACTCTTACAGATCTTAATGGTATAGTAGTCAAGGGATACGGTTAACATTATTATACTTATATTTACTACAATATCTTCATACAGATAAAGTGTTCTTACGAAAATTAGAGATGTAATGAAGAGCATCAAGAATGAGACTCTAGATTGTCTATGCGTTTAGATTTTATGATAAATTCCTATCAAATATCTGAATAGGACATGATTGCGTAGATCTGTTCTCTAAACAGTCCTACTGAAATGCAAATGCTGGCTAGTTTGCCTTGATTTACATACCTGCAGCAATTTTACAAACTCTGACGGTTCATTAGCAAGCCGCATTCCACGTCCACCACCACCAGCTGTTGCCTTGAAACAAGAAAAACGCCAATTGTGAGATTCAATAGTGAAAGATTCTAAAAAGTACAGAAATAGCTTTCGGAAAAAACAAAACAAAAAAAGCTTCAGCTGATGCCAGATTGAGCAAATCCTAAGTGAGAATCAAGGTAATTGTGTAAAACAGGGAACCCGTAGAAAGAAAATAATTACCTTAATCATTACAGGGTACCCAATCTCATTGGCAAGCCTGACTCCTTCTTCAGTGCTCTGAAATAATGAATTTCAGTGCATGGAAGTTCCATGGCACGTTTTGATATGACTAAACATGAAATACACAACTTTATGGTCCAAAGTAATACCTGCAACAGTCCATCACTCCCTGGTACAGTTGGGACACCTGCATTTTTCATCGTCTCTCTGGCAGTTGCTTTGTCACCCATGACACGGATGCTATCAGGCTGCATAAATTAAGGAAGAAATCCAGATGATAAAGTTGTAGAACATTTTCTTTTCTATTATTCTAAACCTTAATCAAGAATTGAATTCGGCACTCAAGAAAATAGAGTTAGAAGTCCTAAGAAACCGAATATCCGATATTCTGAAAATGTTTTGAAAAACTTACATTTGGTCCAATAAAATTGATCCTGTGGTCTCTGCACATCTCTACAAAAAGAGCGTTCTCCGCAAGGAATCCATATCCAGGATGAAGCATTGTACATCCTCGGCTAATTGCAGCTGACAGAACATTCGGTATCAACAAGTACCTGCCAAAACAAATTCAAAATAAAAATCTAACTTTTCTTATCCCAATCATCAGGCATATCGACCATATGAATCTAATACAAATGTCTAACAAAAAAGCATCACGTAATCAAACTTACTTCTCAATCTTGTACTACCATTAGAAACATCACTCATAGAACCACGAAATGATAAAAAGTTCACAACACACATAGAATAAGATAAACTTACGACTGGTTGCTCGGAGCTTCACCAATACAAACGGCTTCATCAGCCAGTTTCACATGGAGAGCATCCTTGTCTATAGTTGAGTAAACAGCAACACAAGGAATCCCCATCTCATGCGCGGTTCGGATGATACGGACGGCAATTTCACCTCTGTTAGCCACAAGAATTTTATCACCGCTACATGTAGCTCCAAGTGCGCCGCCACCACCACTAGCCCTCTTCACTTTCCGGCTAACTTTCAGAGTCTGAGTTCTTTGCTTAGGGAAGCTAACCACTCCGTTTCCCATCATGACATTACTTTGTGAACTTTTTATTCCTCCTGACCTCCCCAGGAATAAAGACTTGCATACAAAAATATGAAGAAGTAATCAGAGAAACAGAAACAAACTCAATAAACTATGCATCAGAACCAAAAGATTCAAAAAACCAATCCATGAACGAAAGCTGATTAGTACGATTTCACTAGCAAATGTCATGAGAAGATCATCAATGGGACGGTTAAAGTATTTGATAAACTAGCGCGACGTAGTCAGGCAGTGAAATGAGTTCGTCTAATTGACAAATTTGAGATCATTCAATCCATAAACTCGAAAAGTGAACGAAGAAAGGTTGAATCGGAGGTGTCACAGGAGTTACAATGAGAAGAGAGAAAAAAAAGAGTGAAGAGTGATTTTTAAGCTTACGGGAGGGGAGGCGAAGGATTTGCAATTGGTAATCATTGAGGCGTCCATTGTTGAATAAGAGAAGAAGCAGATCCTGATTTACAAATATAAGACAGTGACGAATCTCATTAACAATGCGGAAACCAGGAAGAAGAATGAGACGAGTACGAAGACGGAGACGAAGATGAGTACCGATGGAGGAGAAACCGAGAAAGGTTTCGATGCAAACGAGGGAGAGAGAGAGAGTGTGATTAAATCGGCCGGGTCTTGTAGTCTAAATGATTTGGGACCCACCCATCCACCAAATGTTCACCAATGTCGCGTCTACTGTACCGGTCACATTTTTTTATAATTTTGTTCTTTGCTAAACATCCATTATTTCATTATTAGAACTTGTTTATGTTCACGTTCTAAATCTATATGCATTCTTGTTGTATAGCAACATAGTGTTTTTGTAGACCAATTTGGAGTATAGGATAAATATCGAATCAGTAAATACATTTAGTGCAATGTCTCGGTTCCCTGTTGTTCCATTTCCATAGATAAATTTTCAAGACAGACAGAGAGCATACAAATGCCAACTTAACAATTTAACATCTCGATCATAAAAATTTACAAAAGAAAGTTCTTTACCCTACGAAACACATTGAATCACTTTACCCTCCTCTCACTTTCAATTTGAGAAGAAGATAAAATTGAAAGCCTAGCAAGAGAAGTAAGAATAACTAATGCTTCTAAATTTGATGTCAAGAGTCATGGGAACCAAGAGATCGGTGTAGAGCTGGTTTGGGGAAACTGTGGTATCATACAATGAAGCTGCTGCTGCTGCCACTGAGGCAGAGAGACCCTACAACCGCTGCTGCTGCTTTCTTCTTCCACATCCATGGCTGCTTCTTCCATCATCTCATCTTCACCGTCCAACTCAACAATCTCTGGCTCGGACGGTTCCTCAAAGGTTCCTGTGGATCCCAAGAACTGGGATTGGTTCCAGGGAACAACGGCTTGTTGCTTGTTTGTTTCGTCATCATCGTCAAAGTGATCATCACCTACTGCTGCATCATGAAGAAATCTTTCTGCAAACAGATCAGAATTGCACGTTGACATTTTAGATCACAAACCATATTCAAATAGCATACCAAACAAACTAAATCGAGAAGAAAAAAAAGGCAAAGAATCCTCAAATAACAAGGCTAGCTAAACGTATAAACTCAATTAGGTCCTCCTATCATCTAAATTTCACCAAGTAAAGGAAGATTTAATCAGCAACAAAGAAACAGTGTAACAAGCTTCATAGTAATCATTATATTCCCTGGAACCAATGTCAAATGTTCTCATGGCCAAAAACGATACCATCAAAAAGTAAACCACAAGCAAATGAACACAGTATCAAGCTTCATAGGGGTCATTATGATCCTCTTAACCTAACTAGCACTAGCAAATTACAGCTCACCATGAAAACAAAACTTAAAGCTAATCAGCGACCAAGTATTGTGAAGTTTGATCGAATCATCAAAAGGTGAAGAAAGTTTAGTTTAAAGAGCTTACTCTTGAACCCAGAAATCAGCTTTCCATCAACAAAAATGTGAGGTTGGATAGGCTTGTAAAGGACAATCGCTCTCTCTTCATTTACTGGAGCAGATTGGATTTCCTCTTCTGCCATAATCGGTGGCAAATCAACATCTTCCTCCATAATCGGTTGCAAATTCGAATCCTGATACATCACAAATTCAATCATCATCATCCAAGTAACGTAAGAGAGGTTTTTCAAAACAAACAGCAACGAATTTTGTCGAAATCAGAAGAGGGAAAAGACGAATTTTACCAGACGGCGGATCTTTCTGGCGGGAGAAGAGAGAGAGAAATCCGAGAACTCATCGTTCACTCTGGCAATCTCTTTCCTCTTCTTCATCTTCATCGGCAAGCAATCGTATCCCGCCATGTTTTTCTGTCCAAAAGCTTCTTCGCGAAATACTCAAAAATCGAATAAACTCTGAGATCGAGAAGGTTAAGAGTTATGCTAATTGAGAATTCGAAAAAATGAATGAAGACTGAGAAAAATCCTCGTGAAGCTTTAATGTTATATTTGCAGAGAGCAAGTGAAGAATTTCAGGAAGACTGGAAGAGAGAAGAAGACGAACAAGCTACACGTGTAAGGAAGTGGAAGCTTCCCAGATATTCTAGATGGCTCGAGAAACGGTTAATAAACTTTAGTGGATTTTTGTTAATTGCAAAGACTATTGGAACAAATTCCGGTTTACGATTGCAGCTAAACCAATTTCAGTTTCTGGTTCATGGTTTTTTCTTTTTGTCGCCTGATACACGAAAGCTTTAAAAAATTGCGGTACACACAAAAAGATGATAAAAAGATGTAATCCAGCTAAACCAAAACACTAATCCAAGCCTGAAGCAGAAGATAATAATTTTTATTTTCGTAAGTATTTGTGTGATATTTTTTAGACGATAAATTTACTTTCCCAAGAAAATTTATATTATGACCCTGTTAAAAATAATTTCTGGATCACTATATGAAATTGTAAGGATAAAACAAAATGTACATAAAAACGTCTTCAAAGATTAGAGCATCTCCAATGGTCACCCTTAAAATAAAGGGACACACCTTTAAAATAAGGGGTTTGTAAGTTTTGTTCCAATGGAGACCCTTATCCTTACCCCTTAAAAAAATATTTTTGCATTATAGTCCTTAAAAGTAACTAGAATCAATTATAATACTAAAACTTTCATAAAATGCAATAAAAACACTTTAATAAAATATTACACAATATTATTAATTAAAACATTACATAATAATATAAAATTACATTAAAACATAAAATTATATATAAAAATATTAAACTAAAATTACAATATTGTTTCCATAATTTTCCAATCAATGAATGTTTTTATTTGATTTTATGTGGTGGTAATTAAATTTCTTATTAGAGAGAGTAAATGTTAAAAAAAATTATAATTTTAGACTAAACTGATCACAAAAAGTATTATAAATGTTATTTGTAAGATTGTATAATTACAAGGACTAAAATGCAAAATTCAAAATATTTTTAAGGGGTGAACAGTGACCCCTTATATTTAAGGGTGCACTATTCATCCCTTTAAAATATAAGGGGATAAGGGTCCATTGGAATGCAAAAGCCCTTATAATCCATTGGAGATGTTCTTACGAATCATATGTCTACATCTCTGTAGACCAACAGCCATTTGTTTACCTTGAACGTTTATTCATTGCCACCTTATCGCTGGTCACTGACAGCTACACCAGTTCTCTAACAAAGCCTTAGACACAAAAATATAATATTGTAATTTGTTTTCCATTTCATGGATACATAACATAAAGATAAATGTCCTGAGCGAAAATGGAAAAAAAAAACAAGGGAAACAATTATCTCAAAAAATAGAAAAAAAAATGTATCTAGGGTTTCCGGAAGACTCTTCCGGCAAGAAGAGCAGCGTCCATGACAAGGGAAATGACATCAATGACTTCATCGGCATCGCATTTGTTACCGTTGAACGTCGGTTGCTTCGTCGCTCTGAAATTGTTCATGCAATTTATGAATTTCTGACTACATTCTTGGCTTAGATAATCATCTGCGCATCAAAACATATATGGTAAGTCAAAATTGTAAACACATACGCATGTAGAGAAAGAAACTGTATGTGTTTATTATAACTTACTATTCTTCGATTGGACACACGCATCATGCTTCATGCAACATGAATCAAGACCATCACAGGGTCTCTCTCCAGGACATCCACTGTACATTAGTCCACAATACTTCCCATATCTCAAAAGTGGAGGCACTGTTATATTTTTACACATTAATGTTATGTGTGGTTTTTTTTAAAACAAAAAAAATTGCATATGAAATTATCTAGCTTTGATATTGTTCACCTGAACAGAACTCTGATTCACATTTCCGGCTACATTCTTTGCTCTGCCAAAACAATTAAGCGATCAGTATAAACCGGAACAAAGAAGATATCAACTACTAATTCCGGTTAATTAAAATATGAAAAGGAAAACTTAAAATTTCTTTAATTATTCTGTTACATAGAGGATCTCATATACATAAACAATTTTCGGTCTAATCATAATTTTTTTTGTGAAATACATCCCTAAACGATACTCCAATACACTAATAGAGGTTTAATTAATATATGGAAAAAAAAAACATGATCGAACCAGGGAAATGGTGGGATGTGTGAGCTGAACACCGATGTTAAGTGCAGAGACGTTGACAGAGAAGAAGAAGAAAAGGAAAGAGAAGAGTATGATCGGAGCCGCCATAGTTGAAAAAATCACTATCCCACTGGAGAAGCTCGGAAAGTGAGAAGAATATATCTTTTGGTTTTGGTGGAAAAATAAAATGAGAAAGTATGAGGATGGTAGAAGACGAATAGTCTGTGACTCTGTGTTTGGTGTTTGATTGTCGTCTTATGTCTCGTGACTCATTTGTTTGGTGATGGCCAACGTTGTGATTTTCCATGTTTACCCTTATCTCTCACCACTTCGTCTTCTTTAGTAATTGCTTGACACATAAATTATACTCAAACTACGAACAGTACAGCTCACCCATCATTAATAGTATAGTCTTAAAATTAAGACGATAAAGCTATCATTAAACAAAACTGCTTATAACCTGGTTGAGGAGTAGGTGTATCCCAATCAATGCAGTGGTAACGAATTATTAGTGGCTTTCTATTTCAGCTTTATTATATCCTTAAGACCCGTTTGCTTTAAATGGATTTACGGTGTATAAATTAATTTTGTATGAAATTTTCTTTTTTTGGAGAAAAAACTGAACTTTTGTTACGTTAAAAAATTATAATTCTTTGAAATGTGTATGATACGATGGAATTTAATAACTTCAGGAATTCGTACACTTTATCCTCCTATTCGAATTTAATAACATCTTGGCTAACATCTTATATAAACTTTTGTAATGTGTAGATAGTCACTAAATTTAGTTGTTTTTTTATAAAAAAAAATCTTCACATAGTACGTATGAAAACTAAAAACTTTAGTTATACTCCAAGAATTTGATTCTTTCTCGTTGAACTCTCTTCGTTTTCTGTTCAATGTGGATGATCCGCAAAGAATGTATGTTTCTCTTTTCCTATTTATGTGCTCATCGATATTACTTCAAATCTCGACACTAGCGAAATAGCGATACCTTGAAGGGAGTGGGTTTCTTCCAAGAAACCTCGAAGAAAGTAAAAATAAATAAAAAAGGTTCATTCGAGGATTTGTTATTCTCCTTGGGTTTTTTTTCATCAATCTAAAATTTTTGGAGGACTCATTTTGCATGTATGCCAAATTGCAAGAAAAATAATTATGAAGAATGTTGTATAGCAATAGTATTATCTTAAGCAAAACAAAAGACAAGATTTATTTGATGCGTCTCAGCAACCAATATAAAATTTTCCAAAATATTTGATGGAACTGACAAACAAATATTGTAAATGTGGATTAGATCAAAGATCCAATAAACGATGAATTCGATCCATCATAATCGTTTTATATGGAGACATTTCTCTGTTGTTGGTAACGGGGAGCACGAACACCGATTCAAAGTTTTACTATATATCATCAGTGTTGATGGGCTTAGATGAGCCGTGATTCTTTATCTCATCACATGAATAATTTTTTAGACTTGGATTACGAATATCAACGTGTGGTTTGTGAGGACAAGAACATAAACGCTTCTCGAGCAAGAAATTCAGGAACGCCACAGACACATATTTAGTTTTACACTGCGCTTGGATCAGTCAACGAAGGTGGTAGCATAAATTTATTTATTCCTTACGTAGAATTCAAGTTCTTGGTGCAATTGTGTTGCAAGAAGAAAAATAAGAGCAGCGACAACTTCATCAAACTTCATATATTCCAAGAATTGTCGCATTTAGGCACTCGTGTAGGGTAAACGTCATTCATATTTTTGTACTTGTCGTTTGGGAATATCTCCTATGGGTTTTTTTCACGAGTAACCCTCGGTCAAAAAATTGTCGAGAACTTTGGTTTGATTTGAAGAAAATAACCAAACTTGGATCACCGAGTAGTTTTCTAGTTATCTAGTCTCGCAGTTATCGAGAAAAAAACACTTACATATGTGAGTGTGGGATGAGTTTCTGTTCATGGGTCTCACATAGAAATTAGAATAAGGTGGTCGGTCAAGTTTCGATGGATAAAAAAACATTAATCAGCATTATACCAAATGCGCTTTTAACCACGTTAAAGAACAAGACTGAAAAGTTAATATAATAGCAAACTGAACAAATGCCTTTTGTTGTCGTGTCTTTTTGTTTTTAACCGTTTTGCATGTAACTGTCATATAAAGAGTTGTGTCTTCTCGAGTCACATCTTTTCGTTTATAACCGCAAAATTGTTGAAAAGCTACACCTTTTAGTTATACCTTTTTATTTCTATATATATGATATGTAAGATTTTTTTTATCTCTGAGTTACAATGTTTTGATTTTCTGTCCTATTTCTTCTTTGAATTGTGCTATATATGACGAGAAAATAGGATGAAACTAAAGCAGCGCTGATGAAGATGATCAACAGAAGAAGTGAAGATTTGTGAGAAACCATTTTCTGTTGGTGTTAACATTTTTCTTGCTATTATTTTGTAGCTGTTCCCTGATCTAGAAAATCGTGAATCACAATCATTATTCGATTTCGTTCTTTGTAGTAATCGTTGATTTGCCGTTTCTCATTGATTAACATTTATTGTGGATGTTGAATGCTTCTCATGTTTGATGTAGTGATTGTTTGCTTCCATGTGAAGATGATCATAATTTAGACTTGTTAGAGAACTGATCCATGATTGAGTCATGTAATAATATAATGTTTTACTCAAAAGAAGGTGTAAGTCACGACTTGAGATTGAGGGGTTATTCAATTATGGATAGTCACGTACCATCACCAATAGCTACGAATGGCGAACGGTTACAATGTCCTTACGTTTGTTCATGTACATTTGTTCATGACCGGTTAGGTTTGTTCATATAAGTTGCAGTCTTGTGTATATGTAAAGAAAGCGTTACAAAGAGAAAATTTCCTGATTTAATAATCATATTTGATCATCATAATAAGTAGATAAATTATACAAAACTAAGTCATTTTCCTTTGAAACTTTTCCTTGATCGTCGTTGACATCGTTTCGCTCTTTGTATTAGGGTTTCTTTTTCCTTTTCATCTTTTTGTGGCATGTGCATTTCCAGAATTTGGATTAGTTTCTTTGTAATTCGTTTGAGAATTTGTTAAACCCAATTCCTCTAACGTTCATATCATTAACGCTTTGTATCGATTCTCACTGATATTTACATGATGGATAAATGATTCTTTCGAAGGGTATGTAATGTTGTGGCGGTTGTTACTTTTTCCCTCCTCCTTAATTTGATGGCGATACAAAACTGGTGTTCTCTATGTGATTGCCGCCGTGATGATAGGTTTTGGGAAACAGTATGTATAGAGTGTTATGAAAAAACTCTGGTGTTATTCTCGATTTTCATGTGGGTTTGGATGTACTGACGGTTCGTTAAGTTCAGTAGTCTGCATCAAGGCGCTCTCAACATGTGACTTTGATCTCTCTCTCTCTCTCTCTCTCTCACTATGGTATTGAGTCTTCTCTGGTTGATTATTCAGTGTTTCTTGTTGTAAAATGTTGAAATTATTTGTTTACAGACAACTTAAAAGTGGAAGTGTTTGGTAACCGAAGCTATTTGAAACCTTTTTTAATTGGAATACGCATTGGAAGTTCTATATGTCTATTCTGCCATTGATTCGGGCACTGGAATTTGAAGATTGTTGTCTAATTAAAATTACGGTTATGGAGTTGCTGAGTGTGTGTAATGCGGAACAAGTTTGCAAACAAATATGCATCTGGTTTTGGATATTGTTTACTAGTTTAATGGTTCATTCACCCGGTTAAGCTAAAGGCCATTTAGTAGCTTCAGTTTCATAATTTTTACTTGTTTTTCAGTATTTTAATTGTTGAAAAGAAATGTTTTTTTTTTTCCTCAAGAAAGGAGTGTTGTTTCATGATGTGGGATTTGTGCAGATAGTGAGATGGGATGGATGGTAAAACTTGGACACGTATATGTGGAAAATGTTGCCCACGACAGATTCCTCGCTACTCCCTCGGAAATGTGGATTTTGTTTTTTGCTAAAAGATTCAAAGCATTTGGGCAGTCAATTGGGTGGGATAATTAGTTATCTTACCGAGAATTTTCCGAGAAAAACCTAAATACCGTAGTCGGAAATGGGAGTTGTTAATTAATCTTTGAACACGTGTATGGTAACTGTTAATTGATCCAGTAAACGCTTTGTTCCGACGTGATTCAGAAAACCCACATGTGACTTCCTCGGAAAGTCATCAGAAAGGGATGAAAGGTTTTTTCTCGACGATTGATTCGATCGGTATTGCGCCAGAAATTTTCCAACGACGTTACGATAATTTTCCGATAAGCCTTTTTGTCACTAATTTCCGACAACTTTCCAACCATTTACCTACGCTTTTCAGTCAAGTCGGTAATATTCGAGTCTTCCCGGACAACATATCCAAGAAAGTATCCATGTAAACATTTTATCGGAATCTGAGTTTTCCGACAAATTTAAAGTTTTGCTGGAAACGCATTGTTCTGTTATCGGAAATTTTCCGACGAAGGTAGTGGTCGGAAATTATCAACGGGATGAGTTATTTTTCTTGTAGTGACGTCAATAGCAATGATCAAATTTAATCAAATAATTAGGATGCGGGAAAAAGAATTGGGTTGTTAAGAAAAATAACGACGCTATTATAACCATCGCGAACCTTCACCGATATATAGGTCACCTCTATTTATTCATAACCATCACCTACCCCTTAAACTGAAGGATTTGGTTATATGAAAAAATTGATTCTCTGGTGTTTCTAATAAAAACTGCTGCTTCTAATCTCTTTTCTTGTCTTCGTCCTATTTCACAATTTGCGAAGTAAGTTCACGAGTAAGTTGGATAAACCTCTTTTATGTCCAATCTTACATCGGTCTTTCTTTAGTAAGTTATATTGTTTTGTTCTCTTTAAGTTTTGCTGATGCATGTGCCAGAGGACATCTTTAACTCATTGAAGGTATTGATGCAACTTATGACATTTTTCTACAAAATAATTTCATAAACTTATGACACAAATTATCAAACCATGCAGACGATACAGCACTTCATTTTTGTTCCAAGTGAGAACCTGATATCCATTTACATACCTTCCAAGTTAGTAGTTCAACATTCGAAACATAAGACACATACTGTAAAATCCGTTGTTGTTTTTTTCGTTTTTTAAGCAATTCAAAATAACAAATACAGTGGTACATTACTCGTGTTCTTTCTCTCCCATGAAATTATATAGATAAGTTTGTAAAAATAGTTCATTTTTATTTTCACATAGACTTAAGTTGAAGTTTGGAAGTTGAACATTACATTAGTCTCAATTGCCTTCTAAAGATGAAAAAGTATGGAACGATCTTATTATCTTTTATTTTAAAACTTAAATTGTTTTTATTGTTATAATTGTAGAATGAAATAATAAGAATATTCTACTTTTTGACAAATCATATACATAGATTTAGTAATTTCATCATACATATATCTGAAAACATAAATCTAAATTCAAGTGTTTATGGATCATATCAAATGTAGCTTATTGGTGTTGTATAACATCTAATGTAGTTGTTTGGGATGGTTAAACAAAAAAAAAGGAATTGGATCATATCACTCTTTATGCTACATTTTCATATGTTTCCATTTATCAAGAAAATTTAACATTTCAAATATATAAACATTTTAGATGTTCATATTTTCGTATCATTCTTTTTTTGTTAAAAATTTCATTAATAAATATAATTTGATAATTTTTTGTTTATCTTTTAGTATAAACATTTTGCCCCCGCGAAATCGCGGGGGTTCAATTCCTAGTTTCTTTTAAAATCATACGTTAACTTATGAGAAACAGAGCTAAACAATAGAATAATAACATGTAAATTTAGGAGGCAAACAAAGCATAAACATAACGGCCCAACAAACATACATATAATCAATCTCTTAAACATAAGCATTGTATTCATAATGATAATAATATTAATCCGATCCATTGAATCCCCCTCGAGAAGTACTCACACGTCTCTGTCCCTTTTACATTCCGCTGGCATAACCGGGAACCTAGACCGGTCGGTACAATAGTTGTAGATGGTCCACTTCATGCGGACCCATTTGAGACGACGGTATTGGTAGTCGTCAAGGTCTTGAAACTCCTTCTGGTCCCACCACATGCGGCCTTGAGTCGCACAGTACTTGGCCTCGACAGAAGCTTGGCAACCGTCGATGTGGAATCCTCTGTATGATGCTATGAATGGTGCATTAGCCCAATTGGTTTTCTCTAAACCACCTCTCGTGGCCCAATCATCCGCGTTCCAAAGGCTCGAGTACAGTTTCATCGGTTGGTTGAATGGGAAACGCACTCCAAGATCCTTTGCGTTCTTGAACACACGGATTGGTATGTTGTCAACAAAGAATCTGATAAGAACTCAAATCAAATAAACCGGTTTTAGTTAACCATTTCGGTTTAAACACATGCTCACATAGTTCAAAAATTTTGAGCCCCACAAAATTTAGAACACATGAAAAGGTTCGAGTGAGTCACTACCCTATCCATCCTACCCCAACTCACTTTGAACATTAGGAAAAGTTCAAAAGCTGAACTTTTTTTTGACTTTTTGACTCCATTGTCTCTCTGAAAAATCTAACAAGACCCCACTACTCTTTTTATAAGATCAAGATTGGGTCACGGCCCGAGGTTAATTTAACAAATAATAATAATTTGAAACTGCGACAAGATATGAAAAAGAAGTAGTAGGACCATGTTAATCCTGACAACTTTTAACATATAGTACTAATATATAGATAAAAGTATAATGTAAGTAATGAGGGTAGAGTAGTGCATACACAATTTGGTAGAGATTCCAGAGGATGGAGTAAGTATGATAAGCCTTTGAAGGGTCGAACCAAAGATAGATCCGCTGTTCTCTGTTTCCTTTTCCTCCTGTGAACACATTCGTCTGCAATATCGCTGGTTGTCCCGTTCTGTTCCCGAGAAACTCGAAGTCTATCTCATCATGCTCATTGTTCGTAGACGATAGCTTAAACCACATTAATTTTGTTCCCATTGTCAGTGGCCGATTTGTATTTTCTGTTTTAATCATTAAAAATATGTATTTGTGCTGTATTATTGAGACTCACATAGAAAGCTGTGACCACTCCGGCAGTGTCTCCAGCCGGCAGCTTTATGTGCATACTGAAATGTCCGAACAAATATGACCCTTTCGATTGAAACCCTGTCCCTGTTTTCATTTTTTAACATACACAAGTAACATTGTGAGTAGTGAGTAAAAAAAAAGTAATATAGTGAGTAAACTTTATATAGTAAGGTCTCATTTCTTCTAGGTCGGTCCAATATTTTAAGAGATTGTGATTTTTTGGTAAGTTTGTTTTTATTAATTTAATAATTTATCCAGATTAGTATTCTCTTTCAAAAAACAAAAAAGTTATCCAATCTATTTTGCTACAAAAATCAGAGGACTCAAGCTATGACTTCTTTGGCCTATTCTTTGGATCATAAATGTGTTAATAGTGAATGTACGTACCAGTATATTTGTCGAGGATAAGCTGAAGTTCGGAACCGCCATTGAACTGCTTCTGGTGGTCGAAAGCCCAAGTTGGGACGTAGTTGCGGCCGAAGGGAACATCAATGGCCTTTCTTGGAGGAATTGCCATGACCGTAGAGGAAGCCATCAGAAACAGAGCCATTAGAGCCCATGGAGATGAAGAAACAGCCATGACTGTGTTTAGAGAGAGAGAAGATGATGATGATTGATGATGGAGAGTGAGTCTAAAGGAGGTGTGTGGGTGGCCTTATATAAGGACGCTCTCTAGACTTTTTGACGATAATAAACTTTTTAAGATTATAATTTTATTCAAGTTTCTCGGATCTTTCTATTTTCTTTTTGTAATTTTATTTCTTTGGTGAGAATGGAATTGTAATGGCTTTATGGCTTACAACTGTAATCTGGACATCACACGTACAGCTATGCAACTTTCACTATCAATTTTATTTATTTATGATAGTTATGCATTGTTGGATAAGAAGAAGTATTAATATTTCGAGTTGTGAAGAGATTTTTGTTGCCCAAACAACAAAACTCTTATACGCCTGTCACTTAATTAGTTGCCTATAAATGTCAAGATCGGAGGAGTTAATATCTCTAGACTGTAAGTCTGTAACACTATAAGAAATGCATTATAGCTACCTATATGGCATTATTTACAGTTCCTTAAAATAGAAACCACTGGCTTTTTTCTTTTCAAACAATTTTTTTTTTCGATAAAGGGTTTGCTTTTTTCAAACCATATTGATCAAATCATTATATATAAAAAATACTGAGTAAGTTCAAATAGTTGCTTTGGCTATATCAAACTGGAAAATATTTCAAAGATTATATGGATCTATCGAACAAATTTCCAACACTTCTCACAAATATTGAAATATAAGGAGATTACAAACCAAAAATGTGAACTTTTCTCATACGTAAGAAAAAAGATTCAATAACCATTGAACATACATTTAAGCAAAATAATAGAATTCTTAAAAGTAATTGTCGGATACCACAAGGGTGGCTCCATGTGTCCTCCCTTCTCACAATGCGTTTACGGTTATACTACCACCACTTCATCATTTATTTTTAGTTAAGTCCATTTAATAATACTTAATCTCATTATAACTTTAATGTCGGAGCAAATTGTCACTTTTTGTCCGTTCCTTGGTTCACTCTCCGTCAATTTTGGTCCAAGACTTTTTGACATTAATTTTTTATTAACTTTTTTTCTATACTTAAAAAGTCAATAACATTTTAAATCTTATTGTTTGAAGGCCAATAACCTATTTTATCCCGATGTATTGGAGTCGAACTCCACATAATTGAGAGTGAGAGAGTAGCGAGGATGGAAATGCCTGCCTGAAAGTTCCTGAGTAAACATATTTTTCTTAGGATAATTTAGTGAAATAATACATTTAATTGAGCTGATTACAGGATTAGGACATGTATCATGTTGATTTGATTTGTTTTAGTGTCCTCACTACATCACCATTTAAATCTAAACCAACATAATACATGTTATTAGAATTTGAGTGGGATAGAAGAGAAAACTTTTCTTAAAAAAAAAAATAACAAAGGAAAATATAAATAATAGACAAAATTGTCATATTAATACATTGTTTTGACATTCATAGATCATAAAAAAAAATAATCATCATTCACACAGTTAATATATAAAAAGTCTTATATAACATAGATCTGCATCAAAAACCTTCTTCAGTTTAATCTATATCATGAATACTTATTCATCTGTGAATTCACGACAATATGATTTTCCCATCTATAAAATAACATGAGACTTTTATACGTTGTTCTATTAGAAAATAATTCATCTGTGAATTCACGACAATATGATCAAGAAATGCAGTTACCGAGTAGCTAACCATTCTAAGGAAGATACGAACTTTGATTGAAAAGCAAAGTACTACTTGAATACATTGTTATTATAATATAAGAGTAGTGTCATATTATAGAGTTGACCAACCACAACTTTTTTTAATCCAATTAGCTCCTGATTTTATATGAGTCCGTTGTGTATGCATGGTCTTTTCTCAGGGGAATAATTAAAAAAAGGGAGTCAATCATCGGAAGACTACATGTGGACTGTATGATGAGGCCGCCTTCAAGACAACAATTGCAACTTGGATAGCGACAGATTGATAATATATAATGTCAGTATCATTGGGTGTTAGGTCTTCGTCGAGATGTCGTTTGTGGAAACAGCAAAATCACGAGCTTTTGCCTTCATCTCTGTCACCGACATCGATTAATTATGCATTAAGTGTTTGTTTGTACATAGATCATGAGATTACCTTACCATAAGCTTCGTCGAAGCTCCACATAAATGAATCCGAAGTTGCATCTAACACACGATCAAAAGCCAGAAACTAATGCAACCAGACTAGGCAAACCATTTTACCAAAAAAACAAAAAATGACCTAGGCAAAAGCACCAAAATATTCGCAAAACATGATGATACTATAATATACTATAAAGTTTCGATAGTATGATAACAGTAAAGTATATACGTATCACAATCTTGTCCTTCCATAGTATTCATCGTTAGTAACTTCTCTTTCTCGCCTGCACTCTTCTTCTATATGTATTTAGTTTTTCTCTTCTCATACAATATGCAATAACCAATTATTGTAGGCAAGTTAGCTAGGGAGAACAACTTTTGAGTAGTTGTTCACACAATTATTTTTATTATTTTTTATACAATGTATCGAATATGGTGATCTGATTTTGGCCAATCTTGGTAGGTCTCCCAACATTTCTAATCAATTCAGTGGGCAATCGAGACCTACATTAATAGTTAGCTTCTAGTGGTGCAATATCATTTAAGTGGATACACGCAACGGTAGCTTCCTAAGTAAAACATAATGAAGTACATGCATCAATTCATATAACATCACTGTCTGATTTGAACCATGCAAACGCGGTGAAACATTACTACAAGAGATGTATGGTACAAATCATGTCTGATTTGATATACATTGTAACGATTTCTGGTATATGGTGGTGCATGTGGAAAGGCTTAAAATAATTCATTTGGTTACATATGTCACCAAAATGCAATTATATTTTCGATCAAGTGTTCAAGTGAACTTCAAGAATTAAGCTACAAATTGGATTAGCCCGCATTCGATAACCAAATATGTAGCGAGCTACATTATTTTGTGAGGGTTTTCTTTTGTAGGTTTCATCACTCCAAGTGAAACATTAAGCTTAAACTCGCCGATCAAATTTATGATGATAGATTTTGCGAGTCACTCAGTCGCTTCTTAAGATTTGAAGTTTTACTATGTTTTTTTTTAAAATTGATCTTATACATGATATACTAAGAATTTTATAGAGAAACCTTTTTTCTTTGATTATTGATTACAATATTATTTTTTCTGTTAATGGATCTATTACCCATGCGTTTTGAGCTTGTTTGAGACCACATAGAGACCTAAGCCATTAAACCATTTTTTTATTTTTTGGCTTTTTGGTTTTCTAGACATTACCGGACGAGTATATATACAAAATTCAGTTTTATTTTATTTTCTTATGAATACAAATCATTGTATACAGATTGTAGCGTAAAATTTTAGTTGAGTTCTCCATTCATCATATCCTAAGGACGAAGAACACGAAAGCATACAAGCTAGCACATTGTGCATGAGATCTCATTTTTGATATGTACTACACTAATATTGTTTCCCTAATTTGGCTATCTGAAGTTGTCGACAAAAAAGATAAAAAATTACTTAAGTTATAAAATAAATAGAAATGAACATATTAGTATTTAGTATGATCATTTTTTGAAATTAACTCATTTAAGTTTTTAATGTTTGTTCTAAGTGTAAACTGTAGTATAACTAATTTAATATTCTAACAGTAGCATAAATTTAATATCAAACTGACTCAAAATTTCTTTTAAATAGAGAAAACTTAAAATTTAAAATGAATAAAAATCTAATTTTTGTTTTTTTTAATAATTTATTAAAGAGAAACAAATATTTTTCACACATATATAATACTTTGTGTTACTTTTGAAATTTTAAATTAAGATCAAAACCTACTTTTATGCTATTTTAGAATAGTTTTCTATTATTAATAATCAGTAGTAGTTTTTTGACCAAAAAAAAATAATAATCAGTAGTTGTGGATAATGGATAATTAATAATGAATAATGGCTAATAAATGATAATAAATAGTAGTAGGGAAGGAAAAAAACAGATGAGAAGGAGATTTACAAATGGGAGAGAGAAAAAAAAAGGTAACATGGGGGCAGGAACACATCGGAATTTAGCATGTGAATTTGTTTTAAACAGTTTTAACGGCCCCCACATGCTACTTATTAATTCTTTTGGGAGAGATTTACAGAAATACAAAAAAAAATTCTCGTTTATGAATCTCGATGATTATCGATTTTGTCATATCTCGGGTAATTTGTTTTTCTCGAATCGTTTTCCTAACTTTATGTCTGGACGTAAGTCCTTTTTTACATCTTGGACTTAAGTCTTAAAGTCAAATTTAGTTTAGGTTTATGTCATGCTTTTTATTAGTATTATATTTTTGTTTTTTTGGTAATGTGCATTTGGTATTTCAATATTTATAAAAATTCGTTACAGTTTTAAAAAAATTGAGCAGAAATTCACAAGAGATTCTAAAAAAGAACGGACGCATGCTTTCCTAATCAACTACTAGATCACAGTGCCCCCGTCTAATTCTTGGTTATGTACTCCATCATAACATAAGCAGCCAGATCAAGGCGGCTAGGTCTGAATAGTTCTGCTCTCCTCCTTTGGTTTTCGGTTATGATCGAGGTGCATATAATAAAAGAAAAATAATTTAGCTAAAAGTGGCAAGTGGGCTTCGGGAGTTGTTGCTTGCTTTTCAAGTCTTATCGCTACACTCAAGAACCTAGGTTTTTGATGATGATTCTGGCGGGCTCATGTTTCTGGTGGCTGTCTCAAGGTAAGCCGCGCACCGCAACTTCAAAATCGTACTGATCGAAACGGAACACATCCCATCTACTGGTAATGTGTCGTTGGTTGGACACTAAGCCATATCCCTTTCTAAATAATTAATTAACATAAAAGACTACTAATTCGAAATGACAATTTGGAATGCGACTACGATAATGGATTTCACTAATATGCTAGTAAAATCCTAAGTATGGATTTTAATTCACAAAATGACATGAAATGAATAGATAAATATTATTGTTGGGTGTCCCGTCTTGAAATAAAATGTGTATATTTCTCCATATGTAGTTACGAAAAGATTTGAAACCCTTATTTAACCAGAATGAGTTAGTATTGAATATTGGGAAAGAGCCAAAAGAAGGGATTGTGAAGAAGTCAAGTGGGGTAATGCAAACAACTTATATACATTGGCTCCAGCTGTTTCTGATTTCAGTCTGTTCTCTAATATTAAAAACGATATGATGATATTGCTAAAAGAAGATATTGTTTTTTGTTTTTTCTTGTATTGTTTCCGTTCAATTAGTTTTCTGACTGGATCTTGTCTTCTTCTCGATACATCTATATATGCAATTATATGAAATCCAAGTGTAGTGATGCATGAGGATTACATTAATGTTAGTTATGTTGTCGGTTACATATAGCGTTAATAATTCGTCGTGTAATTAGATTCTTAACATCCAATTCCTTTGCTTCAAGAAATGCTTTAGATATGGAAGATCGATTGAGTCATGATGATGAGCTTGTTATTTTTTTCTGTATTCGAAGAGCTACAATAAAATCCAAGAATTCAGTGTATCCGTACAATTTATAGTTTTGTTGCAAGGTAATGTGGTCTTTGTAAAAGGTGGCCTGGTGTATGTTTTATCATGCATTTGGGATTTCAGTTATGGCTTCACCACGTCCACTATACCTCAATTTAGTCACAATTCTTAACATAGGGGAATTGTTAACAATTGTTATGTGGAAGTTTTGAAATCGCATACTTTTATATTCATCTCGGGTAAGTGACAGTGTTATGTCTCTAATGATCATAAACAATCATTCATAAACTGTATAGCTATTTTTGGATCCCTCACATGTGTGCATATTTATAAACATTCATCTATGTGTCTTCTAAGATAGATAATATTTCATCCTTTTTGGGTTTCAAAGTATTTTTTTCTTTTTCTTTGATGATGTTTCAATAACCCAAGAGATTCCAAATAAAGTTCTACAGTCATAGTCCAAGATACTATATAGTTAGTATCAGCTATGTCTAGAGCGGACCTGAAAAAAAAAAAAAAAAAAGCTATGTCTAAGAGCGGAACTGAAAATCGACACTCATTGGTTAAAATAAAATCACAAACAACATTATTAGGAAGAAAAAATAGATGGTGCCTGAATTAATAGAGGAACTGTAAGAAACACAAATGCATAAGAAGAAAAGAATCATCACATTTTTTGTGGGAGAAAACTGTTCAATGAGTATATTATAAAAACAACAAGTATACAATCTATTACAAAAAATAAAATGGTTTTGTTGGGGAAAATGCTAAAAACAATGAAATATTTGAGTGAGATGAATCAAAGACATATAAAATATATATAGATTTTAAAAAATAATATTAGGTACCTCTTTGTTTATATTTTAAAAAATTTAATAGTTTTCTGGAAAACAAAGATTCTTTGGGCAATTGTTTGCGATTTCGCATACAACTGGGGCTCAGAAGTTAATATTGAGAAATATAGGGGCTTTACTTTAATATTATAAGAAACTTTGCTTCCGCGTTCAATCTCCGAAGTTTCGTCGTTCCTAATCTTCCTCAAATTGAGATTTTTTTTCTTCTTCGTTTTTTTGTACTGCGATCGAAAGGTTTTGCTAATCCGAATTCGTGCTTTGAATTCCCCCAAGCTCCTGCAAAGTTTTGAGATTCGATCGTTTTTGAATCATGATGAATTCGATCTTCGGAAAGCGAAAAACTCCAGCAGGTTCTTAATCCTTTGTTCCTCTTTGATTCACTGCTAAGCACTCGATATCGTCTGTTTGAATTTTACTTACTGACTAAGGCTTTCAATTTCATCGACGCTTTCCCCAATTCGATGATCGCACTTGTTTGATCTCTAGTTTTAGGATTTGTGTCAGATTGGGTCCACTATTGTGACATTGGGTCAAACCAATTTGTTGCTGATATGAGAACAGATATTTTCCATGCGGCATCATTGTTTCTTCGCTTAAGATCTTTCATGTTAAGAGTTTTAAATAACTTGTAAGCTCAAAAAGTTTTGAAATTTCGGTTTTGGTAACAGAACTGCTGAGGGAAAACAAGAGGATGCTGGATAAGTCTATAAGAGACATAGAGAGGGAGAGGCAAGGCCTTCAATCACAAGAGAAGAAACTCATTGCCGAGATTAAGAAAACCGCAAAGCAAGGCCAAATGGTTCGTTTCTTGCTTCTTATTTAACATGATATGTGATTACTTTAACCTCATGATATGTTGATATTGCTCAATGCTCATTTCGCCGTGTATAGGTGTATAAAGGCTTGACTTTTGTGGTGTTATATGCCTCTGTAGTATTTGTGTCACAACATGTTTGCAGTGATAATGCTATAAAGTAGGAGTCTTTACTAGTTTAGAACTCGTTGATTACATACAGATTGTGTTTGCTTCTTCACAGTTTGACATGTTCCGTTAAATTGACTTGGTTGGATACTTTCTGTCAGGGAGCTGTGAAAGTAATGGCGAAGGATCTGATTAGAACACGGCACCAGATTGAGAAGTTTTACAAGCTTAAATCCCAACTCCAAGGTGTATCTCTCAGGATCCAGGTATGCTTTTATATTCCTTTGTTTGGTTTATTGCAGAAGTTTTGTAGAGCTCTATAGTCGTATGATCGTGTATCTATACTTGTATTTGGTTATTGTTTCAGACTCTGAAATCAACGCAAGCAATGGGAGAGGCGATGAAAGGTGTGACGAAAGCAATGGGGCAAATGAACAGGCAGATGAACCTGCCGTCTTTGCAGAAAATCATGCAAGAGTTTGAGAGGCAGAACGAGAAGATGGAGATGGTCTCTGAGGTGATGGGAGATGCTATTGATGATGCTTTGGAAGGAGATGAGGAAGAGGAAGAGACTGAAGATCTTGTTAGCCAAGTCCTTGACGAGATTGGTATCGACATCAACCAAGAGGTAATACACATTAATCTTAGCTCTGCCATTTCCTATATACATTTTCACCAGTAAGATGCTTAAACTGATTGGACTGGTTGTTTATGTGTGTTTTCAGCTGGTGAATGCTCCATCTGGTGCGGTGGCAGCACCAGCGGCGAAGAACAAGGTGGTGCAAGCTGAGGCGGCCGGAGCTGAGGACGGTGGAGGAATAGACAGTGACCTTCAGGCGAGGTTGGACAACCTACGGAAAATGTGAAGCCTTTCTGGTTTCTGTATCATATTTTACTGGTGGTTGATCTACTTTTCTTCAGCCTCAAAGGAAAATGTGGCAAATGAGATATATGTTTACGTTTTGGTGTTGGGTTTGTAGTAACTAAATAATTTAAGCCCTCCGATTTGAAACCGATTGTTGTTCTTTTACTTTGGTATATATAAATCTCCAACATATTTGATTCTGGTTTTTTTTTGCCACTTCTTTACTGTGTATACAATTCCTCTAGTTTTTTCCTTTTACAAATTATACACAAAACTGGTCTAAGATAAATAAAACTTCAGCTTATTTGAGACCGTATATCATACAAAGTTTTACAGACATTGTAAAGGAAGTAAATTAACATTGTGAATACGATCTATGATATTCCGTATAAGTTTACTTAGCTATGGAACAGTAGCCACTTTTAACAGTACTCGACCTATTTTACCAAGCTGATTAATTACCTTAACAAATTATAGGTAATAATCAAGTTGCAGGAAAGAAGGGTTTCACATGTAAAATATTCAAGTCTTATGTTATAACAAGGCGTGTATTCAATGAAGTCTTATTAAACATGAGAATTTTGGTTCACATGGGATCTTAGATATATTGTTCATTCCTACCTGAAACCGAGTTCTTCAAAAAAAAAAAAATGGTCAATAACGAAAGCTTTTGCAATTAAAATTAAGCTCCACGTGAACTTTGAACCTTGACTTTGTTCTCAACAGTATATTAAACAACGAAAATTAAGCTGGACTGATTCGGAGAAGACTTGATACATTTTCAAGAGTCAAATAATATACACATGTTGGTAGATAAAATAATAAGTCCTCGCATAAATCCATGTGAACTGATTTCTTTTATCTTGGTATATATATGTACGACTTTACATTTTGAATTCATATCTTTAAAATCAATCAAAAACATGTATAAGGTTGTGGTTTGCGTACTAACTTTGAGTTTTCTCTTGCTCTCTGGATTGCCAAACACAACAGTGGCCCGGGTGCAATATGAATCTCCAAATCCAAGTATGTTAAGTTTTTTCTTGATTTCGTGCAGTACGTATATACAATATGGGTTTGCTTGTACTTCATCCTTTATGGCTTATAAATATAACTGTTGGAAGAAAACCGAAATTTGTCTGTTTTAGTTATAGTTTTATGTTTTTGTCTTGATTCTATCTTCAGCAAAATATATCTTCAAATAAAAAAGAAACTTCTCAAAGAAAGAGAAATACTATAAGACATCTCATTTACTTTTTCACTGTATAAGTTTACGATTGCTCGTGTATGAGAAATAAAACTAAATCATTATATATGTTTATTATATGTTCTGTCCTCTCGGGATTGTACTAGTTTTTTTCTTTAAAAAAATTGATTACTTAAAATTGTGCTTTTTTCTGTAGGAAAAGAAACAGGAGAAGAGGTTTGGGATGGAAAGCTCTTCAAGGAGATCAAGCTTGGAGTAATTGGGAGTGTTTCACGGCATGCTCCTTCATGTGCAAATGGTCCTTGTAAATATAGACCACGACCATAAGACTAACGAAGCCCATGTCCTCAAGCCTAGAGACAATCGGTTATACATAACTATGGTACAATGTCGTATCGAGACTACCGAAACTCATGTACTCAATCAAGCCTGGCAGCAATGGGTTTTTTTTTTTTTTTTTTTTTTTTTTTGATAAAGCCAAGAGGTTTTATATATATGTAATGTCAAAAAATTCTTATATGTAATAATATTTTCATCATCCTTCTAAGTTTCTTTGTGAAAATATAATGGGAATGAAACATTTCCTTGGATTGAATATATCCTATCCTATCTCTTTTATGATTGTATCAATCTCTTCCAAACGTAAGAGGCAGATCGATGGTCCTAGGTTTAAACAATATCTTAGAGACCATGCACTTATTCCACATATGGAAATTTAATCCAAATGAATGAAATTGATCCAATCCTAACTAAAAAATCCCTACTAGAAAATTAATAATTTCAAACTAAAAAGCTTTACGTTTTCAGTATCCAATAAACCAAATCCAAATCGAAAAACAAAAACTAACAGTAGCTTTAGTTTACTGTACCCGAAAGGAAACGTTGCCAAGAAGAGGTCATACCATTGTCAACCATCTGCGTTACTCGTTTGCTTTATATCAGTCCAATTAATGTTTAGCTTCTTATATCCTACCATTTACATGTATTTATTTTCAACATGTATTCAGTCAAGTCTTATAAACAAATAATCTGAGTTCAGAATATGGTATCTTAGATATATTGTTTTATATTCAAGTAGGATCTTATATATTTTGTTTATTCTTCCTTCAAACCGAGTTCTTCAACAACAACAAAAATTTGTCAATCTAAACGAAAGCTTTTGCTGTTTAAACTAAAGCTCTACTTGAACTTCGAACCTGTACTTTGTTGTCAACAATATATAAAAATATCTAAAATTAAGCTGGACCTATTCAGAGAAGACTTGCTACATTTTCAAGAGTCAAATATACATATTTATATAAAAAACATGTTGGTAAAAAATAATAATAAGTCCTTGCAATAATCCACGTTAACTGATTTCATTTATCTATATAAATGCATGGATTTACATTTTGAATTCATATCTTTAAATCAACCAAAAACATGTATAAGGTTGTGGTTTGCTTACTAACTTTGAGCTTTCTCTTGCTCTCTGGCTTGTCCAACACAACATTGGCCCGAGTACAATACGAATCTCCAATCCCAAGTAAGTTTTTTTTCCTTGATTTAGAGCAATTTTATATATGCTAAATACAATAATAGGTTTGGTTGTCGTTCAAATTTTATGCCTTATTAATATTATATATATATATATATATATGTCAGTTTAGTCTATAGTTTGACCTTTCGGTTTTGATTACATGTTTAGAAAAAATATGTCTTCAATTTTAAAAAAGAGCAGAAATTATATTCAAAGAAAAATAAATATTAGATGTCTCATTTACTTTTTGACTGTCGTTTGAATTTACGATTGCTCGTATATGAAAAACTAAACTAAGTTGTTACATGTTTCTTCCTTTTGGGGTTTGTATTAGTTTGTTCGATATACATTGATTTTTTAAAATTTGTGGTTTTTCTTTTTCCTATAGGGAAAGAAATAGGAGAAGAGGTTTGGGATCAGAAGCTCATCAAAGAGATCAAGGGTGGCGTAAAAGGCAGTACTACACAGCCTGCTCCTTCATGTAGAAGTAGTTGTGTCCATAGACCATGAATGATGAATTGATGAGTGACGGACGGAACCCATGTCCTCAAGCCTAGCAACAATCTATATATAATAGCAAACTCACTTTTTGTGTTCGCTGACGTCATCATTTTTTGTAGGAGAAAAAAAAAACACATCCAACGGCCATAATCTTAACTAATCAATCAAACAGACGGTCACGATTAATCAGAAAACCCACTATTCGGACACTGCTGATGTCATCATTTTAAAAACTCATCCAACGGTCATAATCTTATCTAACTAATTAAACGGATGGTCAAGATTAATCAGAACAAAATCTGCAGCCAAGGTTGCGTTGTTCACGAAGGCGTCTCTCTTTTGCTCTGCGAAATGGTGCAATCATTAGGTAGAGATGCGTTAGGAAAAGTCATCTCTTTTGGATTGAACGAACGTGTCTTTTTAATCGCAGCCATTTGAGTAGCCTCTCCTCATAGTTATATTATATATAATCCAATTCGTTATAGATTGTTACTTTTTCCATGAAGTTCTCACAACATGTATCGTCAAACGATTACGGTGGTTATCTCTGGCGTTCATCATCACCATTCCGAATAATCGTCAATTACAATCACCATTTGAATCTAATTCCCACAGTTATGTTGACCGAGACGGATAGAGGTATACATACTCTTCTTAGATTGATGCTTAAAATCCTTTTACGATTTCTTAACACGTTTTCTTAGTCAAAATTGTTTGTTTGCATGATAGATGTTGTTGTTACTATATGCTGATTGCACTAACAACATCCGTGTTTACCTGCCTTCTTTCCGGTATGTGTTTGTATATGCATGAACCTAGGATTCTGAAAAATAGATTGCCGAGAATCAAAGAAGGGAGAGTCCACAACTATTACGGCAGTCTGCTCAGATGGAACAGGCGATGATCACATTGAACGTTTTTTTTAACTCCGACGCCTCTTGTTCATAACACTTCTCTGAAATAACAAACCTTTTCATAATCGCCTCCTTCTTGTTCTTCTTTTGTTCCAGCCACAAAACTCCACATAACCGATAGAGTTATAAACGAAAAATGGAAGAAGGTGATCATAAGTAGACATCTTCGAAAATTGAAACCATGATTGAATTTTGTAACTTCATAAAGATACACTGAAAAGGTGTAAGAAACTTTAGTTTGAATGGTTATTCAATTTTGGAAAGTCACATACCAATACGAATAGTGACGTATCGTTACGAACGTTTGCGTCTGTTCATGTAAAAATCAGTATATAAGTTGCGGTCTTGTGTAAATGTAAAGAAAGCATGACATAAATAAAATTTTCAGATTTAATACTTTTTCCTTCTGCGACTTTTAATTTCTTTGATCGGCATCGACATCGTTTCACTCTTTGTTTTAGGTTTTCTTTTTCCTTTTCACCTTCGGGTCATGTGCATTTTCCAGAATATGGATTAGTGATTACGGAAAGAGGTGTCGACTGCGGAAGAAACCGACAGAGAGACGTCAGAAACGGCGAGAAATCACGCGGAAGCTAGGTGAGGGATGCGAGATAGAAGAATCGGAGAAGAAAATGAGGGAGAAGAGAAGAGTAGCTCCGAATCTGATGGGTTCGAGAAGATAGGACCAACAGTGGATTATCCGGGAGAGGAGATGCAGTGGCCCAATCATCTACTGTTCCATAGCTTTTTTACCGAAGATTGGCGGCGAAAAGAGTTGTTTATAGTAATGTTGTCACTCACGCCCATAATGGTATCAACAAACATGTTGAGTTCTTGTCCTTAGTTTTTTCACACAGTTTCCTTGATTCCTCGATTGTTTCTATTAAAATAATTTAAAGAAAAAGTTTGTCTAACCCAAACAAATTGTGACATTTGGAATATTTTTGAACAATTGAAATGAGTTCTTCAACGTTTCAGTAGGAAGGGTACCTTCTCTTTAGAACACGTCTCCTTCATTGAAACGTCACCATTTACATACACTTCCTTTTGTTAAATGCTTCCACCTTTTCGGAGTTGAATTGTCAATTACTGTCTCCTAAAATTTGTCTGGGTGGGCTCTCTACATATTGGTTTACAACTCTCATGAATGGTTTTTTAATAGTTATCAAATTCTCTTATGATTCCTAATTACCTACAAGAAGGGGAGGGGACAACTGTGATGATCGATTGCCTTAATTAGGAGAATATGATTAACGAAAAGACGAATGGATGCATTTCTCTTACTTGGAGTTTTTAAAGTGTTAACTAAATTAAGAAAATGAAGAAAATAAACAACAAAAAACAAATTTCTAATGCTTTCTTCTTCTTTGTGCATCGAAGTAAATGATATACTGATTAAGAATTTAAGATGTATGAACATTAAGATACCGTTTTTCACATGTAGATAGAGCAGCGTTAAGTATTTTTGATCACACAAAATAATTTAACTAATGTTTCCCTATTTTAACGTTACCCTTGGTTTTAAACTTCAAATATGTTCTTGAACAAAATGGACATTCTAATATAATAATGTAAATTTACCGAGAATGAGTTATATAACTCATATTATATTTTTAAAAATCATGTATATATATAATAAAAAATGCTATCTCATATATTTTATAAATGCAGATTTCAAATACAGATTTAATTTGACATAAAATATTGTTAATTTATTTTAATTTTCTAATAATAAATTTAATTGAGCGCATTGGACGCGCGGGTTTGCTACCTAGTATATATAATATCGAGAGATTCATTTATGTAATATGTTCAACATCCTTCCAAGTTTCTATGTGAATGGGAGACATTCCTTACGTTTAGTATTTGGTATGCAGTTAAGTTACATGAGTTTTCAACTCAATTTAAGTTAATACATTAGGTGTTGATCCAGGACCAGGATGAGTAATTCTGAATTGATTAGTATCGATACGTTTCCATTTTCGAACAATGATTCCTGGCCTCACATGAGTAAATTGAATAAGAATTAACTGAGGTTTGATGAACACTCGAGTACGTTAACAGGATTATCTCCAAGCTAATTGTAAGGAAGACAAAGAAAATTTTGATAATGAACACTCGAGTACGTTAACAGGATTATCTCAAAGCTAATTTCGAACCTGTACTTTGTTCTCAACGATATATAAAATATCTATAACTAAGTTGGACCAATTCAGAGAAGACTTGCTACATTTTCAAGAGTCGAATACACATTGTCATCACACATATATATAAAAAAAGGTTGGTAACACAAAATAAAGTTTTTTTGCAGTAATCCACGCGAACTGATTTCATTTATCTATATATATGCATGGATTTACATTTATACCAAAAACAATATATGCATGAATTGACATTTTGAATTCACTTTAAATCAACCAAAAACATGTATAAGGTTTTGGTTTGCTTACCAACTTTGAGTTTTCTCTTGCTCGCTGGATTGTCCAACACAGCATTGGCCCGAGTACAATACGAATCTCAAGCAAGTTTTCTTTTCCTTGATTTGGAGCAATTTTATATATGCTACATACAAATATAGGTTTGGTTGTCGTTCAAATTTTATGCCTTATTAATATTACTGTATGTTGACCAAAAACAAAAATTAATATTACTGTATATAGATATAACAAATTTTATGCCTTATTAATATTACTGTATGCCTTATATCGTATTGAATGAAAACCGAATATTTATCAGTTAAGTCTATCGTTTAACCTTTTGGTTTTTTATTCCAAGTTTAGCAAATACATGTCTTAAAAAAAATATATATATATATATCTAGGTGACGAGTTTACAATGAAATGTAAAAATAATGATAATATTCAACTCCTGAAAAAATGAAAACCAGAAAAAGCATTTTAACAGGCCCATAAGCCCAACTTAAACCCATTGCTCTATTTTAAAATTTTAATTATCTTTGTTCCACTCTTCTTTACTCGGCTCTTACTCTTCTGCTTCCTCTTCTTCGTCTAAGAAAAGCTTCAGATTCTGCAGCTAAAACCCCTGATAATCTGCATAGGAATCAGAAAAGCTTCGACCTTTGAGAGATGGACGGTGCTCCTTTATACCAGAGATTCCCAAAGGTGAAGATCCGTGAGCTCAAACATGACTACGCCAAGTTCGAGCTTCGCGAGACCGATGTATCCATGGCCAATGCTCTCCGCCGCGTAATGATCTCAGAAGTCCCCACCGTCGCAATCGATCTTGTCGAAATCGACACTAACTCCTCTGTGCTCAACGACGAGTTCATCGCTCACCGGCTAGGTCTCATCCCTCTCACTAGCGAGAGAGCAATGAGCATGCGCTTCTCCAGAGACTGCGACGCCTGCGACGGAGATGGGCAGTGCGAGTTCTGCTCCGTGGAGTTCCACCTCCAAGCCAAGTGCGTCACCGACCAAACCCTAGATGTCACCAGCAGGGACCTGTACAGTGCTGATCCCACTGTTACTCCGGTTGATTTCACCATTGATGCATCTGCATCTGATTCGAGCGAGCAAAGGTATCTCCTTTTCCATCATTGGTGAATGTGTTAGTCATTTTTGTCTTTACGACTCGATTGGAAATGCAGAATTTAGAGATTAGAGCATTGCTGAAACATAGTTTGATAGTGGTTTACAAGTGCTATCGTCTTACAAATTGGGAAAAAACCAACCTTTTTACCGTTTTCTGAAATTTCATAGCAATCCGGAGTTGAAAGATGCTTCCTTTGATGGGTTTTTTGGTTCTTTGATCTTTGTAACTTGATTGGAAATGCAAAATTTAGTGATTAGGGCATTGCTAAAACTTAGGTATCGTTTTAAAGAATGGAAAAAGAACAACCTTTTGGCTCTCTGCTCGTTAATTTGGTAGTTTGGTGGCTTTTTCCTGCGTGCTCTTTTGTTTCTGAATGTTTCTTTTTGGTTTCAGGGGAATTATCATAGTGAAACTGCGCCGGGGACAAGAGCTGAAGCTTAGGGCGATAGCGAGGAAAGGAATCGGGAAAGATCACGCGAAATGGTCTCCTGCAGCTACTGTGACTTTCATGTATGAGCCTGAGATAGTCATCAACGAAGATATGATGGATACACTGACTGATGATGAGAAAATCGACCTGATTGAGAGCAGCCCGACGAGAGTTTTTGGCATGGATCCAGTCACTAGACAGGTTAGTTTCGAAGAATGATCTCTTTACAAGTTCATAGCTTTTGAGTCTTCAATATGATCCTTCTTGTTTGGCTACTATACTGTTCTTTAGGTGTGTAGTGTGCAATTACCTAATTTCTGTGCATATCTTGGTGTTAGATAGCACTACTTAGCTCTTCAATACCAAGTCATCCCTTAGGTTGAGATCTTTTCAGGATGCTTAAGTACCAAACTGAAACATCTTTCTATGTGTATTGACTGGAAATGATATGAAATGTACGCCACTTGAATCTGTATGCCACTTGTTGTACAGCTTCTTACAGTTTGGATTTTCGTAGCTATCAAGTTAAGCTTTTGCTATATCATCTTTAGCATATCATTGTAAGCTTTTTTGTTATCATCATCATTGTTGTTAATGATACTTTGCTTCCTAGGTTGTGGTGGTTGATCCGGAGGCATACACTTACGACGAAGAAGTGATCAAGAAAGCAGAAGCAATGGGGAAACCGGGGCTGATTGAGATCCATCCGAAAGAGGATAGCTTCATATTCACAGTTGAATCCACAGGTGCAGTGAAGGCTTCACAGCTGGTACTCAATGCCATTGATCTCCTGAAGCAGAAGCTTGATGCAGTCCGTCTCTCTGATGACACTGTAGAAGCTGACGATCAGTTTGGTGAACTCGGTGCTCATATGCGTGGAGGATGAGATTGTGGTAGATTTGAGCTCCTTTGGAACAGATCCAGTGTATTAACCGTAACGGCAGAGTCTTGTTAGATAAGAAACATGTGAAGCGGTGGTCTTCTGTGTGTCCCTGACCTCTGATCATTTTGTTCTTGAATCTTGTTATTATCTATTAAAAGGTTGTTCGAACTAAGCCTATTTATTACTTTGTTCTAGAGGGTTTTTTCTTTAGATTTCAGACCGTTAGTTCAATTTAACACAAATAGATTTGGGTTACCAATTTTTTTTAAGGAAAAACGAAACTTGTGTGCCAGGAGGTTTAGAGGTTTTATGTTGAGATCGATCAACGGGTCTTTCAGTGGAGAAGTAATCTATGTTGAGCCAAAAGAAACGAAATTTTCTTAAAATTCTTATACCATGTTAATGGACGAATAATTTATCCGGCGACCAAACAATTTTAGATCCAAATTATCTGTAGCCTGAAATTAAGTTAGAATTGAGAGCATACAAAAGTTGGTATAATCTAAACGATATTTTATATAACTCATAAATCCTCATTCATCTAGTTTATGTCCCATCTACATGAGAATTCTCCTACATTCTCTTAAGGATAACCTAGTAGAGTAGTAGTAATAGTACTGCATACTACGAGTGGGTTAAAATTTTATATATGTTTGGTTGTCGTTCAAATTTTATGCCTAATAAAATATGTATACCTATTGAATGAAAACCGAATATTTGTGAGTTTAGTCTATAGTCTGACCTTTTGGTTTTGATTCCAAGTTTAGCAAAAAATATGTCTTCAAATTAGAAAAAAAAAAACAAAAAATATTCAAAAGCCCGAAAAGAAATATAAGATGTCTCAATTACTTTTTTTCATTGTATAGTTTGAATTTCTATTATAAATTGGTTTGCCCTTTTGTTTTGGGTCAGACACTTGCTATTAAGAGCTACAAGACGATAATGAAGGCGCCGACGAAGGAAACCGGCAGCGAAGAAGGGAGCAATCACGAAGCTTCACCAGCGAAATTCCCTTACCTTCCTCAAGAGTTAATCACGGAGATTCTCCTTCGTTCACACGCCAGATCGTTAGGGCGATTCAGATGCGTGTCAAAGCCTTTTCTATCTCTCTTGTCGGATCCCAAGTTCGCGAGGAACCACCTTCAAAACGACGCGGCACGGTCGGGCCAACGTATACTTCTCCTGTCAAAGAATTATAATCTATTCGCTGTGGAAGATTTCAACTCGATCGGAGATGGTTCCGAAGGAACTAGGGTTTTGACTGGTGTGAAACTTGACTACCAAGAAATCAGGAACAATTGGGTTGAGATCGTCGGGTCTTCGAACGGGTTAGTGTGTATCTGTTTGGATGGAAAGACTCTCTTGTTGTACAATCCAACCACAAGAGAACCGAAGAGAGTACCGGATTTGCCTGAATCTCTGCGTTTTAAAACCGACAAAACATGGTTTAGTCATGGGTTTGGTTTCGACACCGTGACCAATGACTACAAAGTGTTGAAGTTTGTTGAAGGAAACAACAACTTCGTCTATTCATTGAGAACAGACTCGTGGAGGCGGATACGCAACATGCCTTATAAGAACGTCCACTTCAACTACACGGTGGAGCTCAACGGAGCGGTCAACTGGATTAACATACTCCTTGGAGGATTTCAAGAACAGGTTATGGCGTTTGATCTTCAGACAGAGGAGTTCCGAGTCATGTCCTTGCCTGATTTGACAGAGGAATGTGACCCCTTGTACGAGAGCTCTGCGCTCAGTACACTCAAAGGTCGTCTCTGTGTGACTCGCAGTTGCTTTATGAAGCATGACGTGATGTGGGTGATGAGCGAGTACGGCGACGAACGTTCATGGAGTAAGATTCGAATCAGCGTTTCCTACAGGTTTATGATACCAGTGTGTTCGACCAAGAATGATGATGATGTCGTTCTTCTAGTCGCTGATTGGTTCTTAGTCTTGTACAACTTTAAGTGCAATACTTGGAGTAATCTTGAAATCTGCGGTCTTGACTTGGGAGAGGCTCTTCAAGCAACAACATACGTGGAGAGCCTTATATCTCCCAACTTATATGGTACAAAGATATTTAAAAACCCATAGGAGTGATTTTAGTTGACATAAAAGTTAGTTTTTGGTGATTTTATAGGATTATTATAAGTCAGACTCCTGCTTATTGAAATTATTATTATATAAAATGATGGGTTTCTAAGTTTAGGGGTGTTGATCCAGAATGAGTAATTCAGAATTGATTATTCTCTATTTTCGAATAATGATTTCTCTCACTTTTAATTAATTTATCATTCTCCTGTCATTTCTCAATTGTTGGTTTGTGGAGAACTCTTGGTTTGTGTGTACGATATCTTATCACCCCAAAAATTAACCAGCAAATGTCTCAATTTGAGATAACCTTATCTATCCAATCAGCCAATGGAAATCTCAGAATCTGCCACGTAAGACACATCCTCCTATCTCTGACCTCACATCTCCCTTCTCAAACACCATCCTCCCAAGTCCCAAGCAACTTCACACATTTCCAAAGACTGAGATCTGAGAGAGAGAGAGAGAGATCAAAGAAGAGAGCGATCATGGCTTCTACCTCAACAATGTCACTGGTCACACCACTTAACCAGACCCGCTCATCGACCTTCTTCAACCTATTACCTCTGAAACCATCCAAGGCCATGGCTGCACCTGGAGGCAGAACTCAGAGGCTCCAAGTTAAGGCTTCGAAGATCAAGTTCGACAAGGCTCTAACCGGAATCTCAGCCGCTGCTCTCACCGCTTCCATGGTCATCCCGGAGATGGCTGAAGCCGCCGGTCCAGGTATCTCTCCGTCTCTCAAGAATTTCCTGCTCAGCATTGCTTCTGGTGGCGTCGTCCTCACCGCCATCATCGGTGTCGTCGTCGGTGTCTCCAACTTTGACCCTGTCAAGAGAACCTAGAGGAAGCTATATATATTTTATCTTTCTTGTAATGTGTGTATTCCGTTTAAATGTTCCATCAACGAAAACTTTGGTGTACTCTGCTCAAACTAAACCTCTCTTGTTTCTTGATTTCAAAGTCTCGTCGAATCCGAAAACAAATTAGATAAGAAGAAAAAAACATAGAGCTCGATACATACTAAACTCTGAGTTTGCATAATTCGAGTGAATTGAGAGATTATGAGATCTCTCTTCGGACCAAATCGAGCAAGTATTTACTCTCGGAAGTGTAATTTACCTTATCTACCTTCACCACAGTGATCTTCACTCTCTGTTCATCTCCATACGATTCCTCTTTGATCTTCAGCTTCAACAAGTACTGATGAAACAGCCTGTTCCTAACAATCTCTGCGAACTCTTCGTCGTTCTGCAACTCGTTCTTCAGCGTGTAAATCTGCTTAGCAGGACATCCCATGATCTCTTCGCCGGATTCTTGAAACGCCGTCACCCAAGTCAACCCACTGTGGTCTTGAATCTGCACTTGGAGAAGGTACCTGTAGTCGCATTCCTCGGATTCCTGGTTGCACCGGTCACATAGCCACGTGTTCGTCCCCGTCTGCGTCACCTTCTTGTTGCACTGTTTATCTCCGATCATCAAAGGACACGCTGTGTAACAGAAGCTATCGGTTTTGATGAACGACACGGTTGCTTTCACGGTGACCCAATCTGGCTTATCTGATCTTCCAAGACCTTCCTCTTTGATCTGCGAAACAGTTTTCCTTATCTCGTTCCTTGAGCCTCCTCCAGGCATGTTGTCTCTGGAAATGGAGGAGGATGCAATATCTTTCCCACCGTGATCGAACCAGCTCCTCAGTTTCTGAGCTTCAGGGAAATCTGGATTGATGAATAGCTGTGTTGACGATATTGTCCCAATAGACTTCCCACTGAAGTCGCTTACTTTTCCAGCTTTGATTGCTAAAACCGGGTAAAAGGCTGAATCAACAACCATCTCTTCTAGTTGCCGACCTTCTCGGTTACAGAACTCTCCCCATAGCGTAACCTCTACAGCCTTTCCTGATTCATCCTTCAGATTCAAGACTCTCCTGTGTGTTTCCATGCCGTTCTTTCTCAAGATTGGCACCGAGGGGTTCACAGAAGTCACAACACCGATGGTATCGAGTATGGTATTGTTCTCAGCGCTCTCAATGTCGCTTATAGGCCGGAAGGAGAACTGCTGCCTTGGTATGGAGCCATCTTCATCAGGGCAAAGCTCCACAGTCGATGTTGCCTCCAAGAAAATTTCCCATTCGTTCTTCAAGTGGTTGAAATTCTTCTGCGCAGGCTTCAAACTTCCCTTTGAAATCAGATACACCTTACCGACCTCAACCACATCGTGGAATCGGTCAACGACAGCGTTAAAGCAAGTGATACGAATCTCCCCTCCATCAGAGTCAAGCAGATCAAAGGAGAATACTTTCCCGTCTCCTTTGGCGTTGTTATATCGTCTGATATCTCCTTTTGCAGTTACTCTAGCCTTAATAGCCCACCGACCTTGGTACGGATTAAGAGCAGCGATAGGAATGATTCGAGCAGGAGCCTCGTTCTTCATTATGGGTCCATGATTTCTGTAGCTTGGAGGCGGTTGATAAGAAGGTTGCACAGATGGCCTGAAACTTGGAGTTGCAGTGCTGTTGGCTGGGTTTTGAAAGTTTACGCCCCTGGGAGGTGCTTTATTTACAGATTGCTGAATCGCCGGTTCATTAAAAACAGCTCTATTCGGAGGTGGCATGGAGCCAGGAGCTGAAAGTGGGATTTGGGCTTCTGCATCTGATTCTGGAGACATTTTGGGGTTCCCAATTGTTTCAGACTGCGGTATTATCGTCTCCATGTTCAGCACCACAATCAGCCTGTACAAAGTATCCATAAGAGGCATAAGACCATCACAATCAAAGAGAGCAAAAATCCTTCAGAGATGTCATGCACAAGCAAGAAAATGTGTAACTATCTAAACGTCTCTCCATATTCTGCCCTGAATGTTGACAAAACATATGCCAAGCTACCATTAAACGCCATGAACTATAAAGACGACAAGAAAATCTTTGGCACCAGAAAATCTTCATCGAATTCATTCATCCATACCACATAAGACAGGAAAAGTAAAAAACACTGACTATAACAATCCTCCAAACAAGATAAAATTGAGAGATGTCTACCGATAATGTCATGTTCAGAACAGAAATAAGCCCGTACAGAGTACGCATAGATATTCATAAGACAATCACAATCAAAGAGAGCAGATAAATCAAATATGTCACCCTCACTAAAGAAAATGTCTAAACTATCGTCGTTTGTGAGTTGTCCCTGAAAGTTATCCTAAACATCTGTCAAACAACCATTACATTCCAAGAACTACAAAGACAACAGCACAATTCTTTGGCGCCATCAAAAGTTAATCCATATCATTCACCAACACAGCAATCCTCGAACAAATTGTTGAACCTCATCATAAGAATTGTCGTGCACATACAGCTAAAACATAGAACTACGAATGCTCCAAAACATTATGTGACATTCAACAGAGCGAGAAATTTAGTCCATCACAGAAACTGAAAGTTGTATTCAAAGGCAAAATCTGTACAGACTTTGTTTGCATAGCAAACTAAACACAAAACCTCCAACAAAATCACAGAGCGATAAATTTAGCAAGAAAATCACTGGAAAATTCCACCGAAACTATGCAACTCCAAGAAAAGAGAAACCGATGAAGAGAAAATGGAAACTGGAGAAAACTTACTTGCGATTTTTAACGGTGCTGCAAATGTAATCTATCAGCTGATAGCAAACTAAACACAAAACCTCCAACAAAATCACAGAGCGATAAATTTAGCAAGAAAATCACTGGAAAATTCCACCGAAACTATGCAACTCCAAGAAAAGAGAAACCGATGAAGAGAAAATGGAAACTGGAGAAAACTTACTTGCGATTTTTAACGGTGCTGCAAATGTAATCTATCAGCTGAACAATGGATCCAATCACAACCTGTCCTGATTTGACTCGATCATTGAGCTGAACGGCGATCATAGCGTGCTCAGCTAACGCGCCATCGGAAATGAGCAAACGGTACCTCTCCTGGCCTCTCTCCTGGATTTTCCCTATCAATTTGATATCCAAAACCTGTAACAACGGCTTCAAATTGACGTCTCCGGCGTTTATCGCCGTGATGGCGTTCGGAGTCAAGCTCACCGGCATGATAAAATGATATCCAGACCTAAACCCTAGAAAATGGGAAATCGATAAAACGAAAATGGAATGAGGTCGGAAGAATCAAAACGGAGAAATAGAGCGAGAGGAAGAGTAGATCGATGACCTTAAGACGGTGGTGACTGGTGAGAGATTCCTCTGGAAACGGTTTGTGTTGCTTTGATTTTGCGGGAGAAGCTTCAATAGATTCCGAGAGTCGCAGCAGCTTATATGGAGTATGGGTGAAATTTTCCTTAATTTTGAATTTGGACCAATAAAAATATACTATTAGGTGACTGAAGGACTCTTTTCACATTTGAGTTTTGATTTGATAGTTTCTAAGTTTAGGAATCAGCAGCATACAACAAATTTAGTTTGTGAAAATTTTATCCTTTTTCGGTAACATTATTTTAACAAAGATTGTCCTGTGACCGATTTCAATTATTTCATACACCCATTCCTCAAATAAAAGAAAACTTTGATAAGAGTCTCAAGTCAACAACTTGAGAAAGAAAAGAGAAAACCAACCTCAACTCTTTACTTTCTTCGAATTCAACCCCAAATAGTAAACAAATTTCACAGAAACAACCCTCGATCTCTAGCTTTTAGCTATAAAGTCTTCAATTTTGAGCAGGCCTGATTCTCTTCCGGCTCTGGCCTCCTCTTCCCGCTGAGTCTGCCTCCGAAGAAGCTTCCATGGACTTGGAGAAGCTGTTGGAGAGATCAACATAGATATGAGCGACCTTCCTCACGTTATTGTTCAATTCTTTGATCAAAACAACGTTTCGTCCGAGGTTGTGTGGGATTTTGGACTCATGGTTTTGGTTTATCTCGTTTATAAGCAATCTGTTGTGATCCAATATGTTTTGCACTTGGACAAAGCTATTTTGAAACGTCTGCAGAATCTTTCCATCGATTTGAGCTCCGTTTCCCATCAATCCAGAGATTGTGTCTGCCTCCATTATTACCTTCAAGATCAAAGAAAACTATGAAGAAGAATGACAAATTTAAGGACTATGACTTTCTTTTTTTTTTTCTTTTAAGAAGATATTTATATTCTGAGGAAGAGATGATGCAAATCATGTGATCTTGAAAGGGTTTTATCATGAATTTAATATATCATCACTTTGTCGTTGTTTACATGATGTATGATTGTCATGTGCAGACAAAAATAAACGGCATTGGACTATTTCTACCAAGAGCAACTTTTTTCTTGGGTTTTGTAACAAACTAGCAGAGTACCCGCACGTTTGTGCGGTGTGACGTTGTTGTTTTGTGTAGAAAATTTAAACCCTAAATCCGAACCCGACAAAAAACCCTAATCAAAAAATTTAAAAACCCAAACTTTTTTAATAGGTCTAAACATGAAAATCCGAAATCAAAAAAATCCCGAAAACCCTGACTGAACAAAAAAAATCTGGAAACTTTTTCACCCGGAACCCGACCCCAATACCTAATCAAAATTTTAAAATACTCAATTTTTTTAATATATCTAAACCCGAAAACCAGAAATCTAAAAAATCCGGAAAACCCTAAACTGAAAAAAAAAATTGAACCTAACCCGAACAGAAATTTTCAAAGAAACCCGAACAATTTCTATATCTCTATATATATCTCTATAAAATTATGTCTCAGATTTTCACCCAAACCCGAACTTGTCTATAAAAACCCGAAAATCCAAAAAGCATATTCTATTGATTTGGAATTATCGTTAGATTATGTTAAGTTTTTTTTTTGCAGATTTTTAAGAGATGGAAAACGGAAGTTTTCTAAACCATCGGTTTATTTTAAGTTATTATTCTTGTATCCAAACAATTTTTTCCATTTATTCTTCTATCCAAATAGATTTTTCTCTTATTCTTATATCCAAACAACTTTTGTTTCCATTTATTCTTCTATCCAAATAGATGTTTCTCTAATTCTTGTATCCAAACATTAGAATGTACTTCTCAATTAATAATATAAAGATTTATTAAAAAGTTTTATTTGCTTGATTAACTAAAAAAATTAGCAATAAAAATAATGTGACAAAATTGTAAATAAGCGGTGTATTTTCTTGTACATGATGTAAGCGAATACTATAAATTCATGTGTATCATATTTTATTAACATTTTGGCTGTAATATTTAATTGTCTACGTATCAGCCTGCTTATATCTTAATTGTTTTAACTATATGAAGACAAAATAATGTGTGTTGTTTTTTGCCAAATAAAATGAGAACTGTATTTGAATTTTACTATTCACTGGATAGATATGCACAAAGCGTGACAGAACAGAAGCTAGAATATAATTTTTAAAAAGGGGTTGAGTGACTGAAAAAATGGTGGACCGTTTGAAACTATAGCAAGAAAAAAAAAGTAGCAAAAAGGCTCTGTGATTTTATTTTTTGGGACCAAAAGAAGAATCTGATGACCCAAAAATAGCAGTCAAAATGTGCAGAGGGGATGAGACATTTGTGGGTTCTGCTACTTGCTTCAGACAAACCTCATTACTATTCACACCCCATGAAACCATGAAAACATAACTACCATTTATTTTCTTTTCCTTTTTCATTTAATTAATAATTTTCCTATATAGTATTATCAGCATCTTATCTGAACCAAAAATATTATTCTATACTGACTTTTCTGGTTTTCTTTTAAAAATAACCAACTTTGATTTTCCTTTTCAGCAGGAATACAAAAAAATAAAAGAAAGAAAAATAGTAATGAGGATATAACTTTTTAGAGGATTCATAAAATGTACCAAAATACACACCAAAACCAATTTTAAAAAGAAACTTATGAATATTCTACAATTGTTATAATGTTTTTTTTTGGCAGATACCAAACAAAATCGGCCTCATATTTGGGGCTGAACCCAATCCCACTTGGTATGACAAAATAAACAACCAAAGATATGAATTGCGAAATTTCTTGTTTTTTTTCTTCTTTTTGTTAAGAATAATCAACATTTTTAGCAAGAAAGTAAAATGAAAAATGAAAACTAAGGAAGACTGAGAACAGATCAGTATTTAAAATTCTTAACATCTCCAAAAAGAAAAACTGATTTGGGTTAAATTTTTAAAAAGAAAAGCTGAATAACTCGTTAAAAGCTCATTCTTCAGTTTAGGTTCATATAACAATGGAGGATATTAAAATCCTTTAACAAAAAAACAATGGAGGATATTAACTATCTAAAAGAAAAGGAGAGGAAGTTAATTATGATACCTGCAACAGAAGTCCTACAGCATCTATATGAGAAAGAGAGAGACAAAGATCGCCAATCGGAATCTCGTCGACAAAGGATTGTGCTTTTGATTATTTTCTGCACTTAGATTTTCTTTCTCTTTTTCCACTTAGAGAGAAAGAGTATGGAAAAAGGGGAGAGAAGAAGAAGTTTTGACAGTCACGCAAAATAGGACCCTCGCTGTCTTAAAGATAGAATCATAGAATATATATCCAACCTCTTCTAGTTTATTTCATACTAGAGTTTGGTCTTTGACTCTTTGCTACGCTTGAGTGATGTTAAATGATTTTTATTTGATGTTGTGTATTGTTTTTTTTAATAGAAAGTATAATAACATAGCCATAATAAACTTAGATTTATAATAATAAAATTAAAAATATAACAATTGTGGATGTTTTAATAATAAAATTTAAAATATAACAATTGTGAATGTTTTTGTAAGAAAATAAATAAATGATTTAGTTTGTAAAATTTGAAGAAAACATCTAGTTTTAGCAATTAGTAATAATTGAAAAAGAAAAATTACAGTGAACCATTGGAGAAAAATCCAATTCTATTTCAATTTTTTACAATTTGCAATGAAATATACAAAGAACTATTGTGGATGCTCTAAGTAAAACGTAAATATTTAGACTAATTTATAAGGTTTAACATCGGATGAAAAGAAATCAGTCCAATTTGTAAAATGGATAATTCTGACTCTAATTCCTGCAGATTGTTCATACATCTTTTAAAGATCTTTACAACTCCAAAAGCAACCAAAAGATAGATATTTCAGCAATTTTTTTAGTATAGACATAGATCTATGAGACCTAAATCACGAGCAATTACATCTAAATCACGAGCAAAATCACTTAACATAAAATTTTCCGAAATCACAAAAAATCTCGAATCGAAATGTTAAAGTAATGATACTTGAGTAATGAGTTCAGCAACGGTGATGATCGAAAGATCCAAAACCTCAGTGTAGTGTAGGGTGATTTGATCAAAGATCAAAATCGAGATGATCCCAATCAAGCTCCAAACGATTAGAGTTTGTTTTATAAAAGCATATAAAATCTTTTAAAAAAACTTAAATATAATACTAACAGAACATTTAAAGTAATAAGTTAAATTGATTGGGGAGACCGAACCTACCATAAATTTTAAGAAGAGATAAAACTTTCCACTCGACAAATATATAAAGGGGGGTGGGGTGGTTATTGGATTATGGATATAAAAATCTATATAAGATTTAGAACTTTTTAGAATTAGCAAAACACATTTTGAAATACGGATTTGTTTCTTTGTATTTTTGACTTAAAAACACTTCCAAATCCAAAGTAAATTTCCAAATCTAAATAACAAATTATTACACCAATAATATCAAATTTCAACTAGTATTTAGAAATCATTAAATGAATACGAGGAATTTTAAGAGATTTTGACATAGACTTTAAAATTACTAATCGAATAAGGGGGGGTTTAGCTTATAGTATTCACTATTCATAGTCTATTGGAGTTCTTCTGACACTACTAGAAAACATGGAAAATATCGGCTAATGGCTATTTGTCTATTTTGCTATTGCTATTTGTCTATTTTGGAGTTCTTTGCTATTGCTATTAAGATCATCTACTCAGGTTCGGTTCAGTTCGATCCGGTTCGGTATTTCCAGATTAAACACCACTAATTGATTGAATCGCGGTATATTGAGATTTATCGTCGCTAGCTTTACCTCTTTTCCTTTTTTTGTTATTGGAGCGGAAAGTTCATCGTTCACTTGGATATATTGCCACTGCAAAATTGACTCTCTAACTACAATCCACAATCCACAATCTAGGGTTTCTCTAATTCACCTCTGATTAATCCTTCTTCGCTCTTCTCTCTGGCCTTCAATGGCGAGTGTGTACATACCCGTTCAGAATTCGGAAGAAGAAGTTAGGGTTGTGCTTGATCAGCTCCCTCGTGACGCCTCTGACATCCTTGATATCCTTAAAGCCGAGCAAGCTCCTCTCGATCTCTGGCTCATCATCGCGGTTCGTTCCCCAACTCTGTTCTAATTAGTCCTCCTATTTAGGTCTCTCTGGCATTGGGTTTTCGAGCTTTTTTTCTTTGTTAAAACGGTTGATTGGGTTTCGATTGGCACTTCATAATTTGCAAATTAGTTTTGTTGATTGTTTGTTTGGGTGTTCCTATGGAAGCTCAACGAGCATAATTGTAACGACTCTACAATTAGTTTTATTTCTCGTGATTTTGGCTTCAATCTCTTTTGTTTTCTCTGGTGAAGAGGGAGTACTTCAAGCAAGGGAAAATTGATCAATTTCGTCTCATATTGACGGAAGGTTCAAGTAATGGTACGCGTTTATCTATGATGCCTACAATCATTCAGATTATGGGTCTATCGATTTGAAATTGAAAAGTTCATTTTTTGTTTTTTTTTCCCAAACAAGATATTGACGAGTACTATGCGGATGTTAAGTACGAGAGAATAGCAATCTTGAACGCTCTAGGTGCGTATCACAGCTACCTGGCTAAAACTGAGACTAAACAGAAGGAAAAAGAAGACCATTTTATCGCGGCAACACAATTTTACAACAGAGCATCGAGAATCGATATGCATGAGCCTTCCACTTGGGTTGGGAAAGGTAAATACTGCCAGAATCTCATTCGTTTTGTAGTGGTCGTTGTGTTATACTATTAGCTATAGACGTGAAGTTGTTTTCGCTGTTACTTTGCTGTTGGAAGACCTTTAGTAGACTTATGATCTTGTATGGACCCTATAATCTTTTTTTTGTTTGTTTCCAATCTCTTCTTTTGTCTTCATTGAGAATTTGAAGGCTGAGAGGCTCTATGTTTACTAGATATAAAAACCTGAAGTGTACTTGTCTGTTTACAGGTCAGCTCTTACTGGCTAAGGGTGAACCAGATAATGCATTTCAGGCATTTAAGATTGTTTTAGACAATGCCCCTGATAACGTTCCCGCTCTTCTGGGCCAGGTATGATTTTTTGACGCTTGCACACTTATCATCATAGGCCTTACGATGTATTATCCTATTCTCTACTTCTCCGCAATTCAATAACTTGCCATATCACATATACAGGCTTCTGTAGAATTTAATCGTGGACGTTTTTCGGAGTCATTGCAATTGTACAAGGTATGGTTTTAAGTGACTATCAACTACTACATTTCTGTTTCGTCATTTTGATTATAAGTTATTTATTTGATTTTATAGATGATATAGTCTAGTCTATATATGGAACAAATTGATCATCTTTTCATTTGTCTGTGTTTATTAATTACTTCATTTCCTGTCTGAAGAGGGTCTTGCAAGTATATCCCGGGTGTCCTGCTGCTGTGAGACTGGGAATTGGTCTTTGTCGATATAAGTTGGGGCAACTAGATAAAGCACGTCAAGCGTTTGATCGTGTTTTGCAGGCAAGTAGGACTAGGACGCTTTATCTCACTTTCTTATTATACAGCCTATTGAATGCTTCAATGAACAGTTCTATTTACCATATTTTATATCTGCAGCTAGATCCTGATAATGTTGAGGCTCTTGTAGCTCTTGGGATCATGGATTTGCAAGCAAATGACTGTAAGTATAAATCAGTTCTAAATTTTCTGATAACGCTTGCTGAAGAGCTTCTGTTAACTAAGCTTCTTTTTGCCCTTTGCTGATGATATTTCGTATGTATAGCTTTAGGAATGAGGAAAGGAATGGAGAGAATGCAGCAAGCGTTTGAGATTTATCCATATTGCGCAGCAGCCCTAAATTATTTGGCCAATCACTTTTTTTTCACTGGCCAGCACTTTCTTGTTGAGCAGCTGACTGAAACGGCATTAGCTGTCTCAACTCATGGGCCAACAAAGTCACATTCTTTTTACAATTTAGCACGGTCATATCATAGCAAGGTTAGACATATTTTATGGTCTTGCGTATACTCCATTCTTACCTACTCTCAAAAATAAGTTTGGACAAGAACTTTGCGGTCTACCCTAGTATACGTTAGGGTGTTAGAGCTATGAACTTGCCAGTGTTAAGGAAGTGGAGGAAAATTTTGAGAAATGCCTACTTAAAGATTTTATTTGAGTATAGATATGTCGGATGCAAATCTTTCTTTTATGGGTTATAGAAGAATGCATATTTTTTTTCTTTTTCTTTGTAGACTCCATTTCTGATGTTTGATGATGGTCTTGTTCTAGGAGGATTATGAGAAGGCTGGGATGTACTATATGGCAGCCATCAAAGAAACTAAAAATAATCCACAAGAATTTGTATTTCCCTACTTTGGTAAGTTTTCTCCATACTGAATTCCCCTTGACTCTTTGTATGTTACCATCTGAGTCATTAGCAATGATGATACTGTAGTATATTCGAAATGAGACTGTCAATATTTTGTTCCAGTCTGTGTAAATATGACTGAACAAATTTCTGTTTAACAACATCTCATGTTCTCAGTTTTCAGTTTAGCTCAGATTTATCCTGTATGGTGGTTAATTTTGGTTTTTGTTGATGTTGCAGGTTTGGGTCAAGTACAACTAAAGTTGGGGGAGCTTAAAGGATCAGTATCCAACTTTGAGAAAGTATTAGAAGTCTATCCTGACAACTGCGAGACTCTGAAGGTTAAATGACTGCATGATTTTTCTCTGTTGATCTTTCATCATGTATTTTACCCTATGAAAGTTTAAATTACTTCGTGTTCATATTTCCTATTTCTTTTCCTACTTTAGGCTCTCGGGTACTTATATACTCAGCTTGGAAAAACTGATAAGGCTCTTGAGTACATGCGGAAGGCCACAAAACTTGATCCGCGTGATGCCCAGGTTAGTTTGGTTTATTAGTAACCGTAGTCTCTGTTATCTTACGGTGGATCACCTTTTCCTAGATTTATAGCTATGGCTTGTTTACATGCCACCATTTGTCTTGTAGGCATTTGTTGGCCTTGGCGAGCTACTAATATCATCTGACACAGGGGCTGCACTTGACGCCTTCAAAATGGTAAGTCTTGTCTAAAGTGTGATCCTGGTAATCGTATCTCCTCTAAATGCATGATAGCCTTCTGTACATTCTCAAAGAAAGAAGGCATTTTGTCTAAGAACCAAAATTGAAAACTCCCCAGGCTCGGACGCTCATGAAAAAGGGAGGGCAAGAAGTGCCTATAGAAGTCCTGAATGACATTGGTGTTTTACATTTTGAGAAAGAAGAATTTGAGGTTTGTAACGAGTTTGTTATTTGTGTTCTTTTAGTTTTGGCTATTGGCTTTAACACTCTTCTTCAAATCAGTCTGCGCTCGACAATTTTAAGGAGGCTCTGGGCGATGGAATATGGATTAGCTTCCTTGATGAAAAAGAAAAACTAGAAGAGACAGGGGTATCTGTTCTAGGGTACAAGGATACTGGCATATTCCATCGGCTGACTGAAAGTGGTCACTCTGTCGATTTACCTTGGAATAAAGTCACAACTTTGTTTAACCTAGCTAGATTACTGGAGCAGTTACACAAAACAGAAACAGCGACTTTTCTGTATCGTTTGATACTTTTCAAGGTACTACTCCTACTTCCTTTTGGTATTATTTGCTATTACATTTTATGATGAGCTTACCCTGATCTATGCTTGATCTTTTTGCTTCTCTCAAACATCTGATGTTTGTCTCTTGGTTTCTGTCGACTTGCTCTGACTCCCTATTTGGTGCAGTATCCGGGCTACATAGATGCATATTTAAGGCTTGCTGCGACCGCCAAAGCTCAGAACAATCTTCCTCTAGCCATTGAACTGGTCTTCTACCATTTTCAACATTATTTTATTTTGTCTATATTAGCTTGTTTTCAGTTTCTGACCACATTTTCCTACTTTCCCAGGTTAATGAAGCTCTGAAGGTGGACGATAAAAATCCAAATGCTTTGTCTCTGCTTGGTGAATTAGAGCTGAAGAATGATGATTGGGTTAAGGCAAAAGAAACCTTTCGAGCTGCTAATGATGCTACTGATGGGAAGGATTCATATGCTATTCTTTCTCTGGTATATATTTTTATTTCTATTTCTCTTTTGCGGTTTCAGAATTCAATAATCATATCAAGTTCCTTTTGGGTTGTTCAAAGCACAAATGGCATAATCATTTCAATGAATCGATAATACGAGCACCCCACAAAACCAAAAGGCCCCAAAGAAGATTATTTTTAAGATATATATATATACTCTTTATTCTCTAAAGTTCCTCGACCAGCAGCCTTGTGAGAGCTGGTTGTCTAGTAGATTTTTAACTTACTTAGAGTGGAATTCTGTCTCGATGGCCACAGTTGATAATTTAGTGTGGTGGGGCCTTAGATGCTAGACTGGCAGACTCATAGAAGTTAGTTTCTTATTCCACAAGCTTTTTTGTGTGCTTAATATCTCTTCCTGGAATGGTGTAGGGGAACTGGAACTACTTCGCGGCAATGCGCAATGAGAAAAGAAATCCAAAATTAGAAGCTACACATCTGGAGAAGGCCAAGGAACTATATACTAAAGTATGATGTTTCATTTTCTTCCTTTCAGTTGATCATCTGATTCAAGCGATTGTGCCTGGGGCGACCTGAACTTTTCTATGATAATGGCATTGCATGCTTAAATAGCGGTGTTCTCTTTCCATAAATGATAATCTTTTTACTCAATGTCGTTATTTGGAATTAACAGGTCCTCACTCAACATAACTCCAACATGTATGCTGCCAACGGTTCTGGCATTATATTAGCAGAGAAAGGACAATTTGATATTGCCAAAGATCTTTTTACTCAGGTCAGCTTGATCATTTACAGTCTATGGTTTAGACTAGTTAGATTTCTTCAAGTCATTGAAACTTTGTGAATGTTTTAGGTTCAAGAAGCTGCAAGCGGAAGTGTATTTCTTCAGATGCCTGATGTATGGGTGAATCTGGCTCATGTGTACTTTGCACAAGGGAATTTTGCCTTAGCCGTGAAAATGGTTTGTCATTTTGATCTTGTATTATTTTTCTATTCGTGTGGGCTAATTTATTCGTTTTGCTGATGTATTCTGTTGATTAACCATGTTGTTTGCAGTATCAAAACTGCTTGCGGAAGTTCTTTTACAACACAGACTCTCAAATTCTTCTTTACTTAGCACGTACACATTATGAGGCTGAGCATTGGCAAGAGTGCAAAAAGACATTGTTAAGGGCCATTCACCTTACTCCTTCAAATTACACATTCAGATTTGATTTGGGTGCTGTAATGCAGAAGTCATCATCTTCCACACTACAAAAGAAGAAGAGAACTGCTGATGAGGTAGTCAAACTAAAAATTATCTCGTTCAAAAATTCTCTCGCTTTTTTTCTGACTCTAGCTTCTGTTTCTTATACTTAAAAGATAAGTAGATTTTAATATGCATCGATTGGGAATAGATACGATTATGCTTCTACGGCTTTGTATTTGACTTCTTGTTTTGCTTAGACGTCCTAATGGAAACTAATTCTTGATGACTCTGCAGGTGCGCTCAACAGTTACAGAAGCAGAGAATGCTGTTCGTGTATTCACTCAGTTGTCTGCTGCTTCAGACCTCCATGTTCATGGGTTTGATAGTAAGAAAATACAAACCCATGTTCAGTATTGCACACATTTGCTGGAAGGAGCAAAAGTTCACCGTGAAGCAGCTGAGCGTGAGGAGCTGCAGAACCGACAGAGACTAGAAGTTGCTCGGCAGGCTGCTTTGGCAGAAGAAGCACGCCGTAAAGCTGAAGAACATAGGAAAAACCAGGTAACTACATACTTGCAACTTGCAAGTTAACCTTTTGATGATATTCAAGTCGTTGATATGCCTTGATATGTTCTCTCTCTTTGACAGTTAGAGAAAAGAAAACAAGAAGACGAGCTGAGACGCCTCAAGCAAGAAGAAGAAAAATTTCAACGTATAAAGGTGAGAGGTCTCCAGCTTTTCATCACAATTTATATGCAGATCATGTTTGATAATTAGAACTTGGTTTACTTGTTAAGCTTTGCTTTGTCAATATGGTGTCTTCAGAGATGTTTTAGTATGAGGAGCGTATTTTAGTATGTAAATATTTTTAATGTCATAGGAACAATGGAAGAGCAACACACCTGGATCAAAGCGTAAGGAAAGAGCTGAAGATGACGATGGGGAAGCTAGACCCAGTGAGCGGAAAAGAAAGAAAGGTGGCAAGAGAAGAAAGAAGGACAAAAGCTCTAGGGTTCGACACTACGAGGACGATGAGGAAGAAACCGCTACTATGGATGATCGTAATGAATTGGAAGATGAAGACGCCAACACTAATTATAATAGGGAGGAGGATGAGAATCAAGACACTGAGGAACCTGTGGATGATGATGCTCATGATCTGCTTGCTGCTGCTGGGCTCGAAGATCCTGATGCTGATGATAATGATGATGAGGTAATCCAAAAGCATTTGTTTGATGAATTCTTAAGTGCAATGTTTTGTTTGATGAATTCTTAAGTGCAATGTTTTGACACTGTATTGGTTTTGGTGGGTAACAGGTACGTGCTTCAGTAGCGAGACGAAGAAGGGCGCTTTCGTCATCTGACGAAGAAGGGGAATTGATGGAGACTAGTCAGCCGAACTCAAGCCCTCAGAAGGAGAATTCTCCGGCAAGGCAAGACGAGGGCAATGTGGAAGGAGAAGAAGAAGATGCTAACTTAGACGAGGAAGAGGACTAGGCAAATTGAGAGCTTTCATTACAGAGATCTCTCTTGTGTTGTAAGTTGTAACATTAGTGACAAAGATTCCATTGATTGTTTTCATTCAATTTTCCTAGGAGTCAGTGTGTGAGGACAAAGTACATTCACAGGCATTTCAGTTTGAATTTTGGGTTATTTTGTTTTAGCCTTGTTGTTTTATTGTTATATATTGGTAATGAAAAATTAATTTGCTGGTTATTAAAAGTGTATCTTAGGGATAACCGGATAATGATAATTTGGCCACCCTCCTATGAACATGGATACAGCAACTTGACAAGGAGTGATGGAAAGCTTGTATACGTATAAATCATAAAAGTAAAAAGAACAATAGTTACTGAAAAATATTGGTGTCAGAAATAAGTGGAAGAGTCAGAAACGTGGGTGCGTGGTCTTGAAGGATTTGATACTGTTTCTGCAGTCTTCCACAGTTTCTTCTGCTCCTTTTGTTTTTCTCTTTCTTTTACTTTTTGTTTTTTTAGGTTTCATGTTGCTCTCTCTGTAAGGGATCTCTTTAAGATTCATAAACTTTTCAGAAGAACATCTTGACTGCAATTATATTATAAGCAAATAATTACACACAAAGAAGAAAGTATAATTTGCTTTGCGTGAGAGATTCAAATCGAAAGCAGTGTGACTGCAACATAACATAATAATTCAATATGATGAGAATGATAAGTCGTCTTTATCTCTCTCTGAGTCAGAGCAGAAAGCTTTTGATTGGGTGTGTGGCTTTTCCAGACCTGACCAAAGTCAGGGAACAGAACTCAACTCAACTCAATGCAAACCTGTCACTCTTCTCTCTCTCCTCAATCTCACACACCTTTTTCTTTTCTTTTTCCATTTCATCGTTTATAGAAATTTGTCTAAAGCATTCTACAGAATCCCATCGGTGAGAGTTAAGATAAATAGTTAGAAGCAGTAAAAAAATCGCGATGAACAATAAGGGTTGATTGCTAATAGTTCCTTCTTAGGACCAATATCAAAAATCAGAATAGGTATATAAATAAATTTTGGTTATTTCACCTTCACTAACAAATTAAATCATAATATACTTTTTGTCCTCACTAGTTGAACACTGTTCTTTTCGTACCAGCTCCAATCCAACAAAATTATTTGTTATTACACGATAACAGTAAGAACATATATTTACTGTTTTGACCAATACTATTTACTATCCATATAGGATAACTTAGGCTTTTAAGAACAAAAGTTTCTATTGCTAATGGCATCTTTTTCTTGTTGTGTTAAGGGATTATGTAGTTAGGCATAAACAATTTAAATTATCTGACTAAATTACACAAGTTCAAATGTTTTATGCTATTATATTTTATGGACAAAAAACACTCATAATTAATTTAAAACAGTGAGAGAATTTGCATTACCAACTTAATAAGAAACAGAACGTTGACAACAAAAGATGATCAAATAAAGAGCGTGGTAGAAACTGAAGACTTAGAAGAAGGCCATTCATCAAGAAACCTGTAAAACCTCTTGCTCCGTTGCTCTTCTTCTTCTTCTTCATCCGAATGTTGATCTTCACTTTGTTTCAGCTTCTCATCAAGCATCAATGGCCTCTCTCGCGTCCCCAAGTCAGTGCCAAGGATAAAGCAATGTCGATCCGGCTGCTTCTCCCTCTGTTTCATCGTCTCATATCCACCAGAGCCATCATCCTCTTCCATAGCTGAGCCAGAGCAGCTTTTGATTGACCCTGAAGGTTCTATGGAGAAGAAATCATCCATGTATCCACTTCTTCTTCTTACCCTTAACGTCAAGAGAGAGATAAAGACTCAGCAATGATGTTTGCCATTAGAGTTATAAAATGAGTAAAGCAGAGGAAGGTGTGTTCTAAAACCTTGCAGGAGAAGAGAGAGAAGAGTCTAGAAAGAGATTTGGTTTGGAAACAGTGAATTGAGGAGGGTGAAGAGGAGGAGGAAGAGGCTTTCTTGACGAACGGTTCTTGCCTCTGTGCATATGCCTCTCACAATACTTGGAATCTGGAGAAGCTTCTTTAGAGCATCTCCATTTCTTGCCATCAGTTCTTCTGCATCTTCCTGGCTCTGTGTCTATCTTTCTTCCCAGCCCCATCTCGTACACGTTCCATCCAACTGCTTAAGACACACACAAACAAAATTGCATTATCACCAACTCAACCCTAAAGAAACAACCTCAAGACACACAAAAATTGATCATACAGCTCAAATAACAAAAAGAAAAGAAGAGGAAGTGTGCCTACAGTGTGGAGAGAGGAAGGTGGAAGGTGAAGAAGAAGAGGAAGAGGAAGAAGAGGAGAAGAGATAGGGTCTTCTGACGAGGAAGAGTAGATGAGGAGGAACTGGAATATTTGCAGCTAAGTACTTGAAGATAAGAGCTTGGTTTTCAAGCTCTTCCCATTGTGACTCTGTGAAGGGAATCCTGGAAGCCATGGAGAGAGAGAGATGGAGAAGAGAGAGGAGTGATGAAGAAGAAGAGAGATTAAAGAAGGGGTTGTGTTGTGAAATTGCAAGTGTAGAGAGAGTAGGTATGTTTTTATTGATAAAGTGTCCATTGGTCACCTGCAGTCTGCAGAATCTCTGTGCTTCATGTCCTCTTCTTGTTTATTATTCCTTTTTCTTCCTTTTTTTTTATTTTCTTTTCACCTTGTTTTGGTGTCATCTTAATTTTCTTTCTTAAAGCTAGATTTGTAACAAAGGTGACATATCTTATTAACTTAAGTTATCTCTACCCATGATTAAATATGATATTCAGGAACTTGTAACTTTCGTTTTCTTTAGAAAAACCTTTTTATTGGAAATCGAGAAATTTAGTAACCGAAAAGAGAATCTAAAGAAGTCATGAAAGTATGAAACTAAATGGCAGAAGTTGATACACATCAAGTTAAAATATGCTCTAATATTCATCATGTGTGAGAACAGAACATGTTCGTTTACCTGTTTGTATTAATTTAAAATTAAACATTGTAATATATGCGAGAAAGGTAGAGACGATAAAAAAAACATGTATTGATAAGTTTGTGAAAGTAGTCTTGAATCTAACCTTGCAATATTTTCAAGGCATTTAATTATGATCCTCAATATAGTACGTAAATAGGCAAGCGAAGGGATTTATGTCCGTCATTTATTTGTGAAAGTAGTCTTGAATTTGTTTTTATATATGCAAGTACATAGACCCCCACAAAATACTTCTTAATGTATAATATGTTTTCAAATATGAATAACAGTGTAAGCATATATGAGTACAATTATGACAGATTAGAAAGGCCTAAGCAAATATTCCCTCTATTTCAATATATAAAGGGTTTTAGAGTTTTGTTTTTTTTTCAAAATATAAGGAGTTGTGCAAAAGTAAATGTGTTTTTATTACTTTTAATTATTTATATTCTGTAGATTTCTTTTTCAAAAAGTACAAAAATTAAATGGGTTTTTAATCTGTATGCCAAAACCTTAAACCCCTATATATTGAAACAGAAAGAGTATAAAGAACTAACTCATTGAGGTAAATCAACAGAGAAACCTATAGGTTGTATAGTAGACTGAATGAATGATCATTGATTAAACAAAGCTAATTTACGTAATAATGTTATAGATGATATGTACAACAAATAACTATTGTCTTCAATCAAATAATTTTTATCGTGTAACTAGACGTACTTCGTTAGAAAGACGACTCGTACATAGTCGTCACTCGTCACCCAACAAATAGACAGGTATAAATTTAAGTATACACGGTCCACTTGTGTTAATAACACTATGCATAATAAACTGTTTGAATAAAAACTCTAGTAAAATTGAAGAGAAAATTAGAAAGAAAACAAAGTTTTGGAAAGAAAGAGAGAGATAGAGAGGTGGATGAGTCAGACCAAATAATGAGTGAGTCTGCAAACTCTGATAACCTCTGCACTCTCTGCACTCTTCCCTTTCACAGCTCTCCCTCACTCCCATACACACCCATCACTCATGCCACATCTCTCTCTCTCTCTCTCTCTCTCTCTCTCTCTCTTCCCATTTTTTTTTATGTATTTGTTTTTAATTTTCTATACTACGTTCAATTTTTTAATATACAATTGTTTGAACTATGGACTATAGTATACTTGTGGCCCAAAGTACCTACTATGAACTAAACTGGGCATACGTAGAAATTTAATGAACTGCAATGTTTGTTCTAAGTTTAATTTGATGAGATGAGATCCCATTTAGATTCTAAACAAACCTTTTCATCATAGAATGGAGAGATTTACATCATTTTTTGCACTTCTTTATTAAGGTGAACCTCTCCATCTTCATAATAGAAAGTAGTTTTGTTTAGATCAAATCTATGTGAAACGTTTTCCACAATCTTTGTTTCTTGAACACTTTGTACTTCTTCCACCTTTGGAACACTTGATCAATTCCTTTGCCTCTTATTTCATTTTTTTTTATCTATAGATACGTCGACAACGACAGGGTTCGAACACGCGCCAACGAAGCCCAACAGATTTGAAGTCTTTCTGTTTCCTTTGACTATTTTGACATGTTAATCTCTAATAGAATAAAATTTCTCACGCAGGACTAAATTAATCTTTAACAAATCAGCACATGAAAGTAATGGTCGGTTTGCTCCAAGACGCGAAAGAACGTTCCTCCTCCACTTCACCAAACCAGTTTTGTGTATAAAAAAAACAAGAAAAAAAAATTAAGCAACACTCTCCTGGATCCGCAGGGTAATTTTGTAGTTCTTTTTTTCCCAAGTTTTCGAATATATCTTACCGGCTTTGAAAATTAAAAATTGAACCTACTCAGAAACAGGCCAAAACAATTTAGGTTCTTAAATGGATTCAAAAATAATTTAGACTCGAACTGACCGGAATATTCAAATGCTTTGGGCTAATTCGAATCTACTATTTTAAACTAGATTATATAGGGGTGTATTTTAATAAAAAAAATTAATAGTGAAAAAAACTTAAAACAAAACACTTTATTTTTGTTTTTATACACTGGGATTGTCGGAAAAAAAAACTCAGATTTTCAGTCATGTGGCAATTTGGAACTTATCTATACTACATTCCCATTGTGGTTGATTGTCGTCATTCAGTTTTCTGGAGATGAGACTTATCTCCGGTCGAGATTGTTCAGAAAGGTAATGATTTTTTCCATTGAATCAATTGTTTTCATTGGTTCACAATCATTGTGAATCATACATTGTGCATTGGACAATCTCGATGAGTTTTATAGTCTATTTACAATAATAATACAAAATTATTATTGCAATGTTTTGGATTCAATATAACCAAATGAGAGCCCAATTTCAACAACGCACCAAAATAGCACTATCAAAGCAATTGAATTCAAAGGAAGGCTAAGGAACTTAACTGGTTAGATTGGATTCTTAGGTGAAAAGATGATCAATAGTTGGTATCTAAGCTTCTGGAAGATCATTAAATGGATTTGGAAAAGCATGATAAACAATTAGAGTATGAATTAAGTGATAATCAAAACTTGGTAACTAAGCTTCCGGAGGATCAGAAAAAATATTTAGAAAAGCATGAAAGCAATTAGGTTATAAGATCAAGAATATTTTGAAAGACTTGTATGATAAAATTGTTAAGAATTTGGAGTATGAAACTTTTAGAGCTGGTGAAGACATTTATTAAGAAGTTGGAACCTGAATTAAAAAATAATCACGAATTGGTGAAGATTCTCAAAATTAAAATCATAACAGAGTTATTAACAACTTGGTGATTAGCTTATCAATCTACATTCGGAAAACATTTAAACTTGTTTATTTTGAATAGGTTAGTCACTATAAGTATCTCGAGTTTTATCAAAGTGGTATTATGTTTTATAAATACAGAAAATTCAACATCTTTAGAAATAACTGAATCATACCGAAGAGGATATGGAGACACATGTGCAAGATCTAAGTGCAGGTGGAAAAGAAAAACTAACAACTTCAAGAGTAGGTTCACAATTTAAAAACATGTATGATTCAACATTTCATTAGGGAGTGGATAAACTTCCAATATAGCTCAAAAGGTATCGACCGTTAAGCTGTCACTTGAACTGAGTTTGAAGCTCTCTTAAATAAATCAAATCATTGGTTTTTATTTTTTTCTGTATTTTCATTTATATGTCATACGACCTAATTATATAAATGTTTTGGATGTGAATGGGATTATCATATTAATAGGTGGATAATAATTTTTTTCACAAACTCTCTCTATTTGTTAGAATAAAATATCCCACGCGGCGCCGAATTAATCTTTAACAAATCAGCACGTGAAAGTAATGGTCGGTTTGGTCCAAGATGCGAAAGAACGTTCCTCCTCCGCTTCATCAAACCAACTTTTGTGTATAAAAAAAGAAAAGAAAAATTTAGCAATTACGCACGTCCACGACAACAAACACCAAAGACTTCTTCATTCAATTTCTAATCAACCAACGCACCAAATACGGTAAAGTAAACTCTTTGACAGACTTCGTCACTCCATTTCTCTGCATCTAAGTCTTTGTGTGATAGTTTTGTACTTTGCTAAATCAAGATCCACCTACCAATCAATGATTTGTTTTGACCGTTTGATTCCTCAGATCTGAGATTCTTCGTTTTGATCTGAATTGAAGTTTCATCTCTTTCTTCAGATCGGCGGAGAGATGTCGGAGCTCAAAGGGAACTCGAACAATACTCTTTTCTCTCCTTACAAGATGGGCAGATTCGATCTCTCTCATCGGTGAGTTATTTATCTTAGCTTTTTTTTTATTAATGATGATCGATTATAAAAAAGCCTTTTGAACACTCGAGCACTTTTACAGTTTCTTGAAACTCTCTTAACAACACATAGCAACACTTATACTATCACTCTCATACAAATCGATTAGCCTTTTATCTTTTATATGTTGGAGCTATTGAATCTTTGATATCCTCAACAATCATATTTGGCTTCGATCGCGATAACAGATTTAATCGATTTGATTGTTCTTTGAAGATAAAAAAACAAAACGACAGTGTTTCTGCTTCTCGTAAACCAACTCCAAATGTCAGCCTAAACCGGCTTCAATCTCTGGTTCATTTAACTTAGATCTAAACCACCGAGCTATGTGTATGATTAAACCAAGTAGAATAAGAGGATAACCAACAATAATCAAAAATTGTATTTACATCTCATCACACGTTTGCGTTTGCGTTTGCGTTACAGAGTGGTTTTGGCGCCGATGACGCGGTGCAGGGCATTGAACGGCGTTCCAAACGCGGGTTTGGCGGAGTATTACGCTCAACGCACCACTCCCGGTGGATTTCTCATCACCGAAGGCACCATGATCTCTCCCGAATCCGCAGGGTAATTTTTGTTGTTTGTTATTTGCTTAAAATAGAAATAAAATCACATAACCCATCATTTTAGTGGTGCGTTTAAGCAAATATATTCAACCCTTATTAATCTTAAGCTAAAATGATTTAAGGTGACTAAAAGTAAAAAGAATGTAACTGATTTCACCTTACAGGAAACGTGTGTTTTTCAGTACTCACTCACTAGTCAGTATATTTTGTGTTGTCACTACTCACTCACTAGTCAGTGATGTGGTTGACGGGACCCACCAATAGTTGAGTGCGGTGATTCATAGATATCATCCACATTCAGACAAAAGGCAAACAAAGAATTATCATATTTATAGACTATTAGTTTCAAAGCTAATGTTTCTTTGCATTTCTTGCAATAGACAAGACATATGAGTTTATAATGAATATGTTAAACTTGTAGGTTCCCACATGTGCCTGGAATCTATACGGATGAACAAGTAGAAGCATGGAAGCAAGTTGTTGAAGCTGTTCACGCCAAAGGAGGTTTCATTTTCTGTCAGTTATGGCATGTTGGACGAGCTTCACATTCACGTACGTGTCCTTAGTTATCTATTCATCAACTCTACACCCACATTTTGAGTGTTTTTTTGTTTTGTGTTATGGAATTAATTAAAACAGTGTATCAACCTAATGGAGGATCACCAATCTCGTCAACGGACAAACCCCTCTCGGAAAGGTGGCAAGTTTTGTTGCCTGATGGGTCTCACGGGAAATACCCGAAACCGCGCCGTTTAGAAGCTTCTGAGATACCTCAAGTAGTTGATGATTATCGCAAGTCGGCTATGAATGCGATTCGAGCTGGTTTCGATGGGATCGAGATCCACGGAGCGCATGGTTACCTCATTGATCAGTTCTTGAAGAATGGGATCAATGACCGTACTGACCAATATGGTGGCTCTATTCCTAACCGATGCAGATTCTTACTTCAGGTACTAATAAATTCTATGTTGTGATTGTTTCAAATGCCAATTGTTTTTATGTTACATTATGTTTGCGTTAATATATGGAAAATATAAAACAAATTCCTAAGATTTGCATTAAAAAACATTAGATATAATGATAAAGGTTGTGCTTATATTTCGGACTATGTAACTTTTGTTGTATTTGGAAATACGTTAGAAAAAAATAAAAATATAACTATATTTTTTTTTGTATGATGTAAACTAAAATGGAGTTTCTCCTAAGGTTTACGTTTAAAATTAACAAAATGTTTTTATATAAAATGATAAAGTTTTGGCTTTATTTGGAAATCGAAATCAATATATTAAAAAATGGAAAAACGCATGCACAATATATAGTCTTCACTCTTGAGTCTTTTCACAATAACAAAGTTTTGATGATATTAGTCGTGATTTACATGCAGGTAGTGAAAGGTGTGGTTTCAGCCATAGGAGCTAGTAAAGTCAGTGTGAGGATGTCTCCGGCAATAGACCACCTTGACGCAACTGATTCTGACCCATTATCCCTCGGGCTAGCCGTGGTTGACTTGCTCAATAAGTTACAAAACGAGAATGGTTCGAAGCTCGCTTACCTTCATGTAACACAGCCTCGTTATTATGCCGTAAAAAACGAGTCTGGAAAGCAAAGCAGCGATGAGGAAGAAGCTAAGCTAATGAAAAGTTTGAGAATGGCTTACAATGGAACTTTTATGTCTAGTGGAGGATTCGACAAGAAACTTGGTATGCAAGCTGTTCAACAAGGGGATACTGATTTGGTTTCCTACGGCAGACTGTTTATCGCTAACCCGGATTTGGTTTCACGGTTCAAGATTGATGCCAAGCTGAATAAATATGATAGGAAGACGTTTTATACTCAAGATCCAGTCCTTGGCTACACGGATTATCCTTTCTTGGCACCCATTTCCCGTCTCTGAGTTTGTGAAACATGGAGAAGATTTATAGATTATTGATGGTGCAAAAAGACCATAAATTTATGTAAAATGACAATGGTAATGTTATTCAATTAATAAAAAAGAAAACCATGGATCATTCCTAAAATATCCATGGCATACTCAAGGTAAAAGTTGTTTGTATAGTTTGAATCCATTAAATATTAAAATAGAGCATGCTTCACAAAATGCTATTAAGAAATAAATAAAACGAAGAAGACTTTATGTAATGTAGGTGTCATGGCCGGTCCCAAACCGGTAAAGGCAGCAACGCCGCTCCGCAAGGCGATGGAATATGAGACCTTTCCGGCGAAGCTTCGGACGGAGAAGCCCTTAGGGCTCCTTCTACATCTTCCACAGCCGTTTTAGTTTTACTTTGTGACGTTTACTTTTAGGGTTATGCAACCATAGTTTAAGATTGCCCCTTCTCAAGTAACCGATTTCTTGGAGAGAAAATCGCGTCACATAAACACAAGACAATGAAAGGGAGCTTAAACCTAATGGCAGAGGAAAGGTATTTGTAAACGAAAGAACACAATTGGAAGATGAAATAGTTTTTAACATCAATGACTAAAAGTGCTTTACAAGAGAAAGAACAAAGAAACAAGGAGAAAATACATGAAAAGTTAAGTGTGTTGTGTTGATTGTTGTATTAGGATCTGATCCCTTACGTATTCTCATTCTCTTGTTTTTATAGCTCCATGTCGTATTTTAACGTCTCCATTTACTCCGTGTGTTTATGTCTTAATTTGCATTTACTCTGCTTGATTCAGCCGTTTCTAGTCAAAACGTTTAATTTTCCCTCGTTTGAATTATTCATCACTCTGTCGTCAAAGTGTACTTTTAGTATGACTCGTAGGTTTTAGTTTTGTCTCTTGTATTCTGAATTTCTGACTGGACGAACTCTTTTCTTCTACAACCGAATTAACAGTCTACTACCGGCTTTTTTTCAAAGCACCACTTAGTTGAACTTTTTTTTTCGCCTGTTTTGGGTACTTTTAATATGGCAACAAACCATGGAGGAGAAGATACATAAACTAATTATTTTGGGTAAGAATGTGCAAAATAGCTGAAATGGAAAAGGATACGATAGCAAATAAACAAAATAAAAGCCAAAAATATTTTATTTAAGAAGACAAATTGTCAAAGCCAAACCCTCATAGATACATTAATTGGTATCTAATTGTAGATTTGATGCAATGTTTATTTACGAGCTTTTGCTAAGAGTAGTGTACCGAGAAGAAAAACTATGAGAAGGCTAAAACTATGACGTTCTTAAAATGCACGTATTGCCATAATTTTTTGAATCTATAACTTAGAGAAATAAACTTAAGTTTCTTTGGCATTATGTATGCTAATATAATTTAGAAGTATGACATGCATAAATTTGAAATTGTGTATTCACTTTCATTCAGAGATATCTACATCTATATTGAGCATTCATTAATGTAGAGCATAGATTCATCTCTCAATGAACATGAAATACAATTTTTTTGTTTATATTAAACATTTTAGGCACAAAAAAACTAAAATCATAATCCATTATAACAAAATGGGCTCTAAAATATTAGATTAGCCCATCAAATGTTAATTTTATGATTATTAATTTGTTTTCATAAACTGATATTTAATGGGCTTTTTGTTGCTTTAAGCCACTTTGTTAGAACCGAACCGACTATGATTCTAGGGTTTAAGGAGCAATTGCAAACTTCTTTTTATAAATAGAGAGGTCGCCGCACACAAATGAGAGAATGAAGTTTCATATCTAAAACTCTAAAAAATTTCAATGGAGAAAATCTATGTAATTCTATGAATTTAGTTTTCGCGTACGAGTAAGTTCTCTACGGATTACAATATTGGTTCCATCCAAGAACCTCAAAAAGCTATTCAACAGTAATCTCTATAGGTATGTACAACTGAAATTTTAGATCTGTTTCATTAGATTGAGTTAACTATATGCATTAATTTCACATTTTATAAATATTTTCTGAATTTATCATGATTTACATTAATAAATGACTTTTAAATCTACTAGAATTTCTTAGATCTTAAATTCTAACAATTAACATTAGAGAACCATGAAATTGTAAAGTAAAATGAATCTAAGAGCATCTCCAACCCAGCCTCATATTTCACTTATTGCTATTTTGGAGCCAATTTTGCTCCATCTCAATCAAAATGGCAAAATGCCATATTTTATCCCAAAATGAGGTTGATCCCATTTTCATTTTCATTTTGGAGTTTGAAGTTTTTAATTTATATAAGAGTCCTTGAAGTTTTAAATTATTTCAGTTTAAGGTACATAATTAATTATTTTGATGTTTATTTTTACTCTAAAATACAAATAACACATATTTAATAAGAAATTTAATTATTTAAGCTAATAATAAATTTAAAAAGAAAGGAAAAATACTTTTATTAGAAATAACATAAAAAATAAATTTATTAAAACAACTATTACTGATTTAGTTGATCATTTATAGGAGAAATATTCAAATAGTTATAATTAAAAATAAAATCTACTTTGTGTTGTTATTTTTAGTCTTGTAATAATGTATTATTGTTATTTTAATTTAAATAATTATAATAAATTATGGGGCAATTTGTAATATATATAAATATACAATGTAAATTTAGAAATTAATAAAAAGTTTTTCAAAAATAATATACTTGAAATATTTTTTTTGAAGTAAAAAAATGAGACAATACATTGAAGCGAAACCCAACTCCATTATAAGATTTTTTTCATTTTTCGTTTTGAAGTAAAATATGGGACACTACATTGGAGATGCCCTAAGTTAAATGTTTGAATAGGTAACACAAAAAACATTTTCAAATTTGTAAATTTTTATTTTAAAACGTATTTTCTTAGAAATGATTTTTTTTAATATCAAATGTCTTAACATTGTTGTTTACATGATTTACATATTGATAAGCTAAGTGGATTACTTTTTTTTAGAACCAAATAATTACTGAAATAAAATTGAGTTTATATAAACCATTTTGTCATGTTTGTGTCATTTTCTTTCCGAAAATATTGAATTTCAAAATATTTTTGATATTTTTCAACATTCGTGAAAAACATACTACTCATGTCTAATTTTATCACTTTGCCATTTTTGAAAATCAGTTTATGTAAATGACCCTCAATTTTAACATATATTGTATAATTTGAAAAATAAATATTACATTCAACAAATTTTCATATCATACGTGTTATAGAACACATTATGTAAGCTTTTTTTTTACAGAAAATATAGTTAATTAGCTCAAAAATTAAGATCAAACTCATATAAAACGAAGCAAAATTGCCAATACAATTTTTTTTGTCAAATAAGAAAATAATAGAAAATTAAATACCTACTCATCTATTATACGATGACATGCAAATTATCTTTTGGGCCCACAGGTCCCACACTATAAATTCTCTACAGTCTCTCTCTAAATTTTAGACCTTTTTTTCTCTTCTCTAGCGAAATACACAAATTGCATGAAAAGAAGATTGTATACCGAGAATGAACAAAACGGAGTTAAACTTGTAAAATTCACTTTTCATGTTGTCTCGTTTTTAACATATATCAAAGCATATATCTGCATATAAATGTTGTAATCATTTGCTGAATCGTGTCATTGTATTCTGATTTTGTAGTTTCAAAATAAAAATAAAAAATCTTATTTGGTCGGAGAAAAAAAAAAAAACTATATAAACAAAATTAAGAGATTGCATCGCACACCGATTATGAAGAAAACAGTGCGGAAAAAATAATTGCATCGGTTGGCGCGAAAATCGTCAATAAACCCTAATTCAACTAACCGACCGGTTCTTATTCCTCTTCCTCTTCAACCCATATAAACCCTCATTGTAATTTGACTAATATCGTCTCTCTTCTCATTACCCAGGCGATTTTCGATACAAACCATGACGGTGCTCCGATCTCGCCAAATACCACCGGTCTCAAGCGGCAAGCCACAACCCCTTAAACAGCTATCCGACACCATCGAGCCGTCAACTCCGGCTCGGGAGCAAGAGCCCGATGTCCACCACTCTCCGATTGAAATCACTTCCAGTTCACCACTCGGCGGATTGGTCCCTATTGATTTACCCACCAACACTTTCCCGAGGCGAAGTCCTCGTCTTGCGTACCAATCTCAGGGCCATGCCGATGATCAATCTCCGAATGGATTAACTGAGGTTAGTATCTCAGTTTGCGGGAAGAGAAATTGGACTGTAGATGAAAAGTTTTTGAGTTTGCGGTCAGGGAAGAGAGTTGCTAAGAGGGTTGTAGATAATGGATTCGAATTTGACTCCGGTGAACAATTGGATTTCGGAAACGAATCGGTGCATGTTAGCATATCTGATGACGGTGTACCGTCCAGTGTTGTTGCCATGAGAATGGATGATGAGGAGATGAGAGAAGCTGTGATGTCAGATGAAGTTTTAGTGGTAGAAAGTAAGACCAAAGGGAAGGGGATAATGGAGGATTCTTATGAAGGTAATGATGTGGAAGTGAATTTTCTTGAGAGGTTTGAGGAGAAGAGAGAAACTGTGATGTCAGATGAAGTTTTAGCGGTGGAGAGTAATAACAAAGGGAAGGGGATAATGGAGGATTCTTATGAAGGTAATGTTGTGGAAGTGAATTTTCTTGAGAGGTTTGATGAGCCAAAGGGTAGAAGAAAGTATACTAGGGAGGAGAAGGGGAAGGGTATACAGGTGGAGTATGTGGATCTTTCTTCCCCGGTCACGAGTGAGAACGAGATCGCCGGAGATGAAGTAGGAGAAATGGAAATCGAGAACTCTGTTAACAATCAGATACCCCCTGATGCCGCTGTTGAAGAAGTACCTGCGGTGGTGGTTCAACCAGTAAATCATCAGAATGGTGGTGCGGTTGGAAACAATACAAGAAATCGGCGCCATCGTGAATTTGCGGAGGCACATGCGTCCAGGTTTGCTCGTTTTGCTCCTCAGGTGGAGGAAGAGGAGGACTTGTCTGATAAAGAGGCTGAACAACAAGGCGAAGATTGGCCTGGTCCGTTCTCTACTGCTATGAAGATAATTAAGGACCGAGAAGAGGAGGCGAATCCGTTTATTGGTATTGGTGTCTCCAACAAAAAATCTTCGCCAATTATTTGGGCTCCCAGGAAAAACCACAGTTTAACAACCCCTCTGAGGGCTGCTCCATCTCTGAAAGAACTATCCATGAGAGTTCTTGTCAAGAATGCTGATGCCCTCACTTCGCTTGACTATGTTCCAGACGCACTGAGGGTTAAGCTTAGTCAATTGCTTTGTGAATCCAGGAGAATGGACGTGCACTTTCTTGATCTTCTTGTCCGTGGAACTCCAACAGAGATTTGTGTTCCTGATTGTTCATGGCTGACCGAGGAAGAGTTCACCGAATGTTTTAAGAACAGTGACACCAGCAACTTAACGGTACCTTACTCTCACAAGTTCTATTTTGCTTAAAATTTAGCATTATATATCACATTTAGCTGGAAGACGAATGTTTCTGTACATAATTGGATATTGGACCGTATGTGAGGCTAGCTAGTTACTCTTGGAAAGATTATGATAGTGAAAGAAAGAAATCATGTATTATCTAAGAAAGTGTCCCTTCATGCGTTGGATGATATTAAGGTGTATATTGTAACTAAAGCTCACATTCTCTTCCTTTTCGTAACAGATTCTTCAACTCGACCAGTGTGGGCGTTGTATGCCAGATTATGTAGTACCCTCCACCTTGGCAAGGTCACCAAAAAACTTGCCGGTGCTATCATTTTTATCTTTAAAAGGTGCATGCCGGCTTTCCGATGTGGGGCTACGGGCACTTATTTCCGCTGCTCCTGCGATTGAATCTATTAATCTCAGCCAATGTTCTCTTCTAACATCATCTAGCGTTGACATGTTATCCGATTCATTGGGCTCGGTTTTAAGGGAACTGTATATCAACGAGTGCCAGAACATTGATCTGAAGCTTATTCTGTCAGCACTTAAAAAGTTTGAGAAGCTAGAAGTCTTGTCTCTTGTGGATCTTCCTTCAGTCAGGGGTCGGTTCTTGAGGGAGTTTGTTTCTGCTAGAGGACAAACCCTGAAACAGCTAATTCTGACCAACTCTGGGTATGCCTTTTGAATTCCCCTTGTTCATTTCGTTTGATTCTGTCATATCGAAATTGAGTTTCTCCTTATATGGCTCTGTGAATTGGTGCAGGAAACTAAACGACTCTACTGTTAAAGCAATCGCTGAAAACTGTCCTAACTTAACCGTGCTTGACCTGGCTAACGTATGCAAGCTGACTGATTCTTCGTTGGGATACCTTGCAAATGGCTGTCAAGCTCTGGAGAAATTGATTTTTTGTCGCAACTCTTTCAGGTAATTCTCTTTACTGGAATGTTACCATCTCACTCGAATGTTGATGCTATATGCTCCGTGTGCACTCTAGGGCCTTTCTTATTTTTGTGATGTTTGAGAAACTTAGGGGGTTACTTCTATAGTTTACTCTGCGGTTATGTTGATGTTGGAGACATTATCTGTTTTCTCAATTTTCAATCCAATACACATATAGCCATGTTCTTGTGATCTATGTGCTTTTGCTGTGTTTTATGTTGAAGTTTAACAGATGCCTCATACGTCTTATCTCTGTTTACAGCGATGAAGCTGTAGCTGCGTTTGTAGAAACCGCAGGCGGTTCACTGAAGGAGCTATCACTAAACAATGTCAAGAAGGTAAATGGGATCTCTGTCCCCATTATACCCACCAATCTACAGAGTCATATGCTTAAGCTTAAGTATACACATTAATATATTTGTTTTACGTTTCAGGTTGGTCACAACACGGCCTCTGCACTTGCTAAGCATTCAGAAAAGCTGCAGATTCTGGATCTATCCTGGTGCCGAGATTTATCGGACGTTTCATTAGGCTACATTGTCGATAACTGTTCATCCCTGAAAGTGTTGACAGTATTTGGATGCACTCAGGTAATAAATAAAATAACATCACGATATCTTGTCTTGTTCGCAAACAAGCCAACATACCCTGAAAAACAAATCTATCTTTCTCTTTTGCAGCTCACAGATGTATTCGTTCGAGGTCACTCGAACTCTAATGTTAAGATCGTAGGTCTGACGATGGATCGCTTCTTGGACCACCCTACAAAGAACCTTGCCGATTGCTGAAAAAATAACATCTCTCTCTCTCTCTCTGCTTTGTTTGTTTTTTGGAGAAGAAGAGCAGAGATGATATTAGTATTGGCCAAACTTGTGTTTTATGGTCTTTAATCTAATAAGCTATTGGCTTTTGTAATTTGCAATCAAATATTTAACTAATTTTCTCTAGTTTCAAGTTTTGGCTTACAAACTTTTATTTTGTCGCAACTCTTTAAGGCAAGTTTCTTTACTGGGATGTTACTATCTCACTGAAATGTTTATGCGATAAGGATCTGAAAGAAATTCCACATTCTCCTCTCCGGCTCTCCCTCAAGTTTAGATATTTTGACAGAGAAAAGGAAGTTCTTGACAACTCATTCCGGTTCGGTTCCGGTTCAAATGGATTCATCATAATTATTGCAAAAGTCGAAAAGCCTTTCTGGTTGTTTTGTGGGTTTGAAACGAAAGCAAAATGTATATTTCTCTGTAAATCTTGCACAAACGTACATGAAACATGGACTTTAAACACACTGCACACACACACTTCACTAAACTTTACATGACAAACAAATGTATTAACAATTTCGAGCTTAGCCACAAGATGAAGCCATCAATAACAAGGTTCTCCCGTTGGTTTTTCTTCGTGATGATTCTCTCCCTTTCTCCCAAAAAAAAAGGTTCAAGAAAGGGCAGAGAGGATATACAGAATTTCTTGCGAGTTATCTTGTGTATTGGAGAAGGTATGTATCATCATCCGATGATTCAGATTGTCCCGTTTCAACAATCTGGTTCAATAGCAAAACACATGTCAGGTCGGGAAGATTAAGAATCAGATTTCAGAGTAATGAATCAGAGGTTTTCATTTTTACCTCGAAACCGGTCTTCTTGTATAGTTCCTGAGCAACTAAATTGTTTCTATGTACATGAACATATACTTGTTCAACTCCTGCACAAACCAAATACATCCACACATCGTTTAGATCCTTCTCTCCAAATGTTCAACATTTTTTTATCTACTCTCCGTTTTAACTTTGTAATTTACCACTCAATCTGGCTGATTCGATAGCGAAGCGTAACATGTTGCAAGCAATGCCCTGGCGGCGTGCTGATTTCGCAACACACAGATTACCAATATAACCATACCTTTTTGATCCTTCATTGTTTATGCTGCAGAACAGTTGAGACTTTACCTTTTCCTGCAACATAAAACGTAACACTTATTAGGAGACTTTCTGATTCATACATGCCAAAGGCAAGAAATCAAATCTCAAACCGAAAAAAAAATATTACCCCAGGAAAGGTCTCTCCTTGCAAGAAAAACCGAATGCTCAAATCAAGCGTCCCAACCACACTTTTGATTACTGAACGCTTAATGTGCCTCTCTTCCTTTCTCACCTGATGAAATGCAACACCAACAGCAACATTCTGTTTCACTTTTAATAAACAACCATAGTGTATATGTACCAGAAAGCTAGAAAAATATATTGCATACCGCAACGATACATGAGCATTTCTGTCCTTGCTGCCCTTTACATCTTCTCTTTATGGCATTAAACTCCTGAAACATTGAAATTGTAACTAATTGAAGAAACTTTTCTCCACTAATGGAAAGAGATGAAAATGAAGCGTCGATTTAACTGCTACCTGCTCTGCAAATTTCCTTTTGAAGTTATCAACATATCTGTGTTTATAAAGATACAGTTTTAATCAATTTCTATATGATCCTAAGAAACCAGGCTCAAAGATCACTACCAATACACTCACTCAATACAGATCATTTGTTTGCTTACAATGACACATAAAGATGGAGAAGAAAGATCATTTCTTTGGCTTACCTTTCACTCTCACGATCTTCCCAATGACTCTCTGCACGTAGCCAAGCTGCTGTCTAATCACAAACTCGAACCAACATAGAACAATCAATCTCCGAGACGAAAACTAAACGATAAAATTAGGCTCAGAATCAAGAATTGAAATTGCGTTGCTTACCCAGAATTCTTCATCAAGAATGGCTTCACGTGCTACGAATTTACCAAATTCCAATCTATCTTCCTGAACAAACTCAGACTTGGGAGGCTGCAAACGGTCGAATCTCAAACCCTCAGGTTTTAATTGATCAACCTGAGGAATCGTAGGCGAATTCGATATATGTACAGATAGTTCTTCCTTCTTAGATGTATCAGAAGATCTCGAACAGATCGTCCTGTGTTTGGTTAAATCAAATCAAACGAATTCAAAACAAAATCTCGTGGAATAGCGATAACCGAGAGGACGAAGAAAAAGGGAATTGGTGAGGCTCTCACAGTCTCCAAGGAGGAATAGTTCTCCGATATCTCTGCCGGAAAATTCGCGATCGATTGTGCGTGATTCTAAGCAATTCGGTCCGGTGGATCGAAATCGTCGACATCGCCGCCGAAATAAACTTCTCTTCAATCGGCGGCGAAACCGCAGGAAATCTTCTTTCCTATCAGAAGCAATTTGACCTGAGAAAATCTTTCAATGGAGAGAGAAAAAGTTGGATAAAATGGATAAAGACGATAAGGGAGTAATTTGTTGGGAACCAAATTTTTAAGCCAAATGGACAAATGAACTGAATAAAATTGTGTAGAGTTGTGAAAAGAAATAGGTTTTGCCTTTATAAAATGAATGAGAAAGTTAAAGTAAGTTAAATGAAGTAGCATTTTATTTGTTTCACATTGGAAGAATTTTATTTATTTATTTAAATATAGGTACTTCCAAACAAAGTTCAATACCCCTTTGTCCTATAAGTTCAATACCCTTTTGACTTGCATATTTTTAAGTTGAGGGTTAGATTTGCACATAAAAAATAGTTTGTAGGTTGTTTTGCATAAAATCATTTTAAATTTGTCACAAATGTAGAGATGTCTTATATTGCGGGGTTATTTTGACTTCAAAGGTTTGATTTGCACAACTTTAAATTGAGGGTTTGATTTGCAAAATGAATTTAGTCTGAGGGTTGTTTTGCACAAAACCATTAAATGAAGTAGCATTTTATTGGTTTCACATTGGAAGAATTTTATTTATTTATTTAAATATAGGTACTTCCAAACAAAGTTCAATACCCATCTGTCCCATATTATAAGCTGTTTTAGCTTAAACACAAGAATTAAGAAAATTATTTTGCTTCAAAAAAGTATCACTTAATATATAGATTATTTTTTTTTAATTCAACCAATCATAAAAAACAACTGCAAAATATAAGTGGTCACACAGTTTTTCATAAAGTAAAAGTGCATTGAAATGTCAAAAATGCTTATATTGTGGAACAAAATTTATAAGCTAAAACAGCTTATATTATGAGACAGAAGGAGTAGTTTTTACGGGAGGGAGATTAATAAATTATGTTGATTCAGAGAAAGGAGTCATCTGCAAAAATTTACACACGCGTTAACGCCATGCCGAGCCGGTTTTGGTCTTGGCTTTTTGGGCTAAATTCTTATCAATATTTTTGTTAAAGCCCAAAACGAAATTGCATAATGTCAAAAATAAAACTTATAGAAGATTGAGACTTTGATTGTTTGTGGGTTTTGAAGTGGTTTTTGGTTTTAGTTTCTTCAAAAATCTATTTTACAGCCATTCAAGAATCTGAAAAAAAAGTTTTCCTACAAAATAGGGAATCTAGTTTTCTAGTGTTTTAACCACTTTTCAAAGAAAAATCAAAATCCACTTTTTTGGGGTTTCTCCATAAAACCATCGTTTTTTATTTTATCTTATCTTATATTTGTATAGTTTTTGTAATAACCTATGAAAATCAAAAACCAAAAACTAAAATCACCATTCAAGTTTTTCTGAAAACCAAATCTACTGCAAAATCAAAAATCAAAAACTAAAATCTAAAATCAGAAACCAAAAGCCAAAAACCAGAAACTAAAAACCAAAAACCACTCAAACATTCATGGCATGAGTTCGGTTTTCGAATTTTGATAAACATCAAGAGGAATATCCGTGGGATATTCCCTCCCTTCCTTATTCGTCAATCCTTATCACTTAACAAGTAAATTTCCTCTCAACTATAAATAAAGGGTTTCACCCCTTTTATTATTTATTCACTCGAAAATCTTCTCTCAAGCATATTTCCTATATCTCTTCTTTTCTCTAAACGTAAATCTCGAAAGTATAGCATATAGTTGGGTGTTGGGATTCAAAAGTCTCATCAAAACCGTCACACTACACTACAAGAGATTTATTGAGTTAAGGAAAGATATCAAATCTCGTCTGTGCGTAATTCGTCTATTTCCAATCATTTTCTCCTATTATATAATATTTATATTATAATGTTTTCATTCATATTTTTCAATATGGATTTCTGCAATCCTATATAATTGACCAAATATGAGAGAAAGAGAAATGATGTTCATTTTGAGAACTATGAGCTATCACTTTAAAATAGGTATTCTAGTATGAGTTGTCATTTTATGATTGGTTTAATATTTAATTATTTATATGAAATATATGAAAACTATTAATATTAAATTTAATGAGAGATTCTTACCGTGTCTAACTGATGAGAGATTCTTAATCAACTAACAACCCTAAGTTTTGAAATAAAATCTGAAATTTGTCGCATTTCATTATTTTGAAACATTAGGGTTAGAGATCAAATCTGAAATTTGTTGCAATTCATTATTTTGAAACATTAGGATTAGATTTTCTCATAATGGACGGTTGCGATAGAATCAATAATTTCTACAATCTTTGCTAACTCAATTCCTGTCGCACCTTCCAACCAAAGATTCTGAAAAATTGCTGAAATCCTGTTTGAATTCTGTCTCTCTTTTTCAAAGCTAGGATTTCATCTTTGAATCTTTGATTGAAAAAGTGAGAGAGGATTTCAGTTAGCAAAGATTCTGAAAATTGTTGATTCTCTCACAACCGTTCAATCACGAGAAAATCCAACTCTAATGTTTCAAAAACAATGAAATGCGTACATTCCAAACTTATATAGAACACGTGATGTATTTTCTTATTTCTCGCAAATAATAGTATAGATATATATTCCCTTCTTTTATTTTGGTATGGGAAACAAAGTTTGTGGGTTGACGTATTCACAAGAACCTTTCTCTGGATCATGTCAATCGTGAGAAAAACCAAGCAGCAGATGTTCTTTGAAAATTTGTTCATAGTGATTCTCTTATTTCAAGTATGTTTTATGTAACTCCACCATTGTGGTTGGTGAAGTATTGTATTTTCCATACACTATTTAAATTAATATAAGCAGATGTTACCCAAAAAAAAGTAAGAACCTTTCTAGAACTTTTTTATATCGTTAATTACCATATGCATGAAAGCCATTTTCCATAGGCCCTTTTATCTTTTATCTTTCAAATTTGAATTAGACCTAAACTCATACATTTCCATTGTTTTCTTGGTGAAATCTATAAACCTCAAGATTTTCCACTTTCATTCTCATCTGAAAGTAAATGAGTAACAGAGATTATTACCCTTTTTAAAGTTGTTTAGGCCAATGAGAAAAACTAAACAGAGAAGGGTCTCTCTTAAACAAGATGAGTAGTAACAACTCAGAAAGTTTGACTTTTGAGGGTGGACTATCATGATAACTCAGATCGTGAACACAAGAATCCATATATATCAATCTTTTAAAAATGTTGACACCATTGGTTGGCAACGATTTCCTCAATAAACATTCAAAAATTTAACCTTATTTTATATTAATATTTTCTTCCTCATCAATCTTCTTGATAAAATTGGTGGATTCAGATATTCTCACTTAGGTTTAAATATCATTCAGGTTTTAGAGGTCTCCAATGATGTGTGAAATCTGTTAGAAAAGTTATACAATCAAAGAAAAGAGCTTATAAAGTCATTGCGACAAACAGAGGCAACAACACAAAAGAGAAAAAAAAACATGTAAATATAAGTTACTTGGATCCCAAGATAGTGGAAACCATGACGCAACAACGTTATTGTCGAAGAAGCTGCGGCATAATTTGTTGTGACCAGAACTATAATTAACACTGCTTGGCGTTGCCTATCGTCGGTGTTGAGTTTGCCGTCGTGATAGTGTATATTTTTTATTATATATTTCGCAACTTTGCAATAAACCAATTAATCTGATGAAGAGACGTAAGACATTACATTGATAAATTTAAACCAATCTTGGAACATAACCAAACACAATTGGCATACATTTTATGACTCGACAACTAAACACAAATTTTTCGTATTTGTCTTGTCCAACAATGAATAGGCCGCTGATCCTTTCTTGATAACAGCAAACAGCAATCTTCTTCTCCTCCTCAACTAAGAAACTCGCGCGGCTGAACAACATATGTATACCAGATTTGAAATCCACCGTTAAGAACTTACTCCACGAAGCAACTGTGGTCTCATCAATCTCATTGGTCACCCATATTTCCATCTTTCGTGTCTTTGCACATTGATATAACAGATAAAGACGTTCTTCTCTAACAGCTGAGAGAACCATAGCATCATTAAACTCTGTTTTCTGAACGGGAATACACATCTTCTGAAATATCTCGGTTGAAAAATCAAACTCGAGTAGCAAGTAACCCTTGACTCGTCTTCTTTTGGAGATCCAATAAGTATTTCCTCTCAAAGACACACCAAGAGATTCTAAGTCCCCACCGGGAGAGGCATCAAGATTCCTCCATAAATTAGACCTAACCTCATAGATTTCCACTGTTTGGTAGTGTGGACCCATAAACCTCAAGATTTTGTAGCTGTGGCACAATTCCTTGTTATCGTAACCAAGAGCATAGATCTCACTTCTCATGTGATGATTTCTCGGTTCGATCCATCTGGTTTGTCTCGAAAACGGGTTCAAAGCCACAAATCTGTTGTCCGTGGTGGTGCATAACAAGATGCCATCGCAGTGAAAAGCTTGAGATATATCGACCTCTGAATTACTGAGGGGATCGATTACGCGTAGTTTATCTGTTAACACCAATGAAGGTCCTTTGTTGGTATCAAAGCTCACTGAATAAACCCTAAAATCCATCAGCGTGAAAGCCTGATACTGCCTTACTGTTTTATCAAAGAGCGTTTTGATGAATCTTTGGTCTCTGAATAAAGCGTGATGGTACCACCGTTTGCAAGTAGATTGTAATCGCCTCAAAGATATCAATGGAACCCTAGAGAGTATATCCTCTTCTAAATCCCGTGGAAGATTGGAGAGCATCGTTATGTCTCGTCTTTGCGATTATGTTATTAAGATATTACTTAAAGCTTGCGTAAACTTTCACGCTTTTAACACTTTCAATAAAAATAAAAGAAGTTAAGAACTATGATACTTATATGTGAATGTGTGATGTATGGGCTTGCGCTTGAAAAAGTATTTTTTCCTATTCGTAATTGGTTTCTAAGTTTTAACTCTTGAAAATATTATTCTTTACTTAATACTAACTC